GATTTTACGAGTTTATAAAAAACACAAAAGAGCGTGTCGCCATTGAAAGACAGTATATGGCAGGGTACCTAGTCTGTCCTGGTGTGTAGAGAAAACCACGTAGTTATAAATTTGAAGGACTTGTTTGCTTGGGCTAACAGCATTGACAGATCATAAACTAATCGCGTTGTGACAGACAACCTAATCCGCTGATGGAGAACCTGGGCCCTGTCGTTCGAGACGTAAATTATTTAAATTCGATGAATGCCAAATCGTAACCTTCACCTATACATCTGACGATGTTGACGATTTGTATACCACGAATCGTGAACTATGACAGACTGTAGACCCTAATAGGGTTTCTGTTCAATTTGATAAGAAATGCAGACAATTTACTGACAGTATTTATATCATAATGACCATATAGGTTTCCTTTAGCTTTACTTCTTTTTTGACTTAAAACTTGCATTACAATTCCAGTTTCACGTCGTATCATGCATCTGAAATGAAACAAATATGTTGATTTGTTTCCTTTAAGTCTGGAGTCAGCAATGCAATCCGTATAATAATAATAATAATAATAATAATAATAATACAGTATTTATAACGCGCGCTATCTCTGGAATCCATTCAAAGGCGCCGGTCTATAGATGTAAAGAAAAAAAAACCTCAATTATTTGGTATAGGCCTACATGAATAAATAGCACGAAGTACTGTTTCCTGCCGGTATTTGGCCAGTCCGTGTATAAACCAGTGAACAGGGTACAGTTTACTCGGTTTTTGTGATGCAGTCAATCGTCCGTGAACCGTCGGTCAATAGGGATTACCTTGTTTTCTACTTGTGTTGAAGGGTCTATTGTCGCAGTTATATCAAAGCACGGGTACCGGTACCAGAGAATACAAAAAGCTTCACACAAAAAAGTTATCGAGTCAGCCAAAAGGTCTTCGGTGCGGAAGACTTAACACGAGACATGGACGATCTAGTCAAATACAGTTGCCCTTTTGTGAAGCTGCGCATGTTAGCAAAAGCCTATATATCTTTACCGCTGAACGGTCTGTGCATTTTAGTTGACTTTAGATGTAGAATTATACAAACACGAAATATGCCTTAGTCGAAATATATATCCTGCGGAAAAAAAGCTTCCGCATTAAGGCCCCTAACAAGCACAACTCGCGGGCATGAAGCCGGTGGAGTCACGGACCATTTACCTTGCTGTGAAGACGTTACATCGTAAACTCCCCGGAAAGAACTTAATTGCCAGCAGAAATCAAGAGATTTCGTCCAGTTTATGTCCAAACTTTCCAGTGCCATGTTTGAAAGGAACGATTCTTGCCTTGAGTATACACATTGCTAAATGCCACCATCAACATTATTGTCCATCCACTTTTATGCTGTAAAGAAAATCGGGGATGGAGATCGACATAATTTACAAAACTGTTCAAGATTGTTTCGTTGTCAGATCTACAAGTTGAGCCGCGGTTTAATTCTGTGACATACCATCGTCCATGAAAATATGATGCAGTGAATTCGTTGTGTCATATAGTAACATTGACATTTAAACTATGACCAGCTTTACCCCCTTCTCTCAGACAAAAAAAAATTCTATTTTATACTCCGTTGGTGTGAATTTCCGGAAATGTTTCTTGTTCTATTTCGAACATGAGCGACGCGGGAGGGGGAGGGAGCAAGGGGAAGGGACGCTTTCCCCTGGAAAAGTATTTAAAAATATGTACATGTATATGTATATATTAAGAAAACCAAAAAAAAGGGGAAAAAGAAAGAATAAAAGGAAAAAGAGGTGTGAAGCCATATTTGCTATTAATTTAACACACATTTAACAAAATGGGCGTCTGCAGGGGTGTCAACGGGGGTGGGATGAGTAAATGTCCGCCGCCCACCCTCGAAAAAATGATAAATTGAGAATATGCTATCGAAAATACAAGGATTTTTGGGGGGAAATGTGCTTTGCCCCCCCCCCCCCCGGAAAAAATCCCGTCGACGCCCATTAAAATGAAGAATCAACGACTTGCGATGTAAGTGTACTAAGCATGTTTGTATATTGGACCTCTGCCTTTACAGTCAAATTACTATAGAGGATCGCCAAGGTTTTAAAAGAAAACCGGTCACTTTAACCACGAAGCCTGAATAGCCACTATGCCATAATGCCGCCACAAGCAAAGCTCATAAACGTACACCCGCATGTGTTACTATAAAGTTACAATCGGTGATCGTAAGCCACAAATAAAGCATAAATCCCCCGGCTCTATTTATTCTCAATAAAAAGGAAACAATAAACAAAAGAATGATAGGGACGTTTGCCATTAACGGCGGTTGGGTTAGGTTGCAGCTGCATGCAATGACCACGGTCGTCTCCCAGTCCCATTCTAGCCTCCATGCACCAACAGTTGCTATTGAATTAAAATATCTTAGCACCAAATCAAACCCTCTGATTCCAAGTTTGCCTTCCTTTCGGAAGCTTATAGCGGTCATAAGTTGCTGAGGAAGCCATTTTGTAACCCTGGCGAGTTATTCTTTCGCGGGTTTTTTTCATCGGGTGTACTTGCGCTCAACCTGACGATGCATGTTCAATTTCGGAGCAGAAATTAAAATTACAATAAAACATTTCAATCTGCACAAGAAATTGAAATTAAATTTTTACCATTCAAACGTCGTGTATGGGAGACGCGTTTTAAGATCACGCACAGACGCAAGCTGCCCAAGCAAGTAACCGCACTTTCAGTAACAATGTGCAGTGGAGAGCTAGACAAAAAAAATTTAATAGGAAAAAAGTTTTGCGCAAAGTATAGGACCTTTTATATATTTGGTGATTTATCCTGGGCTGTAACACGTTTAAAAAGTGGAGTGTATCCTTGAGACATAAAAAATAGTTTCGTTTTAATAGCAACTTGAATTGAGTGTAACTGCTGGTCATTCAAATGTCTGTGTACAAGGTCGCATTACCGCGTCGAGGTAGACAAGTACGATGTTTGAAACAGACCATTAACTTGCAACTATTAACGTTTCCATTGCTTGGTTGGCTAATATTCTGAATTCTAGCTCAAGGAGCTAAATGCAGTCATTGTATCAAAAGAATGAATACAGTTGCTTCGGATAGCCATCAACATTGCATACAGTCTTCATCTCCCATAATCCATCCATACAGTGCATAGTTGGCGCTGGTTCTGCTGTGTGATTTACGATGTTTGCATTCTTGGCACGCTGTCATAATCTTGAAGTATATGGGCCCGGCCTAGCTCTGCTCGTAAACCCCAACGACGGCTCCCCCAAACACCCGTAAATGCACGGGACAGCATGGGGACAGCGAACTCCCTTTTATGATCAACGACAATAAAATTGTTATTGCAGGAAATCACAGTTATGTAATCATTTTCATCTGTGAGTCGGCGTTTGCATGTCTTTTCGTCCATGAAAGTTAAGCCTGTAAAGTACAAAAAGGCAGTATGCAGTTCGTTTTATATATGGTGAAATTTGTTGATTCGCTGATGTATCTGTACATACGTAGCCTATTTTCCATATCAGAACAAAAGAGACTTAATGTTGACAAAACACACTTTCACACCGTCATGATTTTGGTTGCTAGGCTATTACTTGAGAAATGCATTAGTCGAAGCCTCTAGTGCAGCCTGAACCCAACCATGTAAGCGAATCTTCGAGTTGACCGTCAACATGCCCGGAGCCGTACAGCATCATATCATATTCAACATCATATTCACGGAGCAAGTAAACTACATCGTTGTGACATGCCGATGTAATTACAGGGTTTTTGCGTAGGTTTTTTCCCCAAACGTTTCCCTTTCAAATCTTCAAATTCGTCCAGCAAAATTTAGTGCAATTCCAATGTTTAATTAGTTTTTCAAACAATTTCATTCAATTTTAGTTTAAGCAAATTAAAACCATGGGCACACATGTTCGTCCCCAGGAGTATTTGATTGCGTCACGTCTATACGCCGAACAATGTTATTCAAAAAAACATATTCGTCTTATGTCAGACAATTTAATTGCGATTTTGTTCAATATCGTCATACTTCACTGTGACATCTACATTAGAAGGCGTAATACGCCGCTGATAAGAATAATTTCCCACTTTTTATTTCCTTGATTCTTCTTAGTTTTGTGTTGTTTCTTTTGATTTTATCTTTTTGGAAATACGTTAGGCTCAGTTTTCGGGAACTAAGGGTCGTCCCGCGTAGAATTTGACATTTCCTTCTTTCATTTTAACACTTGTTTTATTCGTTTCAAAATTTTAAAAGTAATATATGTTTTGTTGTTATTGCACTTGTCTTTTGGTAACTGCTCGCTGAGTCTGGTAACTGCTCTCTGAGTCAAGCCCATCTAGGATTTGGTCTGATAACATCATGCGAACGAATGTGCCGAATTGTGCTCGAGGACACAAGGAATATGCTTCAGCACTCACCAGACCAATTTACTTAACACGTGTTTTAAATTGATTGACGAATTTGATCTCTGAATGCTGTCATTGGCCTATGGACCTTTTTACTAATAAATTAGTAGTGGCTGAATCACGGGCTTATTCAGCTAAATGACGGGCTGATTCCGGGCTAATTAAGCTTAATTCAGCTGAATCACGGGCTTATTCAGCTAAACGGGCTGATGTACGCTGATATCCGCTGCCACGTGGTACGGTGGCCTGATGAACGGGAGAATATTGTAAAGGGCTTTGAGATTGTTGACACGATTAAAAGCGCTATATCAGCATTACAGTTTATTTTTTATTTACTTATCACGTTGACACAAAGACGCCCTGATGTGCATTATTGTGTGTGTTCAGTCACGGACCATGGTCCGTGGTTCAGTACAACAACTGAAGCCTCAGTGAAGGGGATGATTGGCCAATTGTAAATGAGGGGTGTATTCCCATCTTTCTGGACATTCACATAAGCCGATGCAAGTGGAAATAATGGCAAATAAATTAATATATCGTAAAAAGACATCACCCAAATGCTCGTTAAAAATATTCATTTGATTCAATATTATACAGGTTGACTGCACACCACTGACGTCGTCAGAATGTCCCAGCAAAGAAACTACTTCTACCGGCGACTGTTGCCTGCAGTGTCCCGCTGGATGGGGCGTCCAGTCGCGCTGTTCAGCAGTCAACAACACCATCTGTACGCAGTGTTACAATGACATCACATTTTCATCCGAGCCCAGTCACACTGCTGGCTGCATGCCGTGTAGAAGATGTGCCAGGAATGAATTCGTCATAAGATCCTGCAATATCACACATGATACCTTGTGCGAGTGTAGGAGGAACTACTTTCATACGGCGGATGGATCTTGTAGTCAGTGTAACACGTGCCCTCCTGGATTTGGTACAACTGTGGCATGCAATACGTACCAAAACTCGGAATGCGATTTCTGTTCAAATGGGACTTATTCTGACGTGACGAGCGCCACCAATGATTGTGTACCTTGCAGTATGTGCCCTGAAGGCACTGTTGTGCTGAATACGTGCACAAGATTTTCAGACACTGTTTGCTCAGGTACATGTCATTTAAGTTGAAGTGATTCATTAATGTAATAAAACGGTGCTTTTATTTTGGGAGAAAAATATGTCCACATTTCTTAAAACTGCTATGGTGAACTCCTTACCTTGAAACGATCTCAGAAACCAAACACAGTCGATATAAATTATAAAGTAGACCTTATATTCTGCCTTTTCTCATCTTGAACGGCAGCCAACGTCGCTAAGGAATGTTTTATGCACAGAGACATGACGGAGTCAAACAGCATTGCAGGATTAATATTACGTCAACATTTGGTATAGACAAATTGTATAGGCTAGAAGTCCATCTTTGATTTCCTTGTAAACAGATGCTATCTATACGTAAATTGTTTTTTTTTAACAAAGATACGAGGCAGTTTGCGAAAGAGTGGATGATATTAAGTGCATTGACATAAAAGAATCGTTTTCATCTACAGTGGAAGATTGTTTAAAACCTCTTTGTTTTATTGATACCACAGATAAAGCGTTATCAACAACCGTTGCATACCATCCAGCCAGTCAAACCCCAGATACGGTTTCACGTGCTATCGACGGTAGATCTCCTAGCATCGTACCCATCTACTGCGCTATCCTGGCTTTCGTTGTTATTGGTCTTCTCGGATATGTCGTCTTTAAGAGATGGTCTTTTAGAAGAGTAAAGCTGCGATCTCATTCGAAGCAAACAAGGTAATTTAGTTGTGTATGGAGCTCATATCACATGCATGTGGCATGGACATGCAGATCTGGTTCAGTGTTTGCATCTGGGTTGCTCCAGATTGCATTTATCTCAATTTCAATTTCAGAAACATTTATTTCCTTCAAAAGCAGAGAAAATCATTATATTATATATAAAGTAGAATAACTGAAGACGTGATCTTGAGGAGCCGGAGCTTGCAAGGACATGCCATTAAATAAATCACAATACATTGAAACATGTTAAATACATTGGAAAACAATGAAGATTTCAAAGAAAAAGAAAAATGCTTATTTGACATTGTTCATGTCAGAAAGAGTGAGAGTGTTTAGTTTAGCGAAGAGAGGTGCAGTGTGGTCACGAGGATAAGAAAAAATATATGAAGATACTCGTGGATAGTTTCTCATAATATGCTTCCCTCAGAGGATGAGGAAAAAAAGTATGGTATCGCATAATGCTTCATCGGGGGGAGAGCAAACGTATGATGATACTCGCTCATGGATGACATCGCATAGTATGCCATTAGCCCTTTGAGATTTATTTACACTCACGATAGGAGGGCGCTAGTTGAAGTGGGTAAACTCTATCTAAATATCTCTAAAAAGCAGTTAGCATCAGATCTTCTTTTAAATTTGTTTGCCTTACCCCCTTCCCATGCAGAATTTCTGGTTTCTTCATTATATGGGCAAATAGACCAATCCAAATAATATATTTCAATTAACTCGTGTGTTTTATGTGGACATGTGCAGGTCTCCCCCAGGGTCTCCGTCAAAAGTCGACATCGAGAAGGCCTGTTCTGGGAAAAATTCTAGTAAAAAAACGACAGCGGATTTTTCGAGTTTAGCATCCGTGAACACTCGGCCGAGCGACCAAACACCTCTAATGGCCGGTAAGTAACTTCTATTTTATCGGTATAATATAGAGTTGCTCAACAAATACAATCATGTTTCGAACCGTATACCGCTTTTTAAAAAATAGCAAATAAGAGTATAGCCTACATGTCTGTGGGCGCAACAAACAAAATGTTTGGAATTTGGTTACGAAACCTGGAATACAAATATATAGCAATATTTCGTTAATTTGTCTATTTTCACGACCCTGATCACTTTTATGTGCTCGAAGAGTCATCCAAATAAACACATAATATTCAGAAATGCATTATTTTTTAAGGAAACAATCGATTTGATCTCAATAAACAGTCAAAAATTAAAGATGAACTTGATAAGTAATTTTGTCTTAATGGAATATACTGATGAAGGATACGAAGTTAAGTGATTAGCGAAAAATGCTTTCATTTATTGAGAACGCATTACTAGAATGAGAAGGCATTTATTGGCCCTGGAGAAATGTCAGTATAGAACAGGTAACTGCATTATGCGTTTCTTTTGCACACTGAACAGTTCCTAGCACAACTTTGTATCGAGATCTACCGACAGCAACACGTTCGGAAGTGGAGTCTTTGCTGGGTATCTCCAGGCTGGATAGGCGGGATTGGAGGGGGCTCGCCCACGAGCTGGGATTCACTGACAAAGACATCGTACATTTTATCAAAAGTTCTCATGAGGATTTGCCCGTTCATCGGATCTTGACTGTATGGTCTGACGGAGAGGGCGCTGTTGTCAGCGTTTTGGTAGCTGCTTTACAAAGACTGAACAGGCAGGACGTGCTTAAGAAGTTACCAGTAATTGCATGATCTAAACAAATTAAAACATCCAGTTTACAAACGATGTTGTATTGTAATTGTAGTATAATGTAAAGTTTGTACAATGTACAGTTAATGCCATGTATCCGTTACCGGTAGTTAAACTGTATAGACTCTCGAATTTGTTAAAGAGCTCTTGATCACTGCACATCTGCAGGATGCTAAATTTTGACACAGCATTGTGATAGTGATATATTGCGGCAGAAAAGGTGTATTGAATCAATGAGCTATTATTCTCGTATATTAAAATATGAGGCGTCAGCTCGCCCCCTTCGCATGCCTAGTCGCCCGCTTTGCGGGAGACTCGCCGCGGAGCGGGCGATTACCCGTTTCGAGGCTGATCAACTCGTGAACCCATGTCATAGGCCTACCCCGCCCCCGGTTACTTCCTAGCTCCGCGCTTCGTGACCACCATTATGGCTCGCTTTCGACGGCTCGAATCCAGCGGCGTAGTATGAGTTACCTTGACTAGCTGAAGAACAAAAAAGTCCTTTTTTCCGCGATTTTGTGCGTATTTACCACCTAAACCCTTTCTTTTCGAGGGTGGCTGTTTATTTTAACGTCCGTGGAAAGCGAATAGCGGTAGTCATTGTCTAACATTAACCATGATATAGGTTTTGAACAGTGCCCCTCGTTCGTTTATTGCTACAGATTGCGCATTTGCATCATCCCAAGACGAAAGTGCTGGAATCGCGAGTGAAGTAATCGAACGCGCTGATATAGACGTACCCTTGAAGTAAGAGTTTTAAAGTTCAACCTCTGCAAAGCTCCATTCTATGTGCGTAAGAATAATGGGGGTATAGTTGCGCTTTTCTGCATTGTTTAGTTTTGATTCAGACTACACCTTCTTTGAATGGCCCACCCATAATCGACGTGTACCTGGTCATCCTTTACGTCTGAGGACTAGGAACAATGGGTTACCTGCAGTAACAATAAACCCGAGGACCTGAGCCCAAGTCCTCAGGCTTTCATGTAGTTATGGGACATGTCGAGAAAAGGTCCAAACAATAGGAATAAAAGAATGGAATAGTAATGGTCCTCAGTAGTATAGTAAGTTTGTAACACCTGACTGCGTGTGGGTGGGTGGGTGTGTGTGTGTGTGAGCTTGTCTTACATACGCAGTGTGGACTTCCGAACAAAAGACGTCCACATAATGTAGGTAGCAGCGACGAAGTGTGGACTTGCCCACGTCCACACAGTGTTTCCCCATTTCTGGAAAACAGGTTTAGAGGCATTTTTGGGTTAGGTTTATCTGTAGCAGAATGAAGAGAAACACTAAAGGGAATCATTGAAAAAAAATTGGGTTGTAAGAGTTTTCACAGTTTGAGAAAAATGAGTTTTTCCACTGGTGTTCCTTAACTACACGAAAAGAAAGGAAAGTCCACACTAGGTATGTGAAACAAGTCTGGGTGTGTGTGTGTGTGCTGGCTGTGTGTGTGTGCTGGAATTTACTACCTTACGGAGACATGAACACAATAGGGAACAAAAGATTGTATACGTCTCCAGAAGAACATTTCTATAGATGAATACGTCTCCACAAGAATTTCACGAAATAGATATATGGATTTTACTCAAAAACTAGGAATTTCCAAGGTAGGTTGATTAGTCGCAAATGGAAGAGTTTTAGAAAAGGGATATTTAGTCCAAATTTCAGCCCAGGAAATTAATTCTGGTTAAAATAAGAGCATTTTGAAACTTCAATTTCAAACTCGAAAACTTTACTACACGAGAACAAAGAAATGTCTCCACAGGAATACAAATTCCAGAATGGGTGTGTTGGGAGGGGGGTCGTCTCGAAGAGAAGTGATGGTTTTACTTGGGTAGGACCAAGTCCTATAGGACCATTATATTTCTGGTGTTTTTTAATTTTTAATTTTACAAAGGCTAGGCCTAAGTGTATTGAAGTTATCAAGGTTATTACACATGTGCCTACATTGCGGTTTTGAACCTAAATAGTGCTTAACACTGCGTCACAAAGGTCTTATCACGAGAGTGATCCTCTTCCCCTAACAAATACTTCATCAAAATTTAGAACAAAGATGAAGCAGTGTGTTCAATCTGCCGCAATCGGAGGCACGATGCAGGGTTGTAGGCCCTAATAGCCCTCAGACACGGATGACGTCACACTTTGTCTACACGTGCGCTTTCCTATGGGAGCCAGGTGTGGACAAGAGCCCCCAACCTCCCATAAGAAGGTACGCCCGCAATCATAGCGTGACGTTATTAATGTCTCAAGTCCATTAAGTCAAACATTGGCTTACCTGGGGCGAAACGCCCCTCCCCTGTTCGAGGCATGTGGAACAATCACCCTAATCCCCCAAATAATGAGGGGACAATATGCTATAAATTTCAGCTCTTTGTACTTAAAGATGTTCCAGGCACAATAACATAATAATGTAAACTTGTTGACGCGAAGCTGAACTAGTTTGTGGAGGTAGTATTTAGGGCTATGTGACGTTAAAGCCGTTTTAGGGAGGGGGAGAAATGCTTAAAAAAGAAACGCACCAAGCCTCCAGATTTGACAGTGCTTAATGTCCGTTTGATTTCATCATTGTCTATTTAGGTTTTATTCTCTCCATTTTTGTGTTTTGGTGTTAACATTAAATGCAACTTATTTATTAGGACGAATGAGAACTTGCACGTTACTCGCATTATATAAAATAAATCAATAAAATTCATGACGTGGGTCACTTTTAACTTGTAAAATATTTGTCCTTAAGATATTTTTTTTATGTTAACTAGCTTCGCGCGGCACCCGCTAGCTGGGTGGAGCCGTGAAAATTTGTATTGTTTGAAGGTTTTAAAAAGTTGTTAAGCTACGATTTCAAAATATCTTGCGTGAACGAAAGCCTAGATATTTTGTGGAAAACGATGAAGAGACAATGGGCGCTGTAATGTCATCCGACAGGCAACTACCTGGAGGCTTGTGCTTGTGATAAGGCCCAAATTATTTATTATCCCCTCAAGCACATCAGCTTGGGAAAATCCATAATTTTGGGCGATAACTTGACAGATTTATCAACGAACATGATGGATTTATCATCGTACAACGTATGGTGTGAATCTTGCAAAATTAATGATAAGTGCGCCCTCGATTGAGGTATTTTTGAGAAGGGGTCGTTATACAGTCAGGTTCGAAATGAATATTCATAGCTATGAATTCTTACGATCGACGGTTAAAGGTTGTACTAATGTATTACTTTGACCTCAATTAGGACGTTGACTCCGAGTGGGGATGGTGAACCTTGGTAAAGCAGCCACATTTTTTTTTTATCATCAACGTTATGTTTTGCGTAATAGCGATATGTTTTGGAGTGTTTTCATAGAAATAATGTAATATTTAGCTGTTCAAAGTCTGAAAGAATCAAATTTGCCAAAAAAGCAAAAGAAAACAAATAAATCTTTTTTTTTTCACGTGCCAACCGTGACTTCTGAGGACAGTGAAATCGGAGCATGTATATATTATACACCATTCAAGGACCTGCATATACTGGATGACCGCATAATCAGAGGAACCGTTGATAACCAAGCCTCTCCATTAACCTTGCACTTGGTGCCCTCCGCAGACTCCTGAGGCCTTTTACAAAAAAAAGTGGCACACAGACAGACAGACAGACAGCGTAGCAATATAGGATATAGCCTTTCCCTGCCAATTTCACAACGTTTTCATTCAAGTCTACGCCTGGTTCATTCAATTTAGAATGCAATTGCAAGATGACGCAGATCGTCATTCGACAATCATTTTCATTAATGGGCAAACATATTTACACATTTTCAAGCATCTTTCAAGCATCTTTTAAGACTTCCTGCATGTCCATATTCATATACAATGCCATAATTATGTGGATACACACCTATCTTTCTTAACTAAGATATCATACAGATTGGAGATGTGATCATCTGATGGAAGTGTCCCAAGAAAACATTGGAGAAATGGTAACAATTGCCAAACATACAGTACATGCCCCGATGTCTTGCACGTCAAGAGATCGATGGGTGAATCAGCAATAATTGAAAACTTACAAAAGACAGAACGGAAAATAGCAGTAAACAAAGTTAAAGGATAAGAAACATGTCACCATAAAGATGCTTCTTATAGATTTATTCAAACTTTTAAACAAGTAGATCAACAGGAAAAGGAAAATTCCTTATCTCTTTTCATTATTTCATTACATCAGCTATATCCCTCATAATTTATATCAGTTAATTTGTTACATTATAAATTTTACATTCACAAAGATTTTGAAAAAACATTAACCTCGGAGGAAAATGGAAAAACGTCAATTTGAATGACCAACCGATGAAAATGACTGCCCATAAACGAATAAGAAAAGAAAAGCATGATAATACTACACATGCGCACCGACGTTCGCTAATTTGAATGCGTCAACCGTCAAAAGATGTCAAAAACTTAATTTAAGAATGCTACAAATGAATTCTTGAACGCACCAAACCAAAACGAAATGGAATGCCCTCAAACGAAAACGAACGTTCGGAGTAAAATCTTAGGTGCCTAACAATTATAATTGAATGCATGCCTCAACAGTGAAAAAGAAACCCCAATTTGATCACATGTGTAAAAAAATCACGCGAAATTGAATGGCTGATAATGAAAATAATCAGAAAAATTCGGACACTGGCCGGGAAAACCTACCGGTATATTATCACCGCTTTTGACTTAAAATTGTCCGTACCATGTCTCGATTTCAAATTTTGTCTGTTAGTTTTGTAGCCGCGATATGAAATATGTGTTTAACCATTGAAGTATCAGGCATCAAAATGTTAGAGTTCATATGGCACATGTTTCTATCAATATCGAACTTCCAATGACCGGAATCTTTCAGATTTGTTTCCAGTTTTGTTGTGTCGTCCATAGTCTGGTTCCCAGGCCAAAAGATGCTGAAAAAAAGACACAAAAAAACGGGCCGAATATGTCCAGAGTTTACCGAATACATTTTGTTGACACTCGTTTATCTTCGCAACAGTTTCTATACCATGCAGCAAAATACCTGTCATGATTGTTATCAGTTTTGAAAATGTTGAGGTCATTATTGTATTGCTTGTATTAAAAAAAATTCCAATGCCAGGCGTATTTCCCAGTACATGTATTCGTGTATCTGTATTATTGTGCTTGAGTATATACACGAGGAACTGCAGGCTTTGTCACGTGACGGCTAGCAAACCTATGATTTGTCAGAACAGTCAAGTCTGGGGAATGTGACCTTTCCCAAGTTCTGAGAGGTGGAGGAGGACGTGTCCCACCCCGTGCCTCATACCCCCAGTTACGCCACTGAAAATCATCGCTCTTGCTTGCACAATTTTGCAACGGTCGGCAACAGAGGTCGATGTTAACAGCGCCACCTAGTTTCACATGGTGTGTCAGGATGTCCAGACCCGTCAATAGACCATTATCATGTTGCGACCATCTTGATTTCTTCCCATTAAAATCAGCGTAACCAAATTGAGGCTGGAAGGAAAAATAGTCTGGTTCCTTTTTGCACAAAAGCATTGTCATTAAGTACTGTTATTGGATAACGGGGACATGACTGAAATGATGGCAGCATGATAAAGGTCATAGTGTTGTTTCGTACCGAGGTCGATCCAGTTGGACTACAATCCTGGCCAAATCTCGCTGGGCCCCCAACCCCCCAGCCCCCGCTCAATGTTGTCTCTCATTGCGCGGTGTGTGCTCCATCCGCTGGAGAGAACAACATTGACCGGGGGAGCGGGGGAGTTGGTGACCGTTGGAGGCTAATGTTATTTCCAAGTGTCCCAACCATTTTGGCCGGGATTGTAGCTAGTCAAATCATGCAGCATTCCAGTGACATCTAGATCGACCATTGTTAAGTCTAGTCGACTCTAGTCTAGTCAGTCAACCGAACTTGCTCCCAGCTAGGATGAAAAGAGGAGTCTGATTGAAGCAACTCCCATATCTGATAAACCCATCTTAGCCTCTCTCCGATGTCTTCCAAAGCGTAGTTCAAGAATATATGGTATTTGATTAAGTTGATTGCTTGCTAAGGTATGTATCTAATTGCCAAACAAACAAACAACTCAACGAGCAAAAAAAACACACCAAAAAACACCGAAAAAAAATAAAAACAAAAAGGCACACAATCATTGATAACAATAATTGTCACTCAAGATGTTGGAAACAACTTTTTTGGGGGAAAATCTTTGTTCAACCAGCCTATCTTTAGGTGGCGCCTTGAGCTGTTTTCTTGTTTCCATGTGTCTTCTAGAATGTCTTGCTGACGTATAGTGTGTTGCATATTTTATGTCGTTGGAGCTACTTCTTATTGATTGTATTGATTTCTTGAAGTAATGTACCAAGCCATCCCTCCCTGTAAACTATTGAATGACAAGTTGTGGTAATGGTGTTCATATTAAGTTGACTCTTAATATCTAGGGAGCTGTAGGTCAGACAGGCCCTCTCCCCGCCAAATTGGAAAAGGAATGCGATTGTCATTGTGAACCAAGTCCAAAGTACCTATCCCATCAAACGCTCATAAAGCGACCCTAAAAAAAAAACACTCATTCTGGCTCGACGTCCCTCACACACAATTTCCACCAATTGTCTTCGTATCTAAAGGGGTACATTATGGCGATATTTATTATTCATCATCATTGATTCGTGAGCGTTTTTGGTGCCGCTATATTTACGAGAGCATCTTGTCTGATGGAGATTAGTTTGAACACAATGAATGTGCCTTGTGGTGAGAATCAATACACCCAGAGAAAGCATTGCCGCAGACTACCATACGATTGCTACCGTGTCCCAAAATGTTCATATGCATATTTGGGATGTGTCCTTGCGCATCAGCGATGTTAGTTTAATAAGAAACGTACATTCTTATCCCCAATAAGAAGCGTCTTTTTGCAATGGTTGTCGTCTAAGATCACACATAGAGCAGACGCCATGGGACTGAACAGAGTGATCGCATTGCTCCTGCCAGTCGTTATGGTAGCGACTGTTGCCTCAGCCACACCGTTACCTTTCCTGAAAAAGCGACCGAGTCTTGATATTCTGAAACAATATGGGAAACACTCTGGCATCGACATCGGACAAGAGATCCACAAGATGCATCTCAGGCAGCGAATCGGGGTCCTGGATGCCCGAAAATATAGTATTGACGAGATAAGTGACACCGACGAAGTAAGTGTTTTGAAGAAACCTCCAGGGCTGTTTGACGATACCGACATCAAAGATGCATTTTCAACACAGGGGGTGGGAGACAGGATGCCAAGTAGTACCGAGCTAGATGACTTAGATCAGGAACTGCAACAAGTTGACTACTCCTTGCTGGCACTTGAGCTTCAAGAGCTTACTTCACCTGCTGGGAACTCTGATGGTTCTGCAACTTCAGGTTTGATGGGTTTTGAAGACGAACTGATCCTCCTGACGTCTTCAGGTATGCCTAGTCCTAAGAGGCCCGAGCATTATCCAACTGCAGGTGTCTTCACCCATCTTAACAATGAGATAAGCTTATCTGCAGAGGATCTAGAATCACAGCTGCAGCATCACGCTCAAAGTTTGGACGCAGAGTTGCAAAGCCTGTCTGACTCTGACATTACAAATGAAGGCGATGGATCTGAGCAGTCTGGAAGTGGAGAAGGATATCTGGAGTATCACCCGTCACTTGACAACAACGACAACATGGTGGTGTCGACTTCGCAACATATTGAGGATCATCCGAGTGTTCCAAATGACGACCACCTTGCAGAAGTGTCTGGAAGTGGCGAAGGAAATCTGGAATATCACCCGTCACTTGACATCGACAACAAAATGTCGGTTTCGAATTCGGTACATATTGAGGATCGTCTGAGCATTCCAAAAGAATTCAATCGTGAAAGAGTTTCCTCTGGCGCTATGCTGAGTGGTTCGGGTGATCTATCTGGTTCCATTGTAACCACAGACAGTTCGGTACATGAGGAGTTGACATTCACTAGTTTGCCACAGACCGACATCAAAGACCCGCCGAAACTTGTACTTTCAATTGACCAACAAGACAACCAACAGAGTGTGAGGATTCTCGACTCATCAATGAGTGGTTCACACTTAGTCCAAATGACCGATGGATATGGAGGCGTACAGGGGAACGGGAAGGGGACTCTGTCTATGGAGGAGGGGTTGGAATTGGAGCTAGAGGGGCTGAGTCTGGTGACTGATAGCAATGCGTCTGTAGATGACAGCAAGGAGGAGAATGATGCCGGCTCAGGATGTGGTACCGGTACCGGTACTGAAGGTATGCATTCTTTATAATGCCATGTTCAATAGTCTGCCTAATCTAAAGAAAAGCAAAGACAAAATATCAGTGTTATCATAAGTCGTTTGGATTTGAATTAGAGCAAGTTAAAAGAAATCATGATGTGACCTGTTGATATCAGTTTCTTTTACGATGATTTAAGAGGCACCACATAATTGTTCTTGACAACAGCATTCGTGCCGGCTCTTAGTACTATGATACCAGCACCTAGCGATCCAGGTACCCATGGCGATTACGGCATGTTAACACCAATTCCATCAATAAGACCAATGACTATGGACAATGGATGTCTGAATGATCAAATGGCCTGTCGTGATGGAGTACAGTGCGTACCTGTTGAGAACTTCTGTGACTTAGTCAAAGACTGTGAAGATGGTTCAGACGAGGACCCTTCCATTTGTGGTAAGTCAAACTAAAAAGCAAATCAATAAGTCAATCTGAATCCGTTCATGTCCCAGTTTATTTTCACGTCGGCAGTATATCACCAATTTGCATGGGGTGGGAACTTTGGGGCCTCATTTTACAAAAAGTGGCCAATCATGCATGGGATTGGTCTCATTTTGAATCATTACAAAGCTATATAGTTTTTCAAATTCTCAAAACGCTGTTGGGCAAAATAAGGAACAAGCCTTGAAAGCGGGACGTGCCCCTGTGCGCCCCCTCTCCCCGATTAGACCAGTCGGTAATAATACACATTGTATGCACTCATTCGCAGAAGCACATGCAAGCAGTGCATTGGTAATGCATGGAAATGCGAACATTTCAGCTGCATTTTTTCAAGTTATGTTAGTGTTTTCGCTGCTTGATAGGTAGAAAAATCCTCCTCCAACGGTAGAATACATATACAGCTAACATGGATGAAGAGTGGGAGAAAAACAAATAAAGTGTAAATGATTGAAATTATTCATTGTTTTTAACGAAAGCTAGAGAGGCCACCGTACAAACAAAATATCTTGTAGCGTTGAGTGTTACTATGTATCAGTCGCTGCGAGGAGAGACAGTAATTTCGCATATCTTCTCTATGCTTCCGTAAATTCCACAGACACTCAGGTACAAAAAAGCACACGTTTTCATCATTTATACCCTTTATCTCGCACACATACGGTTTCCTAAATGTGTTTCTGCAGTCTTGTTACCGGTGTTGTGAGCAAATTTGGTGCTTAAATTGTCACCAAAAAACTGGACGTTTTATATGTTCCTTAATGAACTCAAAATCCCTAAGTGAATGCCTAAGGGGTCACGAAATATCATTTGGCATTGAATACAAAATAGGGTTTTTCAAGTGCAGGAAATTATGTACATAGGCCTAATCATGATTTTCTTAGGGTGAAATTTATTTCAGCCATTTATTTATCAATACAGCGTCATCCAGAAATTGTGGACCAGAGCTTTTCAAATGCGGTCCGAGTGCTCAGTGTGTCAGTCAAGTCGACAGGTGTGATGGAATCTACCATTGCTCTAATGGGGAAGACGAAAAAGATTGCAGTAAGTTCATTAACAAAACCATTCCATGGAATGAGATTGCCCTGGGCCAAGCTCATCGCTTTGAACGGTGCATCGGGAACATGAGAATACGAAGGAATGGTTTTAGTCGGTTCTGTATCGTTCCGATTCCAATTTTAAAAATTGTTTCGTAGTTTAAAGATTCAGGAATGTAACTTTCAGAAGTTTTTGTAATTTGTTATTTTCTCTTTACATGTGACGTCAAAGTAAAATGTAAAATGGTTCAAGGTGCAATTTCCCGTCACACATAATGCGGTGGATACAAAAGAGGTCAGCCTATCATGCTGGTATGCCTAACAAACATGTTACAAATGTTCGGCCAGATTTCGCAAAAAAAAATACATCATGTGTTAATTTGTTTACTTTTAAATAAAGGTTTCAAATATCAGGATCACGAAATCCACATAATGTCTTACATTTTACTGAGAACACGTAGGAAACCCCCGTTTGTTTACATCTGAGGCGACAGTGGTTTTTGGCCTCGTCTATACGTTTTTCAAGCATGAAATTTGATCCAGATTATCAACAAAAGACTGGGGCCGCATTAAATGCACTATAGTAACAGTGAGACTCACACAGCAATCCTAGGCGTTTGAAGAACGTTTTGAAACGAAAACATGTGTGACTGGTCTAGCGCTCCAACGGCTCGATTTTTTGAGGACTTTTGTACCCTGAAATTCCTTCGCCTATAATTACACTGACGGAAACAGCAGTGGCGTAAGCCTAGCCAGGGGAGTGCAAGGGGCTATCGGGACGCTGATTGAAGCTAAGAAGGGACGGCGAAAATGGATTATAAATGCAAAATCGGGACGAAACATAAGCGAAACGTAAACTCTATTTTGCAACGGGCAAACAAAACCAAGGCTACGGGCCTAGAAAACACCTTTTTTCCAAGGGTATAGTTTTGTGAACGTTCTTATTCTTTCTAACGATCTTTCAAACTATTGTCTTTTCGTGGTAAACACTATTTCGAGCACAAAGGGGCGGGCGCTTTCTCTGTGTGTATTAAAAAAAATGGACTGCATTGAATTTTAGGCAAATACGTTTTCCCAGGTTTCTGTATTATATCCAAAGGCGCAATTAATCAGTTTCCACCTGATCTGCACCGCATGGTGTCATACTAAGCAGACATTCTTAAATCCCAGGATGAGCGTGACATCGACACGGCACGTCTTGTGTACCGGCCGCCAGGATAGTTGATTGGTGTGTGTCCACTTGAGAGTTCGATTCTCAGAAACAAGCAAGGCACTGTAACATATTATACTTTAATGTTTCAGAGACCTGTACGGATCTCCACGGTGAGATGCATGTTCTCACGCCGGAGGATTTTTGTGACGGTGTGAAGGATTGTGCAGATGGATCAGATGAGCGCAGAGAAAGGTATAAAGCTATACATGTACTTATCACAAGCCCAACCAAAACCGTCATGTGTTAATAAACAATGGTTGCTGTGCGGGGATTGATGAACAGTGACAATTTTCTCGGAAACTTTTGCTTCTAATCAATTCTTATTTATTCAAGGGTAAGCCACGCCTTGTTTTTACATCATTACGTCCTGATCAATATTCTGATTCGTTTCTCGATCCATCTTTGGGATGGGAACAGGCACGGCCATGCTAGGCAGGTACACCTCAATTAAGACTTTGAATGTCATATTTACTGGGACAGGATATTGAAGCAGTCCAATGAGGTAACATCATGACAGCTTGTACAATAATAACCATAATAATGCTCTAATACGAAACTTTGTGATAGGGCGCATGCACGGTGAGATTGGAATCAATATTCTTGCATACTCGCCAACGTCATAGGAATGAAAACTATTCTCCGTAAGGTCAGTGTGAAAATTGTCCCACATTTTGGAATTTTGAACGGGCAGCTATCTGTCAGTAAAAACTGACAGCTGTCGGAGATTGACAAATCATTGATGACAGGAAAATGTACTCTGATATCGACTGCATCCTGCCTGATGCGTGTATGGTTTATGTCTCCCTCAGGTGCGAGTTGCCATGTTCACCTGGATATCGTAAATGTAAAGATGGCTTGCAGTGTGTGAAGGAAGAACTCTTCTGCAACGGAATTTACAGTTGTCACGATATGTCAGATGAAATAGATTGTGGTAGGTCATTGCTCTACGATGGCGAATATAATTCTTGTTAAGTCATGTGAAGTGATATTCAGTTTATCCTTGTACAGTTTGGGTGCCGGGGGCGGCGGAACCAGGGGGGGGGGGGCATTTTCCCAGGCCAACAGAAGTGCCCCCCTCGCGGCTGGATGAAAACAAAACTGCCCCTCAAACGCAAACGTATGAAAGTACAATGTATATGATTGCGCTACAACAAAACTGTATTCCTCTCTCGCACCGGGGCGGCAGAACGGGGGATGGGGGGGGGGGGGGGGAGGGGGCAGGGGGAAACGTTCCCCCCCCCTGCAGATTGACCCAAGTGCCCCTCTTGCGGACATAAATGTGTCCCCTCGAGCGTAAAATGTGTCCCTCGCGATGAAAACAAACCTCGCCCTAAAATTTCGGATGACTCGTTTTCAGTAATGAACGAGGAATATGAAAACCAAGCCCCAAAACCCTAACAATGCGCCCTGAAAATGGGAACATAGTGAGTAGTTTGCATACTATTTTGGAAGGTGGTACCCCGCCCCCTTCCCCCCCCCCCCCTTATTTGATTTTACGGAGGCCAAGTGTCCGGTGAAAAAAAACTTGTCGACATTTCAGCACGGATGCCCTCCCCCCCCCAAAAAAAAATGCTGGATACGCTGCTGCACCAACGGAAGATGCCTTTTACTAAGCAAGTGCCAATTTTCGATGATGCCCCCCCCCCCCCTGTTTGAAAACCATTCTGCCCCCACTGCTCTCGCATTAACAAGATTGTGCACCTTATCCAGATGGAAAACTACCCCTCGAAAGCACAAATACCCCTCTCGCAAAAACAAAATTGTACCCCTCTCGAGATGGAAAATTAACCATCAAAAACAAGTGTTTTCCTCGCGATAACTTCTCGAAATAGAAAACTGCCCCTCGAAAGCACAATTGACCTATCGCCGTTTGCGAGTTAGCCACGCCCCTTAGACAACCCTATGGAATTTTTGTGACACTAAGTTTTGTTTGTCTCAGATTTTGCGCGTTTCGCGTCCATTTGTATATCATGTAATTGGACAATATTTCACAAGCTGCGTTGACGCGATTCTAACGCGTTCCACCGCGAGGTCAATTAGTGCCCCGCGCGCAACATTAAAACTGTGCCCCCTCTCAAGATGGAAAACTGGCCCCTACAGTCAGTTGCCGTGTCACGCGTAGCTGCTCTATTTTCTCGTCCACACAACTGACAGCAACGCGAGGCCAGCGAACGATGGCCGTAGAAATGGCTTCAGAAAATTCGCAATTTTCATGGCAAACCACAACCGATCCAAACAAACAAAGTTGTTTTAGGTAGTTAAAGACCTACTTAATACATCCATCAATGATTTTTTTTTTCTCAAAAAAAGAAGGATTTCGATGCATTTTGACGATATTATTTCACGGACAAATCGACTAAAAATTAGGTCATGAAATTTCCGGGTTATTTTCGAGAACGGCGAAAGTCTCCCGAATGTTGAGGTAATCAAAGGAAAGAATGAACCTTTGTCTACAAAAAATCTCGTGAACGTGATGTCGTTAATATTTTAAGAATTCGATGTACACCTAATGTTTCCAACAACTTCCATTTTTCACGAGAAAAGATCGTCGCCATTGTAAAGTATAGAGCGAGGAACCCAAACACAGTGTGTCCTTGTGACCCATACGCCCACTGATTGGTCGAGCTCGAGTATGGCCTGCTTAATATTCATAAGTCATTCATTGCACGTTCGCACGTGCTATTCACAATGTTTTCAGGCCAACGTACATGTACATGTACATGTACGTCGGCGTACTTACGTGATTGCAAATCATGAAATCTCGCAAAAGTCTTCATTTTTAACCGGTGATTTGGACCAAACATTATAAGTCTCCTGCACGTGTTTCACATGAAAATAAAGCATATACTTTCCTCTATCTACTGAGCCTTGCCGTATCTTTTGGCCTTTTTTAAGAATCGAATGTTCACCTAAAAACTATCAGCCCTCGCTTTTGTTGATAAAAAACATGATTTTGTTTGACAGGCCGTAACAACACTTTATATTTGTCAAAAGCAGTTATTTTTGGTATCAAAATAAAGCACACGAATTCAACTTTTCACTTATTTAGCCATTGTGGCCAAACAGTGCATGTATCCATGCACTTTTCATGTTTTTCTGTAGTCTCGAATAAATCTCGTAAAATCTCGATTACGCTTTTGGGCCATGCGCGCTTGACCTCGGGACAAGAAACTGAGGTCAAACTGGGCTTTGTGCGTGACACGGCCACTGACTGCCTAAACTAGTGCACTTCACGCGAATAAAATACAATGTAGTCCCTGAACTGGCCATCAAAAGCAACAGTGCCCCTTTTGTGATATTAAAGGTCTCTTTACATTACTAGGTAAAAGAAACACAAAGAGCAAGATGGACAACGTTTATAAGTTTCTCGTCATTTATGTTTATATCGAAATGAACTGGACCATATTCTTTTCCTCCACTTTCACACCGACGCCGGAAACTGCCCCTTTTTTGAGCGAGTGCCCCTTTTCTGTGTCCCCCCAGTTTGAAAAGCGTTAATTCCGCCGCCCATGTTTGGTTGTAAATTACATGTAAGGTATGTACACAGGAACAATGTACGCAAGGCCTGTCTTTAGCAAATTGGCTTTTCATTTCACTTCTTTCGGAATGATGGATCCTTCCCACCAAAAGTAAAAAATGTAAAAAAAAAAATTAATTTGAAGACTTAAAGTTTAAACGGACTTAAATTGAGTAGCCATATAGGACTGCCTCCGGAAGGATATTCGTCTGGACCTCATTTGATAGTAGTAGCAGGATTCTTCTTATTCACAATTGGAATTAATTTCGTAGTTCACAGCACTGCCTTCTTTTTTATTCTTCTTTTTCCCGTTGGAAATCGCATTGGCGAGCTCATAATGCTATAATAATGACAATTCCGTTTGGGCATTAAGGCCTATCCGCGGGCCACTCGAAAAGTAATCACAGGATAGGAACAGGTCCACGGTATATTTTTCAACTCGTTATCAAGGCAGCCTAGCCTAATTCATGATGTTTTTTTGTGATTGAAGGTCGGACACCGAGTGAATGTCAAGACTTCGGTATGTTTGCATGTGATGGTCTGTGTCATCCCATGTCAGCTATGTGTGACTCTACATATGACTGCAGCAGTGGCATTGACGAAGACGGCTGTGGTAAGGACACATTCCTTCCAAAACTTGTTGAAATAAAACACGCAAGTTGGACCAGGAATCATACGGAGGAGAATCCTGACAGTAATCTCGTTTTTCAAACCCGATTGTAACTTCTCCAATGAAGTTTGTACTAATAGGGTGAAATTGCAAACTAGATGTCTTCAGCTTGTCGCCGTCGCGTCTTGATCCTCTCCATCGCTTGTGTACACGGTCCATGGCCTCAAGTCGTGCGTCGCACCGTAGCATCGGCCGTCACGTCGCTTCGTATTGTATTCAAGAGGCGTGTGCATGTCGACACCATATCACGTACACTACATTTTATCCAGCGAATTATATTATGTCACTAGTTCGATGCCGAGCCGTGACAATAAATGCGACGGCGACATGGATGGTACAATATGGTGCACGGCGTAACGTGCGACAGCCTAGAAAGAGTGTGGTGCGAGCACGAAAATCGCTAACATAAAGGACGACGTGATGACGGGACGACGTGGCGGAGACTCTGCCGTCGCACCGCGTGTTTAGAGGCGCCTCGGTGTGTCATCTTTAGGACACCTTTGGGTGCCATTGATGGCCCTGGACCGTAATGACGTCACGCTTTGAGTACCCTCTTGTAGGAGCCAGGTGGCGTCCCCACCTGACTAAGAAAACACTCAAAGCGTGACGTCATGACGTTCCACGGTAGTCATTATTTTTAAGACTCATTTTGCTGAAGGATCAATTATTTCGTATATTGTTTTTTTATCCGAAGCAGTTCTGGGGTATACCAACTTTGGATTCGCCAATCATCATTATTGCAGGCCCTATCTGCTTATAGTGTGACGTCACTTCAGTTTAACCACGCCCACTGACCATTAAGTAGCATGGATATGAACCATTGGAACCGGAAGTTAACGCAACTTACGTGTTTATCCAATGGGCGCTAGTGATCAGTGGTGCGCGCGCGTGTATGACGTTGTTACTTACGAATGATGCTTCCAAACGCTGGGATGTCAATAGTCGTTTTTATATAACCGACACACAGATCCTTGTCATTTGATTGGTGGAACTCACATCACGTGACATTCGTTATTGCTCCCATTCATGCCGCGGCTCAAAAAGCATTACTATACCTCATACATAGTCATGACCGAAAGCCGAATTCTCACTGGTCCATTCACCATCACGTGCCAGATGTTATTTTTGCTGTTTACCAAACGCGCGCGCGAGTATTCATGCACAGGCTAAGTACGCATGCGTAGTAGACTGTCGCACGGGTTACCCGTTGTCACGGTCTCACTTCTCCGGCGTGCTAGCTTCTCCGGGTCGATTTGGCGGATAACTGAGCACGTTACAGTACACGTTACATGAGCACGATTCATGCTCATGTGTCCGCTGTGCTTACTTTTCCTCGGGCTGTTTTCTGAAGTCTACCAAGCCCATTAATAACACAGTGAGGGACACCCAAGAATGTGTTATGTAACACTTCCTGTGGGTCAAGTCATTCCATGGTCTTGCAAGCATTCTGATTTGTGTTCCCAGCGTCATGCATGTGTGTGTTCATGGAGGAATAATTAAGAACGAACTCCTTGGTCCGTGTTCCTTGCTCGTTCGTGGTCCATTTTGTCCTTATTTTTGCAACCACGGCTTAAAATAAATGTGCATTTCAAATTCAAGTCTTTAATATTGGGAGTTAATAGCTAGTGCGCGCCACGAAAATTCTATGCATACAAATATCTTACGTACACAAGTACAGCCCCGAAAAACTCAGCACACTAATACAGTGACGAAAATGTACACTACTGCGCAATTTTGTGCATGCGTGTTGAAGCGAAATTTCCGTTTTGGAGAAGCTAGCACGCCGGAGAAGTGAGACCGTGACACCGTGCGACAGTCTACTACGCATGCGCTTTACGAAGCAATCGTTGAACTGTCGCACGGGTGAAGCACGCACGCAAGAACATCGCCCTATAGCTACACATGAAAAGATGGTTGCACACGTAAATGATAATAAGCGTTTTTCCAGATGAATGATGCCGAATTGGAGAATATTGTGGACAATATAAAGATGCATGTGCTAAAAAAAGTTGTCCACAAACAATTGTATTTAAAACCATAGTTACTGTATTGCAAACGAACTGAACTTTTCGGAGTTTGAGCAATATTATTCTTCTGGTGAGATGGACAAGTTTCTCCGAATATTTTTTTGCGGATGCATACTGCGGGAAAAATCGGCAACTGAATATGTATGAGGTATAGTAAAACAAATATAACATGGTTTATTTCGGGTGGACAGTCGATATTAGCTCCCCTCGGTATTGGAAGTTGACAAACTAGTTCCCTCGGCTTCGCCCCGGGAACTAGTTTTTCAACTTCCAATACCTCGGGGAGCAAATATCTACTGCCCACCCTCAAACCATGTTATATTTGTATACTATCCGCCCATGGGGAATGGGAAATACTATTGAACAGTTAGGATCATGACGCGGTATTTGTGTGCAAATGCATGTTGGTGTGCGCGTTCAGCGTTGCGCGTATTGTTCCAAAAAGCCAGCGCTACAGCGTTGGGTTCAAACATTTTCGTGAAGGGATGGTTTGGAAGAGAGAAATACATTTTCCTCCAGTTTTGTATTGAAATAAAAGTTCAAATGTATCAAATGACAAGGATCTATATGTCAGTTACATAAAACAAATATTGAGTGGCTTTAAATTGTGAAATGGGAGGAATATTATCGCTCAGTAAAATCCGGACTTTTCCATTTCACTCGGCTTCGCCTCGTGAAATGGAAAAGTCCAGATTTTACCTTGCGATAATATTCATCCCATTCCACGCTGAGCCACTCAATATTTGTATACCATAATAATGCTTCTAGATAACTAGATATCTTCAGTCAAACCTATACTTGGGGACTTCATGAAGTTACATCCATGCTTCTTCCTGTTGAGCCATTTTACATGTTTTCTGGTTCACTGTCTTCGTTTGTCTTGTCTCGATGCTTTAAAGACATAGTCGACTATAGTCCATCATTTGTAATTTGTGCATTTTGTTCGTTTGAAGCAACAAAAGTGTTCACAATCTAATGAAGGGTACTGAACAACTAACCTGATGGAGTTTCAGCTCAGCTTCAGCTGTATATTCCGAGAAAAACAGCATTCTAGGATCTCAATTTCAAATCAAAAGTTGCTGAATCATGTTTTGAATTGTTTTGAATTGCAGCTATACGCGACGTCGCGCACTGATCCGACGAATTATTGCAACCGCGCGCACCTGTGCGTCGTGCCAATGCTTGCGCGCGCTGCGCCGAATAACAAAACGAACTACTAATTTAAATTGGAAAGGCCTTCTTTCGTTGATTACTTCAAAATGATAGCTTGCCAGAAAGATTAATTTCACAGGGAGTTTAGTCCACTTACTATCTTTCAACCAAGTATGTTTTCAACAATAATACGCCAGTTACTTTTTCGGATGGCTGCAAATGATGGACTATAGCTTTAAAGTCAACAATGTTATAGGCCGCTTGCAGACGCGACCGATATTGACGCGCGAAGGTGCACGACGCCATGTTATGGGACAAAATGTGCATGGATAGATATAGGCCTGTCCCACAACATGGCGTCGCGCGCCTTCGCGCGTTGATTATCGAACGCATCTGCAAGCGGTCTATTGGAACTGAGAAGCATTCTGATGACGTCAAAGGTCGTGCCCGCTTTAACTGGTGATTTTGTTTTTATTTGGACTTCAACAGATCCATGACGACAGGACGAAGCGGTCGGGCATGGAAACAAGAAGCAACATCTTTACCATTCCATGAACTCCTAGACATTATTATAATATTGATTTATTAGGTTGAACTACTGTATCATTAAATTTAAAAACAGATTAAGTGTTATTAATTAATATTCGCCGTTTGATCGACTTAATAATTTGCACGAGTGCCAAAACACACATTTTTAGAAAGTTAAACAGACTTTAAGAAGAATGTACAGTTTTTAAACGTAGTTCTTGAATACACTTGGTCCAAGCACTTGTACTTATAGTTTGAATTTGGAATTGGATTTTTAAAAATACAATCTTAATGTTATTGTTGTTATTCTATACATAGTGACACGTATGAAGTTGAGGCAACCAATACAGACTGAGTCTGTATTGGTTGCAATGCCTCTTGGCAATTCCACATTGCATGCAAGTCTAATTTTGCAAAGAAACTACTGATTTTCATGTGACACATACCCGAGTACAAAGAGTGACGACTTACTTTGATTGCAGAATCTTTAAATAGGCGTTAAATTACATTTGTTTGTTTGTTCATTTTGGTTGGCAGAGAAAAAAAGGGGTAAAAAAGGATTTTAACAGAATGCTCACTACAATACCGTGCGGATCGACTGTATGTTGTAAGTACATTGTATTGCGACTCAACAACCACAAAGAAGTGCACTCTTTATTTCCACTCTGCGTTTGTTTCCTAACATCTGAGGTATTTATTGCCGTTAGAAGTGTGCAAATATTCAAATAGGTATACAAGCAACTAAAAGATGGAGTAGTTCATTGAAAACCGTACCTCTCGCCTCGCCAACCCTTTCTGTCAGTGACGTCATAGGCTGACTAGCTCATGGTTCGAAATGGTGAGGGTACGGGATGCGATATTTTTGCCATGCCACACATTCGCTATGGGCGTATGTATATCGAAGCACGTTGAGTTGCAAGTCGCGTTCTCGGACATTATTTGCCCTTTCAAAAATCCTTTTGATTAAAACAGTAAATATAGAACAATAAAAACATAGCCTGTGTGATTCGAACTGATGATCTACATACTTATAGTCGAACGTAGCGACTACAGTACAGCAGAGACTCGCAATAACTGTACGAGTTGTTTTGAACATTAGGTTCTTGTATGTATTGCGCCCTCCACGTAATTCACTATAGGCCTACTTCAAATATATTTGCAATGCCGTCGTCAGTAAATGCACTTATGCCGAAAGTTTTCGGAAAACCCCATAACTTTTGTCTCATCGATGCGCATGCACGTCTATTTTACATATGAAGCGAGACATTCCGGCACCGCGCCGGTCCGCGAAATTTCTTTTCACAAACGAGATCGGACAATATCAAAGAGGGCGCTTTCTCTGCGTTAATGCATAACGTCCGATATTGTCCGATCTCGTTTGTGAAAAGAAATTTCGCGATGTCCATGGAAATTAGAGAATAAGTTATATACAATGTAACACGAAAAAATAGTGTTTAAACCACCGACGATTGGCAGCTTATTCGTGGACTGGTTGGAAGAAGTCCTGACTTCTAATCAGGTGATCAGAGTTCGAATCTCAGTGATCGTTTTTCACTTCATTTTTACCTTTTAAATAAGTAAAGTGATGAAGGAACATTTCTCACAAGACGTAAAGCCCATCTTGGGTTTGTGTTATGGAGAACAAGGCATTAGATATGCATGTAATAGAGCAATCAGAAGAAGGGAAGCGGATGTCGTTTGGGAAAAAAAGATTCGCCACCGGGCCAGAGCCTATTGTGCACTCGCGCTGGTTTCTCCCTACCTCTCTTAAGGTGTTTTTTTTAAGACATTTTGAAAATTTTTCTTTTGTTAATTTGTGGTTAAGAGGTGTTTTTTTTCCCAAGGGAAAATAAAGTCCGAGAACCTGACTTGCACCTCAACGTGCTTCGATATACGCCCATAGCGAATGTGTGGTATGGCAAAAATATAGGTTTTCCCGTTCCAATTCCTAAAATGTCCATTCACTTCTGAAAATCGGTCATTCATTTTCGTCTGAATTTGAGAATCGCTCTGCACACGCGTTTCCTTTTCGCTACCAGAGCATTCGATTCCATTTCAGTTCAATCAATGAATTGATTGAGCAGCACTTTTCGTTTATGTTCATTCAGATCACGGATCCTAGACACCAGGATAAACGACTGTTCTGAGCTCCAGTACAAAATGCACTGAGCGGACTTGCCTTAATAATTGGTTAGACGCGTGATAACGGGCCCGTTATATTAATACCCGTTGGCGCGTAATCGCGAATTTTCCAGATGTGCCATTGTGTTGGGTTTTTGCACGACATCTAAAACGGAAATATTCATAAAACTGTAAGTAAAACTACTTCTTATTTAAGATATAATTGTTCCAAATTATTTTAAAAATAAATACTTCAGGATATAACAGATGGTATTGTGCAGTTTTTGTCGTCATAGATGAAGTATTTACCCGGGAAATAAACGTCAAATTTCGAGAACACCGTTTACCCAAATTTCGTTTTTAATTAGGCTTTTATTAAAAAGTTTCAGAGAGATAGGATGCCGAACCGATGAAACAAAAGCGACATTTCCTTGTTCATCTAAAAGCTAAAGATATTGTGCTCGGCATTACCATGGTTATGTAGTTATCACTTATCAGAATTCAGTAATAAAGACCAAAAACGTAGACTCATGAATATTCAAAAATATAATTCGCTGGCTTGACAGACTTCGAGGCCAGATCGGGCGAAGAAGAGCCTTGCAAATCTGAAAGCCACCGCGCGCAGTGGTCTTTGTTGAAAAGTATTCATGGTATTTGCCACCAGTACAGGCCGTTATCACGCATCTAATCAGGAGTTGGGCCGAGTCGTTAATCCTTGTGTGTAGGATCCGTGTTCAGATTCGTTTGCAAGACTTCTCTTTCGCGTTTAGAGGGCGATTTCAAAAAAAATGTCCCGGTAATTGGATTGGCTCTTATCAGGTCTCACGGGACTTTGGAAAATATACATCATAGAATAGCAGATCAAAGTACCAAACAATGCTTACTGGGTATTGACTCATACATCCGTAGAGTTCAGTTACTGATACCTGTAGACTGGGAATAATATCAGTCATTATGACGGAACGGTCGACATTAATATTGTACCATACAAATCATGTCGCGAACGACTTTATTCATTGACATGTACATGTATATGCCAACGAGAATTGTTGAAATAACTCATAAACATACTCTACACAAGTAAACATAAGCTTCGTGAAACACTCGTAAAAAAACTAAATCTATTTAAATCAAAGCAAAAGGCAATTAAAAAAAAGTTTCACCACATACACTTCTATTATTACAGATTTACATATATTTACACCTCCGATCCAATTAGCCGAATTCTAAGAGAAAAGGTATAATTATTTGCGCCACACGACCAATTGAATACAGGAGGAAGTAGCCATGACTTGCATATAGCAGAAATATACCCAGAAATTAACATGGCTCTAAGATGTGTTACATAGCCGAACATTACGCATAGCGCAAAAGATTTAGACATGGCATGTTGTACAGAGTTGATACATTATTATAAGTGAACGTGGTTTAACTACATTCCCGTGTAATGTTATTCTAATATAATGGTATTTTGCAAAGACTTAAATTAAAAGAACTGAGTAATGTATCTTTAGTACTGAACTACAACAAGACCCCAAGTAGCATACAACAGTATATAGAGGGAAGATGGGGTGCCGAGGGCAAAACACTTCATGCTGTTGCAGATACACTGTAACCCCCCAAAAAACCTCGCCATGTCCACAAGAAACCTTGGTTGCAACTCATAAGCTGCTGATTAAAGACTACACGCTTCTCTTTTATCCAAGGTCTTTATAATTTCAAGACAAATACTACACTCTTTATCATAAACACATTACATCTCTGTTATACATATATACTTCATTCTTCTGATTAAACACAATCAAGAATGATATTTGAACTGTTGAGTAGTATTCTTTGAGAATATGCAAGACATCCCGGGTTACTTAATTACTTTCTCGATGTATTTTTTTACAATGCACAGGGTTTTAAGCGTATGTTTGCAATGGAAAGGGGATGCAGCAATGGATATGAATAATATATAACATAATATGGTCAAGGTCAACTAGGTGATCGTAATTTTATGGCTGGATTATATTGGATATTAACTATTGCAAGTGATTCTAATCCCGAGTTACAGTCCTCTGCCGAAAACTACTTCTTTTTAATTTTTGCCCAGTACAAGATTCCCCATTTCTTCAGGATCCAAAAATTACATTAAAAAGAAAAAAATCAAAATCCTGGATTGTGTGTCCTTACATATTTGCATAAATAAGCTTATGGGGAAGAAAAAGACTGTTCTGTGAGGAAACAATGTTTAAGAAACATTTCCCAATTCAATACAGCAAACATGCCATTTAACAGCTCATGTGTTTTTGTTAAGATTTGTGTGCACTGATTGCTTTCAATCTGTCATGTTGCACCTCGATGACCATAGCTTAAGGAAACCCTGTCTTTACTATGGTTGAAGGAAACCATCCACTCGAAGTTCACAACTAATACTGTCTGCAGTCACTGCTAATATTTAATGTTACGATCTAAAACCACCCAGCAGCAGAGCCAAAACTGTAAGTGTAGATGTACTGGATAAATGACAAGTGAAATTGGGAACTACATGCCAGAGTGCACTCTTGTGTAAAGAAACCAGTGATACAACTGTAGTTGTAAATAATCATCATGGGACTACTCACTTGGTTTATGATATGGTCTGAGAATGACGAGTGTATTGTACAATTCTAAGAAACAGCTGCAGATCAGCTAAAAAAAGACAACGGATGGGTTTAGAATAATTCAGGCTAAAATCCATGAATAAGTACTTGTTCCTGCACACATTTTAAATGATCAAGTTCAAAATCTATGCAACCCTCCATTCACAAAATTGATATTTTTTTTGCAAAATGTTATGTCCAGAAATAGGAAAAAAACTTGTCAAAACATGTGCAAGAAATCAGCTAACAAGACTTGTTTTGTGCATTTTTAAACGACGACCTCAAATGACCTCTAATGACCCCTACCTGAGCTTTTACCTCAGTAATCCCATGAAGAACTGTGTCTTCCAACCCAAGGGTCACTGCATCCAAGTTTCTTCCAAATCCATGAAAGCATGTAGAAGTTATTATTTTCTTTCAAAACTTTAAGATACAGGTCTAGGGTCATACGGGTCTACGGTCATAGTCATACAGAATATAGGACTGGTGTCTCCCAAAAGTTCATTTAGGCGACACAAAAATGCATTATGCTTAGCACGTAATGGGTAAATCAGATCAGAATTTTTTTTTTTAAATCTGACAGATTCCCCTCCCGTCTTTATGTAAAATAAATAAAGGACAATTTAGCCAAATCAGGCGCTATATAAAGTTTTGTAATTTTCAGATTTTTCCAAAGGACAAACCATGACCGCACACAGTTGGCAGGACTAACTATGTACATGTAATATGTTCAGTCAAGAGGCAGTTCAGAGTACATGCTTCATTCAGAAAGCCTATCACCAAATTTTGTCGAGAATGCTTCATACAATGTACAATAAATAACTTTGACAAATTAAAAAAATCAAGCTCCATCAATACTAAATTGATCAACAAAATAAGTAAGCTGAATTATTATTAGTGTGAATTTGTTTGTCTCCTAGTCCATCGTTACATGTATCTTTTATCTCTTCCAATGGCAACTAGGAGACTGACTTCTTGCAACAAATAAAAAGACAAACAAGAATTCAGCTCAGTTGAACAGCCAGCAGCAAAACCAGCTTGCATTAGCAGACTCCTAATCATCTTTATGGTAGACTGGTCCAACATGGGTCATATATTTCTTGATGTATTCTTTGGCTTTGTGCTTGACATTAGAGTTGACTTCCAAGTCCTCAAAATTCTTGCAGTGTTTCAACTCTTTGTCCATGATGCCATGCGTCAGCTGCAACAACAAAATACCCCCAAAAAACATCAACAAAAACCAAAACATTTCAGTTGTCAGTACCACAGAGCATCAATTCAGTAGTTTGTAAGATATATATCTTACAAACAATATAAGCCATTCTTTCTGGACAGGAGCCTGTCACATAGATCTGCACTGGCATTTGTTTCAAAACATGCAATTGAGAATGGTTATAAATACAGATACGCAGCGGAAAGAGCAAGGGATTCTCATGTAAATCATTAAATGCCATCTGGAGTAATTATAAATATTCCAAAAATATTTAAAAAAAAAAAAAATTAAGTGTATTTTGCTAAAACAAAAACATAAATGTTTTATAACTATGGATTATCATATGATCGATAGCTTTGTATTGCAATTGTTTAAAAGCACATCCAGTCAATTGTACTAGTTCATCAAAGTGTTACATGTAACAATTATCTTCAAGCAAACTTGAATCCTCCATCCCGATTGGTTGATCCATAGCAATGATAGGGTTGTATCTGGTTTGTTAGTGTGATGTCATCACAACTTAACCATGCGTACTTCACATGGTGTAGCATAACACGAATGGAACCGGAAGTGAATGCAAATTGAGGGAAAGATTTCCATACCTGGACATCACTTGACACCCTGTGCACAAAACCTATGAGACTGGTCTGAAAAAGTGTTTTCTCAGTAAATGCTTCAATATTTTCCTTGCTAAATTTGACTTTTTAGGAGATATGTTTACTTTCTGATGGCTAATAGGTCACTGCAGGGAAAAAGTAGTGATGGCCAGGTATGGGAATCTTTCCAACTCAAGTGTTAAGCCAATGGGCACTTGTAAGGCGCCTATCAAATGCCCCCCCCCCCCCCCCAAGGTTTGATGTTGGGGTTTGGTCATGTTTTTCATGCCCCAGGGTGGGGATATTTGGTCACTGAAAAACATTGTTTCCATTAGCATACTACAGGGAAAGGCAATCACTAGTGTGTCCCACGTATGTATGTCGGGGATTGTCACTTAAATTTTGCCCGAGGGGTGGGGATTTTGTCACTTCAAAAGTGACAATCCCCACGTCTTGGGTGGGGCAGCCGGATGCGGGGGGACAATAGATAGGCGCATAATCAGAGGCCACTTGGGGGAAACAATTGATAGGCGCATAATCAGTGGTGCATGCGCGTGTGGGATGAAGTCACTAACGAACCAGATTATCTCATACTGCACGGTCCTTATTGCAAGGTGCGTAACATATGTTCTTCTATGATACGCATGTTTTCCTACTGCATGCAGGTGTTATGAGATATCGCCTAAAACATTACCACGGCGTACGTGTTCCATCTTTCCTGTGTGTCAAGTTTGCTCAGGCTCATGGAACACTAAAGATGTAGTGGGTCTGTGTTCCATATACCACTCTGCCTGCAGCATCATGGCATATGGGACACAGATGCACTACACTGCGTATTCCACTCACACTTGATGGATAATTAAATATCAGACACAAGTCAGTAAGACTCTAAGAAAGCCAGATCTTAGCAAAAGTAGCACCAAACCTCTTGATTGATTTGTACATACCTTGCGTGCCAAGTGTTTGAAGTCCTCTGTGTTTGTAATTCTTCCCACCTTACAATCTGGTTTACGATAAGTGTTCAAGCAGCTTATCACGTAATGAGACATCTGGAAATACAAAGGTTGACACCAATACAAATATATTGTAGAATATGTCAAGAATCATCTCCATGTCACCTCAGATTGTGTTACAAATCAAGTGTATTATCACGTCTTGGTAACAAAAGATCAACTTTCACACAGCAGGTCTGAACTCTCTGTTTTCTCCTTGGAATGACCCCCTGAAGGGACCGATCCAGTAAGCTCCGCCCAGTGCGCACGTGGGCAAATTAACACACGCTCCTCTCCAATGCCACGCTGCATTTTCCTTCCGCGCGCATCATACGCGCGTGCACGCATGTCGGACTTTAGTGCACGCACGTCGGACATAGATGACGGCTGTGATTGATCAGAACACCATGGGGCGGTGCTTACTGGATCGGTCCAGTCATGTCGTCAATTATTTGTGTGTGACATTTGCAGATTCTCATGGAAATCTTGGCATATGATTGTGATACAGTGCTGCAAATTACTACCTAGGGTATCTACTTCCCATATATACATATTCTGCCCTAAAAAAACACAGAATATCTCAGACTTCTCAGTACCTAATGAACTTAGGGGAAATTCAGAATAGGCAATGTTAAAAATTTCGAAATTGTTTTGCCCCACTCCGAATTTGCGCCGGGATTAGCTGAAAATTTTGATTTTCACAAAAGGCAAAATTTTCCAGCCAACTTCTGACATACAGCCAAACGCCACAAATACTGATTCCCAAGAGTTATTTGAAAAGTTTTGTACGATATTTCTTGCCGAAACCTCATATGTTTCAATACTCCGGGGTGTGAACTAGAGCGTTAACTGTTCAACAATAGGCCGTGCACAACGGCCACTTCAAGATCAATAAATGGTCCACCTCCTCAGACTTCACAGACTTTGTGTGTGTGTACAAAATGCATGAGGGATTAGCGTATTTAGACGTCACCCGGAGGCGAGTCAAGGCAATCTTGACGTTTTAACCCGTCAGCCGTGCCTGTGTATAAAAACAGCCAGTGCAGGCAGAGGTCGGCTATCGATGACAACGGAACAGCACAGACATGACAGACGATCTCGAAGAGGCCGCTGGGCATTTTTGGTTCCTTTCCTTCTTTTTTTTCTCTATTACTATAATTGAAAACTGAATTTTGATTTTCAGTTATTTCCTTTGACCCACCCACCCACCATTTCAATAAAGATCGAAATTTGTAACATTGACTATTCTGTATGGCCCCTTAAAGATCTCCCAAATCCTCCCGCTCAAACCAGATGTCAGAGATTTTTTGAAATTGCATTTTTCCCACGGCGGTGTGAAACACGCTTTGGGCTTGAGCTGATGTTGGTTGGTTGGTGGGTTGGTGGATGGACACTGTACTCGGCCATATATTGTATTCATACAAGTCAAGTATTACACCTTTGCAAGTATTACAGCTTTGCATTCGAAGACCGGTTTTGCAAACACTGTTGCGCATGCATCTAATTTGCATACTTTTTGCATCTTAGATCACGCCCCATTCTTTTCATTTTCTGTACTCTCGAGGTACCAGTACGGCCCGGGTGCACAGACGGTGCCGTATAGCTGTCTTCACACATTACCCGGCCTCGCTGCTACCCGGTCACCGTGGGTTGTACTACTTGGTACTTGTTTTTACAATATGGGAGACGTTTACCCAAACACCAGTGCAGACCCCTGACAGCCTTCAAAAAATGTTAGAGGGGTCCAAAAATGTAGAACCATACAGAAAAAAGGACCATGGTCAAATGGCGGGTGATAATTTTCAAAATCTAAGAATGAAAATATTGCTGAAGAATGCGACAGTAATTGTTTGATCTTCTGGATATAGATGTACATCAGTTATATGTAAACAATTGTGTACATCTCTTAGTTTTTTAAGACAGTATTTTAGATAATAATATTGATATGCTGCAACATGGTTGTTCAGTTCAAACCTCGGTGCCCTGTGTGTTTTACAATGTAGCTCAATGTCAAACTCAGAAGCTTGTGTATGATAAAATACTGACCTTAGACCTGAATTGCAGTTTGCATCTCTTTGCCAGCTCACTGGATGTATCTGCTGCAGCAGTAGTTGTACGTTTCTTGGATTTCTCATCATAGGTAGGAGTGCCAAGGTCCATGTCTGTCTCAGGACCACCAGGCACAGGGGCATTACCATCCCAGCTAGGCATGTCCCATTGAGTTTGTCTGCAAACAAAATCAATACAGGGAATCATAATATGGTAACTCATACATATTTAAATCAGGGATGTGGTGGTACTTCGAGACCGACATGTTGTCTCTCACTCAGGTACGCCGCTACCCGTATTGCACAGACCAAAATGTACACGAGGTGCATTTGCCACTGAAAATATATTTTCATCTGGTCCTCAGACAAGTGAACTATGTAAACCATATTATACGTTTGTAGGAACTAGACTACATGAAACCCGGCGCTCGCATCGAGCCCAGCATACAACGTACGTACGCACACCACAATGTAAACTGTATGCACACAATAACCAACACACCCACACACACAAGAACGACCGCAACACCCGCATGCTCCATTAGTCTCAAAGTGCATTGATACCACTGATCAGTGATTGATACTTGCAGGGCTGGTGGGGGGACCCCTATGGCTTGCAATTACACTCGTGTCTATGCAGCCACTTCCCATAGACGCGTGTGTAATTTCAGGCTGTAGCCAAGTGGCTTTGTACATGCACAAAGCTGGGATCCTGTCTCCAGTCTGCTTAAACCTCGTTCTCAAGCAATGACAATTGCATGCGAGGGAATGCAAAAACCACATGTACAGGAACCTCGCAGCCCTACACACGAGGTGCAAATTCCATTGAAGAAAATACTTAGTCTGGTCCTGAAGACAAGTGAACTCATGTCCAGCCGTGAGTAGCGTATTTATTTTACGTTTATAATAATACAATACAGACATGTACTGTAATTTTCGTAATGCAAGCCGCGGCTTATACGTTGATTTTGCCTATGAAAATGTTTACTGCGGCTTATACACAGGGCGGCTTATACGCCGAGCCTTGAAGAATAAAAATGAGATTTAATGTACTGGTATGAGAAAAAAACTGTTGCTGAAATGAATTATCAATCGTTACCAGACTTGAGGTACCGGAAAGTCATTACCAAACAATTAAAGCACGTCCCACGAAAAGGTACCGAGCGGTACATGTACCAAAAGTGCGGCCGGCGGCCTGCCGTGCGTGAGTGATAGCTGTCTTCGTTGGCACATCGATGTGACATTATTTTGTGCTGCATGCATGCCCAATGCAATATGCACACTTGTGGAACACACCATTTGCATAGCTGCCAACTTTTCAAAATCCTAATTAGTAATCAACCCGCGCGGTCATTTTCAACTGCTCGTTTTATCAAAAGCTTTACCAACATCGAGTACAGGTACATGGTTTACATGTACACATACATGTGCATACCCTTCTTGTTGTGAATAATAATGTACTGTAGGCCAAAAGATAAATAAAAAAATTAAAAATATTTTTTTTTTTTTAATTAATTTTGTTTTAATGTCTGTATCTGTTTGTTGAAGTCAAATAAATAATAACAATAATAACATGCGCATATTTTTTTGGAGATGCATGCTATCGATGTGGAGTTTCGAGTTCGTATCATGTTTTTACACACAATGATTTAGGGCCACCGTATGCAATAGAAATATCCCGCCAACATACCTTGCAAACGCATGCTGATATATCTTTTCTGGACGTTGTGACAAACTCAAACTCTATTACCAATTATTCCAACCATACTCTTATTAAATTCCATGATTAAAGTCTGGCACTGATGGGTCTCATCCCGGCAATAAGCGACCAAATGTGCTCACGATTGTCACTGAAAAGTACTCACATACAGTACACACAACCACACATCCACGAGATGCACACAAACGACACACCATTGAAAAATATTTTTAGTCTGGTCCTCAAGTACTCCACTGCGCACACTGCATTGATGTCTATCAGGTGCTCGACTGCATTCTTATTAGACTTGTCACCAGTCCATCCATTATCGCGACATTTCGCCAGAAGTTTTCGGTCAAAAACAATACTTTATAAGTATTTTTTTTTTCGTTAGGTAGAAAATGGGAAATTCGTAATGTCTTAGTGGCAAATCGTATTTTCGTAATTTAACAAACAATTCGTAATAATTACGTAAAAATCGTAATAGTTGGCAGCTATGCATTTGTGGTAATAAAGGAATGTACTTTCTTGAGAACAATAATTACCAATATTTCCGCTGTTTCAAAAAAAAAGACAACTAATGCTTTTTATGGAGTCCGAAACGATTCATTATTGGACAATCAGTTTTTCAACGTCACAATATAATTTTTTTCCTGGAAATGTATTCAAGAAACGATGAAAAATGTAGAAAAAGGCTAAATCACCCGTTACAAAATTAATGGATTCGTCCATAAACATGCATGCATCGTGTTGACTGTTTTTGAAAAAAGTATGATCGAAAACTTTATTTTTTTTATTGTTAGTACTTGTTAGTAATCACAACAATTTGATAAGTTTTGTTGTAAAAAAAGGACCTATTTATTCTGAGGACAAAACAAATCAGCATCTGTTGCCACAAAGCAAGTTTTGTAGCGCTCCAGTCAGACGACACATGGTGGGTAGCATACTCTCTCAAGTCTTGCGGGAAAATGTTATCATTTGCCGCTCGGGATCACCGGCACAGGCTGCCGGGCCATGCGCTAAGTTTTAGGCCGGGGACTGGCCGGGCCAGCCGGCAGCAATTCCCGGGGTTTATTTCTCACCGTAAATTTCTTTTGTTTTTCTTTAACGAGTTATCGACCGTAAATGTTTTGATACAACTTTTGTGGCCCTTTTATAGTCTTCGTAGTGCAAATGGAACTGGTCCAGAGAATTTTGACATTAGAATTTGGAGGGCTTACAACATTGAAACCACTGCGGTCGGTGCGGCTTACACGCCAGTGCAGCTAATACGCCAACGTAAAATTCTAATTTGCAGATTATACTCCGCGCGGCCTATATTCCGAAAATTACGGTACATCGCAAATTACAGAGTAAGTAATTTTTGGCATAATTAGTTAGTACATTCTACCCCCCCCCCCCATTTTCTCAACGGATTCACACGATTCACGTGGGTTGACTTTTAAGGCCCAAAAACCGGATTTCCAGGAAAAATTCCCCAGCGTCTTTTACTAGGAACTGGACCAAGTCCATCAAAATCCATCAATCACTGTGCTTCCAATACAATGCGTCCAATACATAATGGAATCCACAACTGACCCTGATGGCCCCTGTTGACAATTTATTCATAAATTTGTTTCATTTCGTCATACTACCTCAACGAAAAGTGAATGAAAGCCCCATTTCTAGCAGGCATTTGTGAATAAATAACAATGACTTTAATTGTCATGTGTTTAAAAAAATGTGTTTCATAAATCTCAATTTCGTTTCACGTATTGTTACATCGGAACAGATGCTGCATTACATACAATACCTGGGCATGATAAGTTATAAGGCTTAACTGGTTCCAATACAAGTTCACATTCAAGTGACATCTTGCCAAACTGGGTGGGTACCAGCTGGTCAATGTGCATGTGATATACTAGTGTGGCTGGCTAGCACTATAGTACAACTTGGTACATGGCAAGCCAGCAATGGTATCATTCAAACATGGTTTGAAGAAAACACATGTGGTGGATAGTTGCAACAAATGAGGGCATGGCCTAGTACTGAAATTGGCCATAGTCCTGCAAGGTTATTGTTTTAGTGCCTGCAGTGGTATGGCCTCCAGCCGGCGAGTCGCCGTTAATTTCCACCAGTGATTAACCATCATCTCAGGCATCAAATTGAGTTAGGTAACACACCTTGTGATGGCATGATAGTAGTAGACCTTGCCTTCCTGGTCTCTTGCTGTTCTCCAATTAGGAGGCAACTGTTGGGTCTTAGGCTTGGAAGGTGGGGATGGAATCCCTTGAGAAGGCATGCCTTGGTTTAAGTGCTGCTGAATTTGCTGTGCCTATGGAGGACAAAATCAAACTAAAGATAACTACTGGTAACAATTATGGACAGTATACATACACATGTACATTCAAACACCAAATAACAAGGTCCTTGGGACTTTACAAATTACCTTGTTATAACAGGTTCCTTGTATTAACAGTAATGGAAAACAAAGAAAACCAAAAACTTGGTACCTAAAATGTTGCTTGTTATAAGCAGGCCCTTGTATTAACAGTGTTCTTCTTATCAAGGTTCGACAAACATGTACATGAGCACAAGGCGACACTGCCCTATCAACAAAAATTCACCACTGATAACAAATAAACAGCATACAATACCGATACATTTAGGTGGTGAAAGTTGTGCCATGCACAATGGGAAAAATAACGGGATGCTTAACCGCTTTAAAGTGAGTTTATGAGATGCTCATAAACCAGTAGCCAATTTGCCATTCTTCTGAAATTCATGCATGAAAACAATGAGACATCCCTCTTCACTTAAACTGTTTTGTAAAGTGCACTTCATTAAACATTTCAAATGTTACATGCTTTTCCTGACAACTGAGGACATGGTGACGTGGTTGCTTTGATGTGATTCAAGGCAGTGCACTCTTCAGTTATGGGGTTTTCTGTTCAAATGGTGAACTGCAAAAGTTGCTCACTAGAAACGTTTGTGCATTAATGCCTAGCCACCCCAACCCTTCAATATCCAACTGCGTGTTTTGTTGGAATCTGTTGGAATGAGCACTGCATTAGTAAATTGATAAATGCTTTACAAATGTACATGGGGCATAGGAAAAAATTATATTTCATTAACCCTTGAAACATCAAGCTGGAAGACATCAAACAGCAGGTTTCTTCGAATACAGCTGACATCACTGATCTTTAAAAATCAGTGACTTTTACTCAAGATAAACTGGAATCAATGAAGTCACAGATCAACAAAAAGATCGAGTACAACCTCAATGTGTTCAGACACATCGAAGGTCACATTGATGACATCAACGACAGAAATCATCGGAACAACATCGTCATTCAGGGCATACCGAAAGGCTCTGAAGCAGGTAGTGAGAGAGCAGGTAGTGGTGGGAGCGTACTGCTTGACACCCTGGGGACGAGGTTGGCTATTGAGGAGCTCGAGACAGCAGTTGAACAATCAATACAAGACAGAAAGGATTGTTTGTCCAGAGGGACCATTGCCAAACATGACTATGGGTCTGGTCTTCGATAATTTCCACGAGCTGGCCGACACGCCTTTTGGAGCAGGTACCTTGCACAACACAACGGGTACATATCAGACCGAAGGGGTGCCATTGAAGCATGCAGAAACATCCAGGCTACCTGAGACATCTGTACCAAAGGCAAGAGAGAGAAGGCTAGAAGTGGATCAGCCTGACCTTGAACCATACAGGAAAAAAAACCAAGTGACCGTCTTTTGATACACACAGAAGGCTATCTGGACATTGCAAGAATTAGGTCGCAAAGGTCGAAATATGGATCTTGGCTGGATATGCCAATCCTTGCAGCTGGAGAACATCTCAATATGCGCCAGCTTCAGTGCCAGATATAAAGAAGCTGCCAAAATGGTGCTTGTGTGTGATATTCTAATTAAAAGTCGATTTTGGGGGTTCTTCAGGTGGTGCCCCTTCACAAACACATGGTTCTGAAGGTCAGACATACATGTCCCTACCCACCCACACGCACCATCAAACCTTTTGTGCTCAATATTCTAAATCAACCTCTGTCAGCTCTCCGACTAACAGCTGCTGTAAGTTTTGTGAAATCATCATTCACAACATTGTGTTTGTAGTGACACAGTTACACAAATCTACAACATCCATGTACATCCTTGGCATGGCATGTGTTACACAATGACTGGTAACATCTACAAACACAGACACGTTTGTTGATGGTGTAAATCAAGAATTTTCTACATTTTTGCAACAGCTCTCATTGGTTTTGTACACGTTTTCTAATCGAGGTCGTCCTCGATTTGGTTCCTGTCCTCGATTCATTGATGATGTTGCACATGTGTGTCCTTGATTTACATCATAAACACCACAACCTAGTCCTACCTGTTGGATGTTCGTCTGGACATTACTTTCTGTGTTGAGTGGCATAATGGTCTGAGTAACAAGCATTCCATCAGGGGTCACAAAGGTCACCGTTTGTGCAGGGGCAGTAGGCTGAGGCTGTGGTCAAAACAACAAAGTCATTAATACAGTAATACCAGCAAGTATCATACAATCTGAAATCAAACACTTTGAGCTCAACAAAGTCCTTCAAATCCTGGCGATGCCCATGGTTATAGCCCACATCACAAGTCAATTGTTAAAGCATTTAGAGTTTATTACTTTGCAATTAATTAATTAAAGGTTCACTTTTGTCCAAAGATTGCCAAAATTGAGTGTTTCATACAGTTTGCTAGCCATACTTCAAAGGTCAGGGGTCAAAGAGAATTCACACAACGACTTTAATTTACTGAGAAAATGTTGTTAAACCGTTTGTTTACATCAAGCGTGCCTTACCCTATGCATGTTTTCCAGCAGTTAATCATCCCATCGACTTTTGAACAAATCTCTCAACATAATACTGGCGCCACAAAAAATGCATGCATGTGTCACATATTTAAGGGAAGATACAACATTTTACTGGATTGTAGGGAATGACAGTTTAAAGCATCCTGTAAAATCGTGGCTCCTGGTGTGCTGACATTTCCAAGAAAATATGGTATTTTTCCAACACTGGTTGGCCTGTTGGAGAAAACTGGATTTTTTTCACTAACTGCTTCTAATTTTGCCTTATTAGTTATTCCGCATTTTCTTTGCAATTGATTACACACCTGTGAAGGGGTACAAGCCTTAACCCTAACCAACCTCACTCCTCCAAAATCCTCCTGGCGGTTTTGGAGGATTCTAGAGGATTGAGGATGAATGGTAATTGAATCAAATGAGGATTCTGGAGGATTGAGGATGAATGGTGATTGAAGCACATGAGGATTTTGGAGGATTGAGGATGAATGGTGATTGAAGCACAAGAGGATTTTGGAGGATTGAGGATGAATGCATTTTGAGGCAGGACTGTCTGATGATTTTGAAGGATTTGGCGTTGGTCATCCTTCATTTAAACACGAGTGCAAAATTTTGGGATGAGGAGGATTTTGGAGGATTGAGGATGAATGCATTTTGAGGCAGGACTGTCTGACAATTTTGAAAAATTTAGGCGGAGTTGCAAAATTTTGGAGGATTTTGGAGGATTGAGGATGGTTGTAAGCAACAAGGGCCTAGGGGGTTAGGGTTAATTAATAGACTGATTCTCTGACCTTACAATTCCTCAAAGTCTATAAATTGCTCTGATTCATCTTAAGTGGGGTCAGGGAACCAGACTACAAGAACATGATTGGTTTTCTTGTTTTTTTCAGCAACTACAAGCCCAAAACGTGGAACACGTTATTTTTTATAACATACTGATCCTCCAAATTCATATATTTCTGAAAATTGCAGCAAAAGCAAATGTTGTACATTCCTTTAATAGTGACAAGTCCCAAGCTACTTTCAGACTTGCACACAGTTGCCCCGACATTCCTTTGCAGTGTAATTACATGTACACGAAAACAGTAATATTCTAGTTTTTCAAGCCCAAATGGGTGCATTCTCTTAAAAATCCTCCTTTGAACCAATAAACTCAAACAACTTGAATATTAGCTAATGGATTATCATAAATTAAGAACCTGAAACAAACACTGACTAACCTAGTGCTGTGCATTTCAAATAACTTACTATTCAAATTTTCTAACTTGGACTTGATGGAATATTCGAAATGCGCTGATCAAGTTTTACCTGTTCCAGCCTTAAACTGGCAGCCAATCAGGATCTGCGCATGCCTTTGCTTGTTGAAAATTGACAAAAAGCTCTTATTTAAAAAAAAAAAGGATCATGTATGTATTGATATATTTTTACGAGGTGGCAGAATGGCTGATATTCGACAGATTTTAAACAAGAAATTTGAGCTAATTTTCCTCACAGCTGCTCTCAAACCATTCATGTAAAGTGGCATTTGACAGAAATGTAGCAATTGACAAACAATATAATCACACAGCTTAAACAATTTACACAATTAAAACAATACCATAGACATTTTTCATCTCTTTGAGACCGCTCACATTTTTCGAATATTTGAAACGGAACCCCCCCCCCCAAAAAAAAAAAACAGCCAGTGCTGTACACTTTTTGATGGATGATCAAATATTTGGCACAGCCCTAGACTAGCCATTTTCAAGATTTGTTATAATTAGCTAATTGTGACCTTCAAATTCAGATATGGAGCCAGATGTGACTCCATTACACTATGTAATCAAGTCTATTAGCAAAGCCCACCTGTGGTTGTACCACCTGCTGCTGAATAACATGCGGCTGTGCTGCAATCTGTGGAGCTGGTTGTACCTGCTGAAGCTGAGAGTGAGGTTGTTGAGGTACCACATAATTTGGCCGAGGTGCTGCAGGGACTACAGGTATGTGACTAGGGTGAGGGCCTGGGGGAGCAGGGACCCTGAACTGAGGCTGTGGTAGTACTGGATGAGGTTGAGGATGGCCTTGAGATGGGTTTGTTTCCCAACCCTACCAAATCAATAAAACAATATGTGTTTACCCATTAGTGACTGTACATCCCAAATCATCCCACCACTTACATACGTGTACACACTCACATAACTGCCAACTTTTCAAAATCCAAATTAGTAATTTACCCGCACGGTCATTTTCAACTGCGCGTACATTAACAGTGTATGTACCAGCTTTACTAACATCACGTATATATTGTACATGTGCATACCTTTTTTTTAGTGATTAATCTGTAGTGTACTATAGGCCATAGGATATGTGGAGGAAAACAAAAATTAATTTTTTTTAATTAATTTTTTAACTGTCTGTATTTGTTTGTCGAAGTCAAATAAATAGTAACAATAATAACATATGCACATATTTTTCTGAGATGCATGCTATCGATGTTGGAGTTTCGAGTTTGTATGTTTTTACATACATGTACCTTTACATTAGGGCCACCGTACGCGATAGAAATATCCCGCCGTCATACCTTGCAAAACGCATACTGATTTATCTTTCCTTGACGTTGTGATAAACTCAAACTCCTTTCAATACTTGTTACTAAGAATAGTCCCTTGTTTGTTGTCTTGGAAGTCATGATGATGTCACATTAAGTCCAAAGAACTTTTCGTGAATACTACGAACATGATGAAAACTTGGGACTCACATGGCAATCCTTTGGGCGACATCTTAAAAAGCGAGTGTATGACACACACGCTGGTTCCAAGTCGTTTGCACACATGTATTACACGAACTGGCTGGTGCCCGGCGGTTACATCCATGTCAGAATGACTTGGCTCCAGCTTGACATTGGTAGCAATTACAGCCACGTCCCATAAGACTCATGTGCAATTGCAAGCCGTAGCCAATAATTTGACACAGCTTATATCTAACCAATTTTTCAGCGTTTCGGTTCATAAATTTAAGGTATTAAATTGACAATGTAAACGATTTTGAGGAAATTTGTAATAAAGGGCAATAAATTCGTAATTCGGAATATAGCTCGTATTTTCGTAATGATTACGCCAAATTTTGGAAAAGTTGGCATGTATGCACTCATTACCAAAAATACTTTACAATATAAGATCATAAGCGAACAACATTTCATTTCAAGGAAGCATGTACAGCGAGTCTCAAAATACCCGTAACATTTTTTGCGTCACCTCCGAAACATGTACCGCCATTATATTTATAACATTTTAAAGCTTGGAATCTTAACATATCCCAGATAAGTATTGCTTTGATTTTCAAAAGGATTTTGAAATGGTTTGTGATCAAATAAAGGTACGTCAAAACAAACTCAACCGATTTCAAGGAAAATCAATCATGCGCATTTTTTCTAATGTGAAAATGGTTCACTATTTTCATGATTCTGTCTTTCCTATTCTGTTCAATCCACGTAGACTGCACCTTAAATGAATTTACACTATTGTTCTTTGTATCAAGTTCAATTTTGTCATTCACGTATGTACCTATTCAAAAAGCGTGACACAAGTTTGCATCCTTTCCACGTTTTGGACATGCCTTTATTTGAACATGAATAAATTAAATTTAATTTGGCGGTACGTGTTTCCGGGCAGAGGCTAGAGCCTGGCACACAAAAGTTGCGGGTATTTTGGGACACGCTGTAGACTACTTGATGGGAACAACTTGACTAACCTGAGGGTCGTGGTCTGGCATGGCATGCATCCCCTCAGCAGGCATTACATGTGGTGGACCCTCCAATCCATGTGGATGATGCATAAGTGGCTCCTGTGGTAAGCCTATATCTGGCTGCATGTTCTCAAACATTGGCTGTCCATGCACTGGTATGGGCATTCCATTCTCATCAAATGGTACCATCTCATGAGGATGTGGCATCATCTCATTATAACCAGCATTTGGGTTCATGTGGTGTGGGAAAACTCCATCTGGTAGCATACCGCCATGTTCCATTGGGACTCCCTGATTAGGATGCATCATGTGCATCATAGGATGATCCCCATCAAATGGAGGTGGAATTGGAAAGCCATTTGCATCCACAAACTGAATCCGTCCTTCCTCATCTATGAAATGCGGGTGCTGACTTAGGAATTCCTCTTCTTGTTGTTTGCGAAGCTCTTCCTCCATGTCTGCTTGCTCCACTTGTTTTTCAAATCGTTGCCTCCTTTCCTCTTTAGACAGCCCTGGTTTATCAGCCTTTGCCTGTTTCACTTGCCCTTCTTTGTTTGTAGTTGCTGTCTCAGTCTTCCATGGCTTCCTAAGTTTTGGAAGAGTACTTTTGGAAGTGTCTGTATCTTTTTTCTCTGTAGACTGAGTCGAGTTTTTCTCCTCTTTTTCTTTGCTGGCTGAACGACTACGTCTCTTCCTGTCTTCTCTCCTATCCCAGCTTCGTTTCCTATCTTTGTCTCTATCACGGTATCTGTCACGTTCCCGACTACGTTCTCTTCTGCTATCTCTATCACGATGTCTATCTCTGTCTCTATCTCTGTCTCTATCATAGTCTCTGTCACGCTCCCTGTCCCGGCTGTATCGTCTGTCTCTATCATAACCTCTATCCCGGTCTCTATCTCGATCTCTCTCCGAGAAATCTCGATCTCGTTCACGATCTCTGTTTTTAGGTATCCTGTAAATTTCCTGGAAAGACAAATTAAAAAGGTGTTGAAATCTTTATGACTCCATCTTTTCTCAAAATGCAACGGAGTTGAACCCCTCCTCTTTTGAGAATTTCATTATTCCTTGGCCATCTCATGGATTGTTCAGTTTTTTTTATTTCTTTTGTATTCACAGATGTTAACATTTCTGAATAAATAGATTCAGGCACATGGATGGAGGAAAAGCATTGTGTGCGTGTTGCTCTGAAGCTCATCAAGAGATAGTTATTTTTAAAAAGAATTGGCTTATATCAGCCAGTCAAATGTTTTATACAAAACTAATACGGCCTTTCAGACAGTCAGTTATGCACCCATGAATTCATCCCCACATCACTACAGAGCCCAATCCTCAATCCTGAGGGGTGTCATTTTAAGGGGTGTCAAGAGAATGCCCTACCCTGGAGCACATTGCATGCAACAAAGTACGGGAGAAATGTTTTGATTGGAAATGAAAAAAAAAGGACCCATATCTCATATGTAGAATGCAATGATCCACAGGTTACAGTGTTTGACTTATGTACGATGGTAAGTGGGTTCGAACCCTGCCAGGATCAAGGTGTTTGTGCCCTTGGGCAAGACACTTAACCACAATTGCCTCTGTCCACCCAGGAGTATAAATGGGTACCTGTAAGGGCAGAGGACCGAATGTACGCTGATATCGGCTGCCGCGTGGTCTTGTGGCCTGATGAATGAGGGAATGATTGTAGAGCGCTTTGAGATTGTGATGCGATGGAAAGTATTATATAAGCATTACAATTTTTATTGTTTTATCTCCACCATGAGGATTTGACAAAAATGTACACAAAATCCAAAAATAAAACATTAGGGCATACCAGGAGAGGCCAAACTGATAGGTGGTTTAGTCACAGTTTTATTTAGCAAAACTCAAAACAAACCTTGAGTGAACTCCAAGATTCCAATAACTTTCCAGCCATCGATGCAATTCCTGATGTTTTATCAACTTTAGTACCAGCATCTGCCACATCCGAATCTGATCCAATATCCTGCTTAGAGCTGATTGATCTTGTCTCCTTCACTTCAGACTTCAGATTGGCTTGTTCAGCGGGCAGCTCTCCTTCTTCCACAACATCTGGCTCCACAGGTGTGTCTAATGAGGTATTTCTGGTTTCAGTCATTGTGTCAGAGTCAGCAACTATCTGTGATGCCTTGTCGTCTTCAGGAAAAGAGGCCTTAACATCAGTGATTGTATCTGAATCTGGATTGGATACTGATGTGATGACTGAGTCTGGTTGTGCTGCTGGAACACTGAATGGCTTCAAGTCATTGCTGGCAACCACAGCTTTCATCTCCACAGACTCCACGGACTGGCTAACAATTTCAGACTGGGTCACATTTGAAGATTCTGAACAAACAGGTGATTTAAGGACACTGTGCGATGTACATGTATCCATATTCTCAATGTTAGGAGTACTACTATCAACTTCAGTTTTCTGATCAATCTCTGAATCTCCATTCGCACTCTTCTCACACGGTACAGGTGATGCTGAAGCAGTCTCAGTCATCTCAACTAGAACAGATTGTTTGAGGTTAGCCTTGTCAACACCTCCATCACTCTCAGTATTCTGATTGTCAGTCAATTTAGCCAACTCAGTAGGTGTGCTGCGACTGGCAACCGTGACAGGGACAGGTGTTGCACAACGAGAGGGAGTCTCACTAGCACTGGAGTCTTCGACCTCAGTGTCTGCTTTACAGATATGTCGAACCTTGGACCATCTTTCTACCATTGAGAAAATCTTGCTGTCCTCCAAAGCATTCTTGTGTGGTATGGGTAACTTCACAAGGGTGTTGAGGATCTAAATAAAAATTCACACACACACACAAACACAAAATGGGACTTAGTGCAATGTACACCATAAAACCTTTTTCCCTACTCGCATGTGTAGTGGAAATAAGTAGAATGTCAACATGTAGTTTAATACCGTGTTATGTCCAAAATGGCAGTATGCTAGGGCACATAAATTCAAAGGGTGTTATCTTGCCACCAAGTTGGCTTAAATTTGATATTTTTTTTTTAAAGCATGAAAGCGTTTGTGTGGGTCTCAGTGCATATCAACACAGATTAATATTTTTATTAGCCATTTTAATTGACGCCCTTCCCCACCTACTTTTCAATATGTCATCCCATTGCCAACGCCTAGCATCAAACTGAACATGGTAAAATTAGATCAGCACTCTCTGAATGTGTCTTGACAAGTTCCTGAAGTTCCTGCTAAAATCTGCTGGTTATTGATTTCATGTTTCAATCCACTTTCTATAAATTAGCTCTACTTACAACAGTTTGCAGATCTTATCTTAAAACTTGAGGGATTAATATGGAAAATAACAACTCTGAGTGATTACGTACCTCCATTTTCAACTCCAGCTCAGGTTTATCCCCAATGTCTACCATCCAACTCCATAACAGTTTCAAACCATGATGAGTCAGGAAGTGTTTTAAGCATGTCTCATTTGAAGTATCCTACATGAGGAAAGATTCAAAGGACAGACAATGAAAGTCACTCACTTATGCTTGGATATGTTGTAGTTCAAACCTCAAGTTGCATTCCTGGTGCTCTTCAACAAATTAAATTGTTTTTCTCTGAACATATCTTCAACTTGTATGATTAAGTTCAACCAAAGAAACTCCTCGTTTTCTTTTCCTGCATCCCTCCGAAAAAAAGTCTTTGTTTTGGGCACAACCAGATATGCTTTGCAAATGGACTGGCTCCCAGTCCATACATTATTGACACTGATTGTGGGGCGGGAGCCAGCCTACCCCGAAAGAACTAATAATTCAATAACTCAACATGGGTCGATTTTAACAATAAGATACATATTTAATTTGATGTAATCTGTATAAATAAATGTATCTGTATAAAATCAGCCTTAGTCAAGGCGTTCGTCATTACTGGTCCGTACGCAGTAAACGATTGGCGGCATATCCTCGCTATGCAGTGCATTAAAAATACAGCGACCTCATGCGGCCACTATTTTATGAAAATCATTTGAATCCAGCCTTGGTCTAATCATCCATGCGAGGTTTGGAGGGTGGTGCTCATTATGGTAATAGCCTAAGCTGACCTTAAAGGAGCTTAGAGGAGCTAAGAGGAGCTTAGATGACAACATGACATTACCTCTAATATCTTGAGAAGTTGTAGTCTAAGTGGTGTTGTTTCAGCCAGCACCATGTGTCTAGCAAGCGTTAATGTTTGATCATTGGTCCTCAGGCCTCTTCCATCCAGTTCATAGCATAGCTGCTCAATCTCATCATCCAACTACAATATGGACAATGAACAAATAGTAAAAGAGAAAACAAATCCATGGTAATGTCAACAAGAACTTATTGAAACAAAGCCCCCCCCCCCCAAAAAAAGATATCTTTTCCCTGTATTTGTTTAAAAATATGACCTCCACTGTTTTTAATGCAAAGTCTTCATGACTTTGTTGGGAAACAGTATTGCATGTATTTATACACAAATTTGCACAACATTCTGACCTAACATACTTGCAAAATGTTCAAACACAGGCAGCCATAAATCACTGACATTGACACTGACCATACATGTACAGGAAAATTACATATTCACAGGCTGTAGTGTCAATTGTGAATAAAAGTTACAGGAATAGTTTTTCCACTGGACTTAGGGTACACAGATCTGTCCAGCAAGGATGTATTCACACGTTCACAAGTTTTCAAGGAACTGAAAATTTGGGGGTGCAGAATGTTCCCTCCCCCAAATGGGTGTTAGAAGGCAAAAAAACACTTGTCTCTCTTAAAGGCAACTGCCACTAATTAACCAGGAAGTGTCAAGTCAAAATCCTATTCAAAATTTAGAAAGGAAAATGGATACTCTTGAATATAAAAATACTATTTGACATTGAACACTACATTATAACTTGTAACCAAAATGTCCCATGAAAGGCTTGCCCACTTCTACTAGCCAAACAAGAGATCTAGGTCCATTGAAAACTGAAATTTGCAATGCTTCTACAAATGAAACTTTCTGCACTAGCATTACTCTATTACAAGCAACTTACCGAGGCATCTTCAAAGCTTTCCTTACGTCTGCGATCCAAACTTTCTTTCCTCTTAGGTGTCAAGTCCTTGCCAGTTGCTGCTTTAGTTGTTCGTTTGGGCTTGCCAATGAAGCCACGGCAATTTGCAGAACCACACAGACACTTCTGAGCATTCTCACTGTTCACAGAGGTCAAACCAACAACAAGTCATTTTGTTAAGTTTATAAAAAGTCACAGCACACTCCTTGTGGGATATTACACATGTGATATCCCACAAGCTTTGTACGTACGATACGTACGGTGTGAAACGCTTGTATCGTTGGTACCCACGCTATTTTCACCAAGTTTTCACATATGAGTGGGAGCAGCCAACTAGCAGACGATCAGCTGTTTCGAGCACGCGATATGCATGTGAGTTGCCGTTAGATTGTCATGATTGTTGTGTTTACTGCTGTTTGTTTTCGGGATTTTTACTTCAAAATCCAAAGAATCCAAGACACTCGGGGCATATAGCAGCCTCAGCTTCGCCTGGGATGCTATACGCCCCGCCGATGTTCAAGACGTCATATCCCACATCACAGCAGTCAACAACTGTTAATTATATAACGCTTCATGTACATGTAGTCACCTTGATCAGATGTTTGAAATTTAATGTAGAGAGCACGTTGTGTCTAATTGTTGGGCTTTAAAGGTTCTAAACGGAAAACAATTCTTGACATATGAAACGTAATTCACACACATGATAAATTTATGACTGAAACGTTTGTCTGAAATCACATTGTTGGAAATACTGCAACATTTTTTTTTTTTGGATACAGCATGCATAAATCCACCATTATGCAATGTCTGTTGACATGCTCAACATTAACACGTCACTGAAGCTGACATCGTATGGTGTGTAGGTTATGTTTTGTCACCTTGTTACTACTATACCTGGTTAAGTTATCCCTTTTCTGATAAGTATTAAGTAACCCCATAAAACCGACCCAAGACCACTCTCCGGTGTTGTCCCAACTTGTCATTAACTGATGCTCTGTATTTTAGAAAAAACCTTCCCAAATGAACACTGGCAAACAAAAATATGTTCACTGATGTGGTTCATGAGGTGTAACAAAGCTCCCTCAACCACTTCTAAGCAATTTACAATGACAATCTGAACTTGACAAACGAAAGTTGTTATAACAGACATTTTACACTGTAAGTATGGTTAGAGGGATGAGATTGTCAAAGAAGAAAGTGGACATAATGAATGCTATCTGCTGATTGTACTTACCCATACTGCTCAAACTGGTAGTCAAATGTCAATTCTGTTCCTGCTGCTATCCACTTCTTGGTGAAAAATCCAACACGAAGTTGACCATTGACAGTCCACTAATAGAAATAAATCATGTTGGACAATTCAGCCTTTGATGCAATCATTTGCAAATAGACCAGGGTTTACCTTGTTCCTTTGGGTAGGATTAACCCTCCTAGTCTTCTGCACTTCAAAACCCGTCGTGTTTTATAAAACCACTTTTGTGCATACCGTTAGTACCCACACTTAACATTCCTTTGAGGTAATCTCCTATAGAATGTTGAAAACACTTACTGAACAGAATTATTGAAACAGATCTTTGCTTCTCTAAGTAATGCTCAATTCACTAAAATAACCCATCTTTAAAACTGTCCAATGGAATGCTAAATACTTTCAATCATCCAGCTGAATGAGCACTAGAGATTTCACACAGACATTCCAATTCCAATGAGATTTAAAGGGAATATACATCATTTGCTTTTGCTGTAATTTTCAGAAATGGATGGAATTGGGGGGTTGGAAATATATAGCAAATATAGTTACACTGACTTTTTTGAGGTTTTGGGTTCGAAAATGCTATAAAAACCAAGAAAAAACAATCATTTTCCTGTAGTCTGGTTCCCTGACTCCATATAAGAAGAAACAGAGCAGTTTACATACATTGGGGAATTGTAAGGTCAGGGAACCAGTCTAGCTGGCTCGTACCCGTTCATAGGTTTGTAATCGTTGCAAACAAGTGCGATGGTCAATTGGGGCCAGTATTTGAAAAAAGCCAGTTTTTTCCAACGCTGATCAGCCGATCAGCGTTGGAAATTGATACAAAAATACCACTTTTCTTGAAAATGACAGTATACCAGATGCCAAGATTTTACAGAATGCTTTACACTGTCATTCACTAACAGTCCAGCAAGGTATTTCAAAATAATTTGGTAGTTTTATTTTTTGATGTTTGCAAATGTTGTATTTTCCCTTTAATTGAGTCAAGACTGAAACATTATTTCAAGTCTTTTTCTGAAATGAGAATGGTGAGTTTTGTCTGTTTTCCTTTGCAAGTTTTTGTTCATTGCATTTAAAGGGTATTCATCAATGCGTATCGATAAATGATCAGTTGTGAACAGCAAAATGTTGTGGTATTTCTATTGAACTAAAAATAACTTGTGAATAGAAGGTGAAAATTACATAAATTTTTTCAAAGTAGTCCATGGCCTTAAATTTGAGCAGGGCGGCAGACACAATATATTACACATACATGTAAATATGTACATACCGGTACACATATATATACACTGGCTTGCAAAAGTATTTCTGCACCAGTTGTGTGATTTTCAACTTGAAACGTGACTTCAAGATATCATGGATGGTCAATACATTTCCAAACCTGCGCCTTGTGTCGTTATTTTAGTCAGTTAAATGCAACTTTCCAACACTAAACATCCTTTCCTTCATGCATCGTTGAACCGCCATCTTGCATTGCCTCATTACATATTCATAAGCTCATGAATATCATTACGCTGGCATTTAAACCAATGAGGGGAAAAGTGGGCTGTTTTTCCGGGCCGTTTAATGAATATTTAGGTGGTCAAATCATCGTCCTCGTTCATAACAAATAAAACTAGAATCCCCAGGCCTTATGAGGGATGGTTATTTGCACGTGAATGCTTTCTGTAAGCCCCCATTGCCACTCAAAGGTCAGGTCAATGATCACCAAAAAGAGATGTTCATGCCTGCCGTGGAGAGAAGTGAGGCTTCGGGGAATAAAAAAACTGTGTGGCACTTTCTATGCAAGCACAAGGTTCGGGAATAATGGTCTGTGGTTGCCTCGGCTTTATCAGGACTCAAGGCGTCGGTGACCTGTAGGCAGTGCTGGTCGAGGCATTTACGGTGTTTCAATTGATTCTGATCTTTTCTGCCCATTGTTATCGGCCCAGAATTCCCATTTCAGCAGGACAATGCACCACTGCATATTGCTTTGATTATGCAGGAATATCGGGCAGACCCAACCCCAGATTTCATCCGAGAAATGGGGGGGGGGGGGTGGGGCAGTAGGGAGTTTGCAGGTAATGGATAGCTAACTCCAAGCCCCGACCTGCCAATCCCTTGGAGAAAGATGGAATGAGCTGAAAAGGCAACTCCATTGCCAAGTGCCGCGACGGAATCAAGCCAAGTTGTTCCAAATTCTTCAGTGGATTTGGTATGGCCTGGATCACAAGATCCTTGCCAATCTGTTGATATCAAGGAACTGGCGGTGCCAAGCTGTAACAAATGCTGGGAGAGCTTATACCCGTCATTTAAACTTTTCTTTTCACTTTTGCGTTCTTTGGGCACCGCCATCTTGGATTTTGCAATGCCCCATGGCCATTGACTTTGTACACGGAAGAAAATAGTGACCTGAAATTAATCGAAAAAAATCAACCCAATCCAATGAAAAAAATAGCAGGGTGGTGAAAATTTAAACGGGCGACAAAACTTTAGCGGGGCAGCATAAAATTTTGGCTGGGCAGGCAGCCCTTCTAAAACCCCTCATGGAGAACGCTGTGCACTTTCAGACTTTATTTTTATTAAATGGAGCAAGCCACATATCTACCAACCTTCTGAGTTTCACAGTTGGGGTCACAGCTGTGGTTGATGAATCGAGACATGTTGCCTTTCATCGTGGCATCGATTATCTGATAAATGAATGCAAGAAAAATCGAAATTAATCACAAGATGTTAAAGAGAAAATGAAAGCGCAAACAATTACATTGTTAGATCATTCCATGTCAAATCACGTAATGGGTTACACACCACCTCTTCAAATTGGTTCATATTTAGTGTATGGGGTGATTTTGGCTGCAAACCTGAAATCTTCAGTTTAAGCATCATCAGACCAACCCTTTCGGCACTACTGCCTTCCATTATTTGGTGATTTTAGCCAAAATGGACGTGGCTGCCCATTTTCAAATGACCATATTTCCATCACCCGTGGGCCAAATTTGTTGATCTTGGTTGCTTTAAAAAGGTAACATCATAAGGAATCCAAATTTACCATTATTTTTCATAATTTACGGTATGATGACCTTTTGACCTTGAATTCGACCTTGTGGATCACATGACATTGAGACAAACTTGGATCAAAATAATACCCCACATGTTTTCAACAAAATATTAAAAAATTGGTTGTACCAAATTCTTGTTTGGTTTATACATGTAACACATTTCAGGGACAACAAAAATCCCTGCTTTAAATCCACTAGTGCAGGAAAATCACATTTTGCAACAAGTATGCCAACCTTGAGATGAGCTAGAAACCAATAGGCTATCATTTTCGGTCCAAAAATTGGGCCACCAGTATCAAATGATCAAAAGGAGCAATGCTCAAGGGCGATTTTTTACAAGGTATGCACATCTACAGTTGGAAAATGTGTGATAGTTTTGCAGTGTGAGCGGTGGCAGTTTTTTTTGTGTTATCACTTTAAATTTTTATTTTTCAAAATGGCCGCCAATATGCTTGTTACCAGATTATTTATACGTGGTAACAAACATGTTTTGGCCGTCATTGTTTTAAAAAAGTGATAGCACCCAAAAAGCTGCTACCGCTGCAATGCTATCACATATTTTCCAACTACAGCAATGCATACCTTGCCAAAAATCACCATGAGCATTATTCCCCTCAATTGATACCGACAAAACCCCCAGGCTGATGGCCTACAAACAAAAAATATTGTACCCCCAAATTTTTGACATTTTTGAGAAAACATGTTGGGGTTTAATTTTCATCCAAGTTCGTCTTAAGGTCACGTGATCCACAAGGTCAAATAAAAGGTCAAAATAAAGGTCATCATACAGACATAAAAATAATGGTTAATTTTGATTTCTTATGATGTTACCTTTCCAAAGAAACCAAGATTAACAATTTGGCCAACAGGTTATGAAGATATGGTCATTAGAAAATTGGTGGCCTCGTCCATTTTGACCAAAACTGCCAAAAAATGGCGGGCAGCAGTGCGAAAACTGTTGGTAAGATTGCGCTAAAACGAAAAATTTCAGCTTTTTCAGCCCAAATTACCCCACATACTACAAATGAACTAATTTGAAGGGGGTGGGGTTTAAACTGTTGGGGGTGATTTGACATGGAATGACCATGTTTAAACTTGCAATTGACATTTATATACAAAACATTACCTCATCTGCTTTGAGCGCCATGAAGTAGAAATGGCACTGTTCATCCTTGTTGTATAGTTTCACACGTGACTTGAACTCAGAGTAGTTCAGCACTTCCCCGCAGTATTCCATCACAAACTCGTGACTGTTACAATGCAAAAAACACAATATCAACTAGGGTTAGCTTTGCACACTTTAAGTACCATAACTCAAGGCAAAAAGTGGAAACTCATGCACAATGTCTTCATTGTCACATTTATGTTGAAAGAAAGCAAACAGTGTAGAAACTGCCAGTTTGGGACAGACTCTACCGCTATCGAGTTCTAATGGATGTCCATGTGTGGGTTCTTCATTAAACAGTTACATGTAAACAGCTGATCCTAAAGAAAAATTCAAGTTTTCCTAAATGACAGAGCAACAGAATTGTCTCACAAGGTGCTTTGTATCAATCTGTTTACTTGCAGTTGAGTTTATTGAGGTCTGTGGTTTGAGTATATGTAATTGCAATTAGATTTTCTGGCTTTTTAAAGAGAACTCACAGAGCTATTTGATGCCCCCCCCCCCTTTTAATAAAACCGACTCAAAATCAAATGAAATATATTCAGCCCAGCTGAAAATTGTACAAAAAGCAGTCTACAACCTGTAACCTACAGATGTCCTGTTTGTTTACAATACTGAATGAGGGGAACTGAATAGAAAATATACCAATTAGCCTACAATGCCCTCAACACATAAAGTACATGGCAATGCAATTGGTAGGCTAACTTACATTACGAAATGAAATGTCACCTATTGTGTCAATTGTATACATATTATTGTTTACCACCTTCAGTTCTTTTCCAAGTTGTAAACAAAGGTTAACTTTATTTTTTGACTTGAGTGCTTTTAAATTGATTTCATGCATGGAATAGCTTAAAAAAAACTTGGTCTGAAATCTATTGGACTTATTGGTAGGCAGAAACAGCTTTTGTCTTTGGTTGTAGTCTGTAAATAGGGGCAAAAACAGTTCACAATTAAAATTATCCAAGGTCTACTTACGGTTTTAAGTCCTTTTTACTCTTGAGACCATGTCCTTTATTTTCTGCGAAAAAGACACCAACATTCGCATACTGACGCTGTAGAAGTAAACAAATACAATAGTGTGAAATCACACAAGATTCAACATTTATTAAAAGATGCCTTCAAGATATGGCAAAAATTACCTTTGGACGTACTTCAATAAAACATCACAAGTAAATGCCATCATATATTTTCTAACACAGACTTACTTTTGAGAACCTCCTGTTTGTGCAGTAGTCACCACATGGGCATCTGGATGTACTGAAAGCCATAAAAGAACACAAAAAAATATCAGACTTGGTTATACCTTCGCATAAAATTCTAAATACATTCCTGCATCAAAAATGTAAGGCTAAAACAATCTAAATGTTTTGAAGTCTCTGGCCTGTTTTCACACTTTTAGCTTTTCAAAGGTGGATTCACAGAGGAATAATTTTGTGCAAAAATAAAGGCTAATGAAAATCAAGTTGTCTCAAAGACGCTTTAATTTACTCCACAAGGGTACATGTAAATGCTCTTATTTGACAAACATTTGTTTAACCCTAACATTCCCAAATCATCGAAATCCTCTTTGCGTAAGTGGAGGATTTTGCAGGATTGAGGGCATAACACGATTTTGTCTTTGGATGATGGCGGATCCAGGCTAGCAGGCCCCATCTGATGTGGAATGAAACTAGAAGATTGAGGCTCTGGCCGTTGTTTTTTTTTGCCCCGAAAAAAAATGATTTCGGAGAATTCAGGATGTTGATTGTTTTAGGCAACATTGGGCAGGCATCCAGTATATGCAGTAATATAAGTTGAACCTTAAAAATTGTCCGATGTTTTTTCAGTCATATCATGTCATCTGCATGTACATGTATGTACGTGTATGTACATGAATGGTTTCTACCCGTTAAATTCTAATGGTGTATTTTTTTTCAGTCACCAAGCATCATTTTCTCAGATTTCATATTGTTCTTGCTTAAAACATGACAATAAACCACTCACATTGTGCACTGTGTGTAGCAAATCTATATTTTGTGACATTTTGTTTATTGACATCAACGCACCATGCTCGAGGTTTTCTGATGTGGGGCATGGTCCCATGGCCAGTCATATTTAATTGAGAGGGCTCATCACTTGCAACTGGGCTACCTCGCACGCATCCTCAGTGATTTCTTATCTGTTCACATGGCCACCGCAAAGAGCTATTGATTGGACTGCTGGTGTGCAGGCCACAATTGGGCCAGTGGTGGTGATCAGGCTAGCTCAAAAGCCAGGATTTGTTATGGTTACGGGTTGGATGTATGATTAACAATGCTGCATGCAAACTGCATCCCCATGTGAAAAGACCACGTCCGTTGGGCAGAAATGAGTCATGAAACAAGTTTTGCAATGTTGTTTATACTTATTTGTGACTGTTTTGGCAGCGTTTTCTATGGACTGGCCTAACGAAAGTTTGAGGTAAACGATGCAGGTCTTTCGAGGTACAGGGGTATTCTAAGCACTTTTGAAATATCGATATTACTTGATTATTCGATATTGTTTAAAAAAAATTGATATTGATGAATGATATCGACAGTACCAAAATGCATTACATTATCCTCAAAATTAATCTCCCGTTTGTGCCTTTACTTTGTGTTTAACGTTTGCTGTATAACGGAATAAAATTCAGCTGCAAACTGTGTTTGAGAGTGAGAATAAAGCATCGCGAAATGCCAAGTGGCAACACTTTGTGATTGCATTCGCTGGAATTCGTGGTCTCCAGTATGAAAACCTCACAACAAGCTGCCCTTTTTTGACTTGGAGAAGTTCCGTTGTCCGCTGTTTATTTTCGTACATTCTCTCATTGGCAATGCCCGGTGCTTGATGAAACTAATTGATCGAGGGACGAGCAACGTGCTCTGGAAAAATGCATGGGAATTGATTTGTTTATCTGTGGTGGTTTGAAGAAGTTCCCTCGTCTAATATGTTCCCACATATTTCTCGCTGGGTATTCCCCCACCCATCGGCGGTCCTTGTATGTGCACAGTAACCATGGATATACAAATGCCTAGCAACAACGATATTGGATTTCCGATAAATCGATTATTGAAGATTCTTATATTGACAGTGCTTTATTCATATACATAATATCCTATTCGCTTGACAGGAATGGGGTATTACTTTGAGATAAACAGAGTTTTGAGGTATCTGACTTTGTGGTAATAAGAGTTGATTGAACCACTGTTTACTGTAAATCCTCTTTACTCCAATTACTTTCGGCTTTTCCATTGCCAATCCACAATACATTAAGGGCTGGGAATGTAAAGCATCAAGTTCTCAAATGAAAGCCTTATTTAAAGTGCTGATTAAATTTTGTTCCATGTACTTGTACTTACCATTCTATCATCAGCAATCGGTTCAAGCAATCTTCCCCACATGCATGAAATCCACGTGCACGTTCACTCTTTGATGTTACGCAGTCACACACCATTCTACGAGCTTCTTTCCCCGCTTTAGATTTTTTCCTGCAGCACAAAAGATTAACTCGTTTATAAATTTTCTGTTTCAAATGCATGTACATTTCAGAGCTATTTCAGGATCTTTCTGTTCACTCAACATGTAAAATGCACATCTTTTATGCAATTTGCTGCCATCCTGCAAGTGAACTGAATTACGCTAAAAAAACATTGTAAAATTAACTTTCAAAATTGCATACAGCCGGGAATTACAAAGAGATGCTCAAAAACTGCTACACTGGTTATTCAGTTAATGCAAATATTTAGCAATTACTGCATTTGAACAAAGTCACTTGAAAAGTGAAGAGTAATACATAACAAAACTCACCTCTCTGACAAGTAGCAATTTTCTGGAATATCTTCATAGGTGGGGACCTCATCTCCTGTGACTATTCCCCAGGATTGTTTGTTGCTTGCTTTGGTTTCCTCTGAATGACTATCTATCACTTCACCTTCTTCAATATCCTTCAAGCTTACAAGAGTATCTTGGGCAGCAGATGGTGCAGACGCTGCAGCATCCACAGGTTGTTTGGGCTCACTATTAGAGATGCTTTCAGGAAGTTCTGATCGAATAAGAGACTGAGTAACTTCCACTTTTTCCTTTCGTAATGGTGGTTGTTTTTCAACACGAATGTTAGGACCTGTAAAGTTCTCCTCCCATACATCCCGAGTAAATTCCGAGTGGTTATAAACCGGACGTCTAATGCCTGAGCCTACAATTCTTGGATATTCCGTTTGTTGGTTTTGTGAGCTCATGTTACCTGCCTGAACATGACTAATGTCCATTGGTCTATGAGGAATTGAATCCATCACCTCATCTTTGTTGACTACAGCAGGCATATTTAAACAACCCTCGTCCACTGGATGATCCTCTGCTCCATCATTTTTGCTCACAGCAACCTGCAACTGGTTTGCATTTTGTCCTAGATCAGATGGATTTTTCAAGTTATCAAGGTCAGGAAATACCAAAAGACTGCCTTGTTTCTCCTTGTCCAAGATTCCATGAACTTCTTGGATGGTCTCCTGGTTTAATTCCATACCTTCCAGATCCGTTTTCTGATCATGGTCCTCGTCACCTTCTGTTACTGGCCTTACAAGATATGCTGGGAGATCTGCCTCTTCAGTGCCCTGGCTGGTATCCATTGCCCCTTTATCAGTACATGGAATTAAAGTTGTTGACATGCAGCTTGTACTGGTAGCAACAGGGGCACTGCATATAGACGTCATGGCTTCTGGGCTTAATGGTGATGGTACATAAGCCTCATTGGTCACAAGCTTAGATGTTGGAATTATTTTGGATGCCTCTACTACAGGACTGGTTTGACTGGACAAACTGACATCGGTCGTCAATATCTCAGATGCACAAATGACTTTCTCCTTTCCATCTATAGGATCACAAGGAATGACCTTACTGACATCAGAGGTCACACTGGGAGAACTTGCATCTATCATGTCAGCATCTTTAGCAGGAATCATGGAGCATTTAGTGTCTGTAATGGTGGTTTCTTGGGTGATAGCTGATGACCCATTAATATCAAGTGAAACGTCTGACAAATGTGCAGACTCAGACTTGTCAACATTTGCATTAGGCAGCTGAGCCATCAGAGTAACAGCGGCATTAACATCACAGGCTACATCTTGAACAATTTCACAACTTGGGACTGTTGATATGTTCATTTCTGCATCTCTTATCTTTCCTAACTGTGCATCCTCATCTTTTTGACACTGTATTACTGGAGGTGTGTAAATCACATTTTCATCAGGTGGTGGACTATCTTCTGGTGCATTCACTGACTCAAGATTGCCACTTTTCTTCATAACCTCAGGCTCTGAAACATCATTATGTGGGGATCCATTTGAGTTATGTGATGACAAACGGCGTTTTCTTCCAGATGCTGTTGATGTTTCTGCGAAATCTTTTGGTGATTCACTTAATCTCCTTTTCTCTATTGAACGAAGGCGTGTGCTCCTGCGTGTAGGCAAAGATTCAACATTTGACTCATCTGTTCCACTTCTTCCCTTGTTGCCTCGCCAGGATCTCTTTTTCTGCCTCGGTGCGTCACTCTTTGGTGATACACTCACAGATTCTCTCCTTTTAGAAACATCTGCAGAGAAACAAATGTCTACTTCCCGAGTTCGAATTGGCTTGAACAAACTCTCTTTGGCTGGGTCTGATATGTTCAGTTGGCATGTAGAAGTAATTTCCACTTGTAGGTTAGACTCCTTGCATTCCAAGGAAACTGATTCTTTCTGCAAATCATCTCCTAATTCCCTCTCACCACTATTAACAGTTTCTGCAGGTTGCAATTTCAATGTTGAAACTTTGGTTATTGTTTGTACAGCCTCACTTGAACAATTACACAAGTTATTCACTGAGTCTTGCTGGAGGAATACTTTACTGACAGATTGCTGATCTGATGGTTGTGCTTTGGAACTTGCACATTCAGTACTGGTAGACGTAGGAGTCAAATGTATTGAATCCGTAGGCAGTTTATTTCCTGCCTTTTCAGATTCATCGAGTGCATGAGATTGAGTAGTTTGCTCTGGAACCACTACAAGATTCATCTCTCCTGACATTTCCATTGCTTCTTGGGGTGGTCCACATTCTGATGCCAAGAGTGGAGTATTACCATTAGTTTCTGGTGTTATTGAAGTTCCTGATGTTTCATCTGCCAACTCATCTGATGCACTGGTAGTAGGTAAACTTGCATCTTGAGGTAAAGTTTCAGGCAGTGATTTTGTACTGGAAGCTGTTGGAACTGGATTGTCAGACTGCTTGCCATTATCAGCATTTGGTATGTCGTTGTAGTGCAGCAGAACATTTGGAGGAAGAATCTCTGCAGGAAATTGGTTAAGATGTATCATGTCTACATCAAAGTCCCACAAGTCGTTTCCTGAATGGGCTGCATGCATGGCATCTTTTCTGACAAATCCCTTCATCCATTCTATGACTGGCCCTTTTCTTATAGAGACTGAGTCTGCAGATAGCTGAACATCTTGCAGGTTAGGCTGAATTACACAAGATGGAGCATTATCTGGCACAATGCCATTTGTTGTGTTACCTTGATTGATGATATCTTTGGATAAACTCTTGGCCAGCGATGACTCCTTGTCCACACCAAACCGCCTTGTTACAACTGTACGGAGTTGTTTAGTATCCTTTGATGGTTTGTCTGTACTATTTAGTTTTAATGACCTGGGAATCATCATATGGTTTGATGCTTTGGATGTCACATTTCTATTTACAACACATGTTGATTTTGTTTCATTCTCAATGGAAGAGATGTCCAAGCTCAGTGTGACTTCAGTTGGTGCTGCATTCAAGTCCCGCTGTATCTTTGTAGTCCTTTCTGATTTCCACTTTGAAGGTTCATCCTCTGATATAGGAATTTTCTCCATGTTCACATGAGACGCATTAGTGCTTGCTACCACTTCATTGAAGTCATCTTCAGGAACTGATTCAGAGACCATAAGTGCCTCATTAACTGCATGTCCTGCCCCTTCCACTGTTTTTACATTTGATTGGTTATTATCAGACAGAGACTTGCGATCCTGCAAACATGCTTCATCAACTGCTTTCACAGATACAGTCTCAAAATGCATCAGTTTTTCAAACTCTTCCATTTCCTTCTCCAAAACAGGTTTGGAGTCTGCATCAGCCACAGAGCCCAGGTCCTGGTTAGTTTCTTTTGTGTCTTGCTTGGCCTGGTCACTATCAGATGATAAACTACTCCGCAGTGTACTTTGTGATCTTGTCACACAGTGTGATTTCACTGGAAGCACTGAATTGGTGGGAGAAATCAGGTCAACTTTCAGTGGTATCTTTTCTGCCATAGTGACACCAGTGCTTTCTGGCGATGTGGTAGTCCCCTGAAGATCCTGTGGAATGAAATATGGTACAACCAAGACAATTCAAAACGTGCAAAGTGACAGGATAAGCACAGCACAATTTAACACCTTTTTTTTGTAACTCTTTTCTTTCAACATAGGTATTGGACAACACTTGAATTAGTTTCTATTTTATGAAATGGAAAAATTTGGGGGCTAGCAATTTTAAGTAGATATCATTTTACTAACCATCTTAATATTTTGTGTCCATAGGTACACGAAGAACGTGCATGAGCGACTATAAACGCACATGGTCAATAGCTAGCAAAAGCCATTTTTCCAACAATGTCTGGCATACAAAACACTATAACTTTAAAGTATACTCCATACTATTGATAACTTACAAATAAGTAAGCTATTTCATAATTATTTGATATTTTTGTTTTTGCATATGTTGTCCACTTCTTTGGAAATAAGTAAACATATCTTAGAGGATATAAGAAAAAATTCATCTTATGATTAGTGAATGCGGTACCCACTGCTATGTACAATGGATTTGAGCCGGCCAACCGATCCCATTGGGACATCTGCTCTAGAAAGCAGGAGGTCGTGGGTTCGAGTCACACCCAAGTGATTTTTTCCAACTTTCAATCAGGAGGTAACACACTGAGTATACAGTGTAAATATGTCAGTGAAGGGCAAAACCTAATTTGATATACATACATGTATATCTTATCTTAGAGGAATTATCCACATCTGTTTGGGTGAATTTGATATTTAAATTTTAGTCCCATTATATGCTTAGACGGTCTTTGTGATTGCCCCCTCCCCAAATAAAACAAATTATAATAATAATTATAATAATAATTATAATTATAATAGTCAATAATAAATCAATCTATAAATAAACAAACAAAAAAAGAAAACTTAATAAAGAAAACATTTAGAGGAGAAAGAGACAGTTATAGTTTTCATGACCATTCCCAAGTAACATGATAAATGACCACAATTATGGGGGCCACAGATTTGTTCAGGCTATTCATTAGCACTGCTGCCATTCATGCCTTCTGTCAACATGGGGTCAGGGCCAAAGTGCAACTCTGCACAGTACAGTAAACTCCGGCTAAGACGGCACTCTCGGGACCAGAGAATTTGTGACGACTTACGCGAATGTCGGCTTCTGCTGCAAGTCGTCATTTTGCCGACTTACACAAATACACAAATTGAATCACGGAGTGAAAAAAATAGATTGAATTAATGGCCTATGCGCATCTGTATCTGGATCATGCAAACAAGATTCATGGCTAAATTTCAAAGGCTTTGATTTTACCCTGGTCTATTTCTACATCCATGGTTGATTCCAGCAAATATATCCTCAATGTTTATCATCACAAACAGGCTGTGGTATTGATCACAGAAAGTCATGCATGTACATGTACGTACGTACAAAGCAAGGACGGCGCGGCCGGCTAGCGTTAACAGTAGTACGATATACAGATCGCTTGCATACTGTACGTCCATGTACATGTAGTGTACATTGTGTACGTACATACGTGTACAGTCACGAATTAAATGCGTGCATTCGCTCGTACCCCCCGCCCTGCAAACAGGGCGCTAGTAAGGGCTGATGAGCTTCACAGAATCTTGTGAAGGAAGTACAGATTGACCTTCGCATGCAGCTAGCGCGCGCTATGCATGATGGGCAGCGGAAGCTAGTTTGTGGACGCGTTCTACGTCACAGCACCCGATTTCACAAAACTCATCGTAACTTACGATGCATCGCAGCGCTGCGACGCATCGTATCCCTACAACGCGTCACAGCTGCGACGAGTCCTGCGATCCATTTCACAAAACATGTCGTAAGTGCGACGCGTCGTAGGTGTATGTATAGCACAATTCGGTGACTGTTTTATGTATTAAGTCAGCATACAGTAAATAGTCGTCTGGTATTCAACAATGAGTCGTCGGATCTCCGCTCCAAATTTGTTAAAACATAGGACAAAATGGCGGCTGTGCGATGCAATTTTAAAGGAAAACGAGCTCTCAGTGGACTGTGTAGCTACTTTGAAATTTCAACTGCAAAATTCTAGGCTAATTCATAATTATTCAATGAATTTTCTATTTACAACTATACACATTGCCTCTGTATTATAATCTCGTTTATGTGATGTTGATGGCACAAAACTGGCTAAAAACGGACTCTTCTTATTTTGCGACAACCACTAGACACGTCGTAGCTTGCGACGTATTTTAAGCCATTGTCAAGGAACTTACGAAGCGTTCAACACATCGCAACTTTCATGAAATGGATTATACGACGCGTCGCGAGTTGCGACATGTTACACGTCGTAACGCGAGTTGCGATGCGTCGCAGCGCTTCGAGAAATCGGGTGCAGGTCACGCAAATCTATCCAATGAGAGCTCAAATGATGTTAGCCATTACCAGCGTCCTGTTTGCAGGGCGGGGGGTACGAGCGAAATGCGTGCATGGTACTGGTACAATAAGGGGACCCCCAAAATGAACAGAGCACATGCGTGCAGTCGAGAGGGGGTACTGGTATTGATGGTACGGAATGGACATGTACTTCGTGTAAGCGAACGATACACACAATGTACAGACTGTGCATGATAGAGTGCACACGTGCGATTCGTGTACACGTGCTGGCCGTGTACACGTGCATGCATCAATCACGGGCCGTGCCATTGATAAACGGATGTTAGTTAGCAGTGTGTGGGACTTTTCACTGGACACATCTTACAAACCGCAGAGAACGATGCCGACTTATACAGAGGAATTTGTGTGGTTTTGAGGAAATGGGACTGAAAGTAACACGCCGACTTAGGCGAAATGGCGGTTTACAAAGGCCGACTTAGAAATGAAAATGTCAATGGAAATGCATTAGAGACAATCGGGACTTTCGTCAGACGGTTGATTTAAGCGATATGACGGTTTATACGATGTCGGTTTAGCTGGAGTTTACTGTAATTCACTTCTGGTGTGAACATAATCACAACATATAAATCTGAACAAAGTCAAATGCATGTTGGTGTATTCCCACATATCTTTTTAAAGCTTACCTCTTGGACATCAGTTTCTCTGTAGACCAAAGCAGTGTTGACAGGCATCATATACATACATGAAAGAGAAATAAAATATAATAGCTTATTAAATATATTACATCATTATTATCCGCAATGAGACTAATCTGACGACAGCCATTTTCTGAGGTGGCACCGTGCTTGTGCGAGTCGTACTCAGGTAGTATTCACGCTATCCGGGCTCCTTCCACCAATAGGGTTACCAAAATGCATGCGTGCTTTATAAACAAGTGCGGCATGCACGTAGGCATGGTTTCACCTCCAAAATGGCTTCTAATTTTGTTCGCCAGATTAGCCTTTACAAGGAGCCTCTTTCGGATACATGCACATGTACTCATATCTTGTATAATGGACATGTTTACATACATATTTAGCAGAGATGAAACTGGCATGTGGCAAAAAATCGGAAAATAGGCCAAACAAAAATACGTGTCCGAAATCTGGGCCGCGCTGCCATTACACACATATACATGCATGTACAATACACTTCATGCCCAATTTCCGGACACCAACTCCTGCTTTATTTTTGATTCAAACAAAATTTTACGATGAAAAAAAAAAACGGTCAGTGTTTTCATTGCATAAAATGCCTGAATTACGGTTAGAGTAATGGAGTCATCAATAAAGAAGTTCACTTCTTACTTGAGAAAGTCGAGGGAAAAGTCTGAAAGACAAGGGCACCGTTCATGGTGCTTCAATCATGTCCATGATTCAACCATGATTCATACATGGGAAAAATCAGGCATTACCGTCTTTCTCTTCCAACAAATGCCAGTGAAATATTTCGCTAATGCTCTCTTCGCTATCCTCGAGATAATCATCATGATTTTTAAAGCATTGCATTTTGTACAACTGAATCTGAAACCTCCGAAAATCGCACTACATAATGATTGTATCCACAGGATCCTCCACAAGGCTACCCGTCCCGGCCGGCCATGTGCTAGCGGACGGTACGGTGGTGCAGTACGTACGCACACGCTGGTACCATTGCATATTCGCACGCACGTGCGACACAGTGATTTTTCCATGTCGCCTGTCAATGTTTAACCTTTTGTCCAGCCGGAGAAGGCTCCGATCAGTGTTATGCCCTGTGTTTCTACCGTTGAAACTCTCCAATAACGACTGGTGAAAGAGATTAAAACTACGTTCGCGATGATTTTAGCACGCCATTTCCATCGACTTTTCTTCGAAATTATGATTGAAATAAAATGACATTTTGTGAAAAAATCATCAGAAAATCAAATTTTGTGGGACACACTGTAAAAAAATTGGAAATTTCGTTGAAAAATTCAAAAAGTCGGTTTTCCGATTAAAATCGGAAAAGTTTCATCTCTGATTTAGCAGAATCAGAATAAATCCCTTTGAAACTTTGGGTGCATTCAATCACCTCACCCGGGTTGACTCGGGTCAAGGCAGACAGGTGAGCCATGATGACACGCTTATTGAATGCTCAAATGCAGGTCATCATGATCTTCAGACGACGTCCGTAGCTGTGGCCTTATAGCCTTTTGGACTGAGTCTTACTTTGAAATCTCCTGTTTTACTGTCAATTTTTTTCTAAAGGTAATGACTTCAGAATGGAACAATTGCCTCTAAACTTGCATAGATAAATAATTATGTTTAGATTTCAAATAAAGTTGATTTTGAGTCCAGTGAACAGTCCACTTGAATTTCCTGCTGCCCGACTGTCATATGTGTCATCTTCTTGAAAAGAACAGCACATACATACAAGTGACATATTCCCACCACAGACCCTGCAGGGTTTGCAGTGGTCAACTGGGGTGAGCCCTGATAATGATGTCAGAGCTAATTGAACTGTACGGCGCTAACCCGAGTTGACCCGGGTGAGCTAATAGAACCCACTCTTTAGATGAGATTCATCAAAAACTTTGTAAGGTGACACAACGTTGACTACAATTGTATGTCAAACCATAGAGAAATAAAACAAATGGTCAAACAGTGAACACCATACCGCACATGATCACAGCTTACTTGTACCTACATTCACACAGTTTAACTAGTTATCATCATACCAGTTTAATTTAATAACAATTTGAGTGGTCATGATACATGTATGGTTCTAATGCTTTGTGCTGTGAGGTATTATTAGACAATAATTTGCATCCACCATTCATTGCATCTTGTGACTGAGATAAATTTACTTCCAGCAAACTGAATGCACAGTAAAGATGCAATGTGTATCCAGTTCACAATTTTTTCCAGGACACCGTAGTCGGCATTTACTGCAGCACATGCACACTGCACTGCACTGCACTAGTATACGAGTATGCAGCAGGAAAAAATGTGCCACTTACAGGTACATGTGATGCATAATAGATTGCGCAATACAGAATAAACCACAGTTGTGTTTCAATTAATCAACTAGGCAGGCTCAAGATTAGTGGTGTGCATTTACAGGTAGTATAGGAACTGGGTACCCTTTTAAAATAAAACAAGGGTACCCAGGTACCCGTATTTAAGGAAACCCAACCCCAAAACCTTTTTCCCGCATTGTCTGAGAAGTTACCAAGTAATTTGTAAAATTGGTTACGGGTACCCGGTCCCATAATCTAGAACCTGTTTCTGACATCAGCTGTCGAGTACTCGGGTACCTGGTTCCGATGCACAGCCCTACTCAAGAAGTCAAATTTGCTTGAAGACAAATACTGTAAATTGACTGATCATGCAATGTTTGAGTGCATGTTTTGCAATGGCAACGAGACCCAAAAAATGTGCAAGGGCACTTAAGGGAGAATGGTGCCAACAAAATAAAATGTCTTCAAGAAAACCACATAGGGAAACTGACTAGGTGTATTATAATTATTCTATGGTTGAACAAAGAAATTGACTGGAGTGGGGTTTGAACCTGCGACCTCCGGATTACCATTCCGGTGCTCTACCAACTGAGCTATCCAGCCCTATGTTGGCAGCTCCCCATTTAGTCAACGTCTTTGTTCAGAAGGCGCTAGTCAGAAGCAAAACCTTTATGCCATGTAGCCAGGGACCATGCAAGCAACATTGGCAATGTTGCAAACCTGTTTCTTTCTGCACGTATTTTCATCTTCATGATTTTTTTCGGTGTCTCAATGCTTTTGTTTGTAGCGATTCAGCAAAGCGCAATTTTCCGTGTGACCGTTGCTGTGTGCCAGTGACCGCCGGAGGCGGGGCCAGTCCACATGGCAGTCCACGCACATTTTTACCGTGGCGTCGGCGTATACTGTCGGCGTCGGTCTTCAAACTTAGACCTATAAACAGAGCTTCACCTCTTCAAGGGTTCAGTATCATTAACAACCGACTTCGGCCCCCTCAAGTCACTTTGGATGTGAAAAAGTGGAATTTATAAAATGTAAAATATAAATTGCCCTCCCAACCATTTTTTTTTTCAATCAGAATGATGTAAACCTAAGAATTTATTTGTAAATGGCCATACATTTTTTAGGTTAATTGCAAATAAGTATCAAACCTACATATTTTTATCACAGACCAGAGCAAGGTGTTCATCTGCTTATTTGTCTTTACCAGCAGTACATGTTGACATGAGTGGTAAATATCTGACTGATTGTTTTGGATCGTAAACACGTCTTGCATATTATGCGCCTATCAATTGGTCCCCCCCCCCCCCCCCCCCCCCCCCCCCCCCCCCCCCCCGGTTGCCCCACCCGGGCTGCCCCACCCAAGACGTGGGGATTGTCACTTTAGAAGTGACAAAATCCCCACCCCTCGGGCAAAATTTAAGTGACAATCCCTGACCATGCCCCGACATACATACGTGGGGCGCACTAGTGAATGCATTTCCATGTAGCACGCCAATGGTAACAATGTAATTAGAGTGACCAAAATCCCCACCCTGGGGCATAAAAAACGTGACCAAATCCCGACATCGGACCTGGAGCTGCGGGGGGGGGGGAAACATTTGATAGGCGCATTACTGTAATGTAACCGCAATCACGCGATTGACAGCACAACCATGGTGGCTCACCATGGAGCTAAAAAAGGCTAACACACGATTTTCCTGAACGTATCCAACAGCAAACACATCGCCATTCAATGAAAGGCCCATGGTATGTACAACGTTAATACAGTGCACGCAGAAAACATGCAGGAACACTACATTCTACAACGATATGAAAAGGACGCGGTGACATGTCATGCATGTATGCGGTACATGCAACGACGTGGGTATACAGCAACACGCACCCTCCAAACGTGACCCGTGTCCGCCATCTTGGAATCATCATGTAGCGATGTATTATACGTACGTACGTACGTACGTGTGTGGATCCGTATATCCCATGTGGGTTAGCGATCTTTTATAACAAAGAAAATCGTAACTTACCAGCTGTACAAAGTCTCCAAATATGAGCTAAAAGAAACAAATCAAAGCACTTACAAATCGTCCTTCAACGACATGCAAAAACTTGATAGGCCATGTCTGGACAAAATTTACCCCCGATATCTCTACTAAAAAAGTACTACTACGTACAACGCGGCCCAGCACAGTCGAGCTAGCTAGCTACAGGTACACGTCTGTCCGATCATGCACTCGGCGTTTTTGTGTAACCTTACCAAGGCCCAATAACCCTCTGTGAAAACGATCTTCAAGACATGAGACTATTAAGGAGAACCACATTACCGTATTTTAGTTTTTCGTTTTTTTGTCTTCGGTTAGACAACGTCTGCATAATTTTTACTCACCTTGTAAAGCCACTGACTGGGTAGCAACGTTTCGATGGGAAATGTAGGCCTACCTTTTCCCCGTTGGCAACAAACATTTTCAGGAACTATTTGCGCCAATGACGAACGCCGTGAACAAGTCTTCATTATTGATAGCGACAAATGTTCTTTTGCACAAGTTCAAGAGCGCTAACTGACGAAGTTCGCATTTTGTTTTATCACTACGATCCCCTGTAACATGACCAGACCCTTTTTAAGCCCTGTTAAGCCACTACCACAGTCACTCTTAATCGGCGTAAATTATGATGTGCATTTTGAAAACGAGTTCAAAATATTGAGACTTGTATTATGAATGGATTATTATGAATGTTTAATTTTTTAATATTGCCTTATAATCGCTTGGTTCCTGTAGTTTCGGCTTGCAACTGCTGTTTTATGTTTTCCTCATGTTATTATCAGTTTTTTTCATATTTAATTTTATACTCTTACTACATCACTGAACATACCTTACACTATGTATAGTTTTCATTGCATATTATGAGATTCTTGCATTGTGCATGACAATAAATGGTGTTCTACCACAAGACAAATGTGACCCTCTATTTTAATTTTCATATGAAAGGAGAGAATCTTGTCAATAGCAGCGAAGATTGTCTTCTTCATATGTTGAGCATGCACTTGATCTAGCAACAAATATAACTTCCAAAATCAAGCTACATCATTGCATCTCTGAAAACTGTAAAGTACAAGCTGTATGATGCACCCATTGACATTGTTTCGTCCTTGTACTGCAAAACAGTTGACTGTAATGTTATTCAGTCTTTATCTGTATCAAAGTGGTCACAAAAATTGAATTAATGATATCCATATCCTCAGCAACTTGGGAAACATATTTCCATGAATAACCCCATGATGTATTTCAACTTATATGAGATTTTTGCCTGTATATTTCACCCAATATTTCAATTTGAGAATTTCTCTTTATTTATAAGGGCAAAGATAACAAGCTTTTTGAAGCTGTAATGTTTTGGTAATAATTTACATTAATATGCATGTTACAAAAACATGTTCAATGTAAGTTTTACTAGATTATATTTTGTTGATTTATACAAGCATATTAAAAATATGACTGTACTACATGAAGCGTACATTGATAACATCTAAGATACAATCCTCTGCATGTCACAAAATAAATTTTAAAATTTGAATCTTTGAATCAAACTACATTGCATCATGGCCTAAAAAGAAAGGGAACACTTCAGAGATACTGTATACATTTATTTGTTATTAAGACCCCTTGAAAAGTAGGATATTGTCATATTTTTATACATTACTTTTGTAAATGTCAAATCTCAAAAATCTTATATTGGAACAATTGTCAGCAAGTACTTCAATAATTAAGTACGTTTGTACATGTTCATGGATAATTTTGCATAAATGTGAATTGTTCTTGGGAAAGTTGTTCAATGAATATTTTGTGATTGGTTTACAATTGTACCAAGACAGATACCACAGTGAGACACAGAATTACACCCTACATTGCATGCAAAGTTACATGCTTTCTACGTTTGCTATAACTTGTTAAAAAGTAATGAGAACGGAGGGTCAAATTGATGAAATAGCACTGTTTCAAATAAAGTACTCACTCAGTGGGAAATGCTGGATCATATTCATCAGCCATTTCCAAAATATAGCATAGACTACTTTTTCCACATTTGTATTAGAAACGGAGATCAATCACATTTCAATCAGCCTTCACGATCCCCTACATGTCTGTAGCCATGATGTTCCATCACTTCCAACACATGCAACGTGAGATGTGGTTGACCCTACATATATAAACAAAAGAAGCAATAATTTTCTTGTTATATAAGACACCATAGTGCCATTCAAACATTTTCATTCAATATGCATCAAGAAACATCAACAAGAGTCCAGCTTCATTTTTTTTTCAATCCTGGGTCATTAACGATTGAATCACTTGAATGGTATAATACACTTCTAACCATCTGAAAAGAAAATAGCTTTTTTTACATGGAGTTATGTAGTTCAGCACATAGCCTAGCTGCCTAGTAGTGCATAGCGGACATGGCAGGCTGATGATATTTACTTGCACTATTTCCCACTATATGGAGCTTAATAAGTATCATTATGTGATGTTTAAAAGCCTACACATTGCTTGTTGACATTTGACATAGTCACAGTCGTAGTGTATTGAAATGCGACTTTTCCACAAGACTCGGAGTTACCATAGTAGGCCTATAGAGGAGTTTTTAATTAGAAAGAATTTAATGTAGGGGTGGCCTTTTTGTTGGAACAATGCCGAAGTTACAATACGAACACCACTTTGCCAATTGTTGGTTGTGTACAACTGGGTTGGGAGTTATTTTCTAGGTATATTTGGTAAGCACCACTTTTCTGTTCAGTAAATATTATTTTCTTGGGGGCTTTTTTCTGAATGGCTCATTGGCTGCACTACACCCGTAAACATGGCATCAACAATAACGCCACGCTCCACCCTCGCGTAAATACACTCAAAATTGTCATGCGGCATGTCGTTTCGCCAGTATTATAAGTACATTGTACATTGTACTTACATACAAAGCTTTCTGTAAATTCACTTAAGCGTAGGATCTTGCATTGCCAAGAAATTTGAGGGGAAAAAATGACCACTACACAACATACGAGCAAAACTTTATACATGTATTTTCTGAGGTCACGCACAGTACGCTAGTACTGAGTCATGCATGCCCAAAATGATAGGAGCTGTCCGGGTACCCGTACAATCTCGTGCGTCGAGTGTTTCTACGCAACTCTGGAGTGTGGCTATGTATATAGCCATGTTCATGGGTCTATGGCTGCGCATGCGACAGCTTAAACATTAGTTTGCTGAAGGTCATCTTTGATTCCTCCGGCAGCATTTACTAAAACTTAAAAGAAAGCCGGTGCAGCAAATAATATGACATACTTAGGCCCTAAGCCAATCAGAGATAACCTCTATAAAAAATAACTGCTGCCTTATTTCGGTGATGTAGTTACGGGCCCTGTTTCTTTTAAATGAATGAAACCACTTTTTAGATTACTTGAGTCACCCAGCTAAATTGCAATGTTTAAAACCAACACCATGGATAGAGGGCAGGCCTTTGATCTTTATGAGGGAAATTTTTGGGTAAAATGACAATGAAGATGACAAAATGCAACAAACATGACAAATAAATGTAAAGCAAGAAGCATGTGTACAGAGCTTCGAAATCACATGGCATCAACTGAAAAATGCGTCAGAAAATTTTCTACCAAAAAATACTGTTCAAAATTACGAAAAAATTGGGGTCATCAGAATGACTGCAGACTGTGTGCAGACAGCAGAGTGCAGTTGTGACATTGCAAAAGGGTGCAGAATTCATTGGACTGTTGTCATGGTCAAGATGGTTGTGGTGGAATGATAAAATTAAAACACTTAGTTTTAAGCACTAAAACGAAAGAGGAGCTCATGACTACACAATCGCCGTATTTTCTAACAAAATTCGAAATGGTGACTGGTCTATAAAAGACGAATCCCAAATTCGTGATTTCATTTTTGGGGTGCATCTCACAATAGACTCAAGTTCCGTTGATTTGTCATGTTTGTCAGGCATGTCACTTGCAGCAGGATGCATGAGGCGTTGGGCCACAGGAAAAAAAGTATACTAAATAATACGTGTTATAAATAAATAACATGCTGTGGATAATACTTTTAAAAGAAAATTCCAACTTACATGACTTAAAACCGCTTTCTTTCACTCAGACAGTGAGCTGAGCTGAACTGAGTTTGCGAGTCGCCATCATGCATGTCATGTTCTATATGTCGAGTCGGCACGATCGTACCCAGTTTAGCCAGAACGGCCATTAAAGCCTGCATGGAGTGTCTGGGACGAGTTAGCACGGACTATTTCGTGGTATTCTGCACCTCGTTCATTCTACAAAAGGTACTTGAAAATGATACCAGCGAAGAAAAAAATAAACTGGTAGTGGTATTTGCGTCGGGGTGATGTAAATGGTGCTCTTTTCACCCGTTGCGCGCGTCATAGACGAAATGGATAAATTCAATTTCAACTTTTAAAATTTTCAAGCCGAACACCTATTGTCATTGTACTTTTTTCTTCGTCTGTTCCTCACGGAACCTGTTGTGCAGAGTTTCTACTAGCAAAGCTCAGAGAGACATAATACTTAGATGTCCCTAAAAGTTAAAACGTCACGATAACGTCACCAGGTGTCAAATTATACTATATCAAAGTTCAATATTACAACAACAAAAAAATCATATTTCAAGAACCACGAGTTTTATTACGAAAATTAAAATTATGCGTGTGTGGTTGCAGCGATTGCTACCGGAGTGAGGAAAACGGTATCCAACAGCAAGTGATAGACTGTACGGGTGCGCGCCTGCAATAAAATTCCCATAGACACTAGTGCTAAATGCCCATACTTCAAAATTCATTTAAAAATACTCAGAAATCTCACAGGTATTCAAGCTGCACAGAAAAATGATGATCAACATGTCATCTTTCATTTTCTTTTCAATTTTGGTTGGGTTGACCATTGACTTTTTGAGATATTCTCACCCAGAGAAGAACACCCCTAAAACGAATGATGTTTCCCAAACTGGAAAAGTAGCAATTTTGAAAAAGAATCCCTCCACAACATGGCTAAATAGCGCCACTTTCGGGCCCGATTGCATCCAAAATGCTCAGAACTGGAAGCTCCAAGTCCAGGCCAGAGGTTCAGTGCCACATGTCTTCAATTCCCCAATTCCATGGTTCTCAGAACTCTCTAATATAAAAGATTTTCGCCAACTCGGCACCTTGCCAACTCGGCACCTTGCCAACTCGGCACCTTGCCAACTCGGCACCCTGGCAACTCGGCACCTTGCCAACTCGGCACCCGCCAACTCGGCACCTGTAAAAATACCAACTCGGCACCTAAGAATAGTGCCTGACGAGAATGTTGCACTTTGCCGCTGACCGATAAAGCGCAGCGTGTTTTCGCGTGGACGGTCAAATCGTTTTGTGCCGGCGTATGTATCACGCGCGCACGGTGAAGCCTGGCGGTGCGATTCGGCCCACAATTTGGCGTATGGTACCACTACTCAGCGCAAAGCACACGGTTATTTTTTGGGCACTCGTGAGGAAGGACCCACCCTGCTGATTTCCTTCGACCTCGTGCGTCCCCCCCACCGCCTAAAAAAAAAAGAAGAGAAACTAAGACCACAAAGTAATACGTGGGACAATTAACTGATTATTTGGAGACGGATCGTGGTTTGATCAGGTGCTGAGTTGGAATTCGGGAGAAAAAGGCAAAATTCGGGTGCCGAGTTGGCTAGGTGCCGAGTTGACAAGGTGCCGAGTTGACAAGGTGCCGAGTTGACAAGGTGCCGAGTTGGCTAGGTGCCGAAGTGACCGATACTGCAGACTGTGTCGCTGCGCTGCCGGTGTACCATGAATTTAGGTTTTATGAAATACGGACTCATTAGTGGTATTGCGCATGCTCATGCATAGATAATTAGGAGAGGGACCGGTCACGTGAGAGGGTTTAACCAATAAAAGGGAAAAAGAGTCCTATTTTCATATGACACCGGCCGACAGAAAGTTTGTAAGGAAAGGGTCCATCCTATTAATATTCCACGATTATCCTGATAATAAATACACTAAGGTAATAAAGACACTACAAGTATTCATGGGCGTCGCCAGGATTTTTTCTAGAGGGGGGCAAAACATATTTTTGCCAAAAAATGCCTGTATTTCTCAACACATTCTCGATTTATCAGTTTTAGAGGGGGCAGGGACATTTTGCCCCCCCCCCCCTCCACCATTAAATTTACACCACTTTGACTTCGCGCCTCTTTTTCTTTTCTTTTTTCTCTTTTTTTTCTTCCTTTTTTTGGGTGCTTTTCCAGAGGGGGGGGGGGCAAGTGTCCCCCCCCCCTTGCCCCCTCCCCTCGCGACGCCCATGCAAGTACATGTATTAGCAAGTTCAACAAATCGTCATGTCTCTCTCCGTTAGTAAAAAACGCCAGCACATACATTGCATGCCTGGCTCAAAATCAAGTTGTCCCTCAGGCCCTCGCAACAACACGTGCCTGAGGTTCATGGCCCTGTGTTGTGACACTTTGTTGATTGCAGTCGTGGAAAATTAAGTCACTAGAGTAAAAACAAAACCCAGATGTTTGTCAGTCGGGGGGGGGGGGGTCAGCCTAGCTGGAAAGTTAACCAATTTCCATGTATGTAGCAATGGTCCACATGCATACCAATGTAAGGAAATGGACGTCTGCCGGGCACATTGTGGTGGGTGTGGTCAGGAGGGCCATGAGAAAGGGCCCCAAAAAGAGCTAGATCAGCTGGTGAGTTAACCCACTGAAACCTACTGGAAAATGTTGAGCATAGTTCCAGGTATCATGAATGGTCACTGCCAGACATTTTCAGTGGTGGAGTGTGCCCGGCAGACAAAAAACCTGTACAGGAGGGGCGTGGTCATAACCCCCTCCCGTTCCTTTTCGCTGATACAGTTGCAACGCGACGATATAGAAAAATGTGAAACCAATTTCTTCAAGTGCCTTGACGCTTGTAGAAAATAAAAATGTAGCTTACGGGCAATTTAAGATCAGACTACTTTTATAGCGATGGGAATAGCATGGAGGGGGCAAATAATAAAAAGTTTCAAAAACAGAATGTTTATTCTACATACATTTCCCTTGTTTTTTTATGCGTTGAAATACACTTGGACACAACGTAAAACATTCGTACAGGAAAGCACTTGTTATTTTCACCATTTTGTGGGCGTGGCCTAAATACACAGATTCTGCATTGTTAATATTAAATTTACATCACTCCGACGCACATTCCATCTTTGAATAGTTTGCTTGCAGTGCCTGCTGGTACATCAGATTCAAACTAGCCAAACTTGTTTGTTTCTGCATTCAAAAGGGGACGTTGAACAATGTAGGGTCCACAATTGACGACCGTGTACAAAACACGACAGGTCTTCCTAAAAAGTTAAAGTAAATTATAACAAAATAGGGACAATAGACGGTCCTCGATTGCACATAAATACACACTTCTTATGGCGGGCCGTTAACACGTTATTAAAGAGGTTTCGCAAGCGAACGGATACGCTTACACTTACGTTTAGCTATCCGTATCCGTTTTTTACTTACGTGTAGCGAGCGAGATATGCGTGTCGTCTGCATGTATGACGTCATACGCCACTCACTATCCGCTAAACGTGCAGACGACACGCATATCTCGCTCGCTACACGTAAGTAAAAAACGGATACGGATAGCTAAGCGTAAAGCCCGGTTCATACTTCACGTGAAAGCAAAAGCGATGCGAAATTCGTGACGTCAACAATACATTCGAGGCGCGTCCACCATTGTTGACGACATGAATTTCGCTTCGCACTTGCTTTCGCGTGAAGTATGAACCGGGCTTAAGTGTAAGCGTATCCGTTCGCTTGCGAAACCTCCCTATTATGGGGAAGTGGTTTTTTTTGTATTGTTAGGCAAATTTTAGGAATGAGATATCGGGACTTTCTGCTATCCCCACAATGTTTTCGGTGCCTACAAATACATCGAAGCAACAAGTGTTTGCCCCCATAAATACGGAACAAGAAGGTATGTGTGAACGTACCCGGGAGCAAAGGGACAACATAGTGGCACAGAAATTGATGGACCCGACGAGGAAAACGCTTTGTATTTTCATATTTGTGGGAACCAAAGAGAATAGAAGGGAAGTAGGGAAAGGACAAAACTCAAAATTGCATAACAAGAAATAAATGGGGCCGGCACACAAAAGAGAAGTTAAGGACAAGAGGAGAGATCCACAGGTGAACATCAAATGAAGAAGAAATGATAGGCCAGGAACAAAAGAGTTTTGTTTGCGTGAGGATAACAGAAATGGGGTGGGGGTGTTGAGAGAGATAAGGCTGGGGGACAAAGAGAGTGGCAAGAAGTGGGATCAATAGGAGACATATAAATTGGGTATTTTTCTCTCTTGTGCCCCCTCCTTCCCAATCCCCTTTTCCTTCCATTCTCACCCAAGCCCTAATACCCCCTTTGATGTACCTCTCCCCTGCATACTCCTCATCTCTTTTAAATGTTCCTCCATCCATCCCTATACATGCACGTGTGTGCCCACGTGTTTCTTTCATATACATATCACTGTCGTTTTTTTATTGAAAAAGAACTTGTGTAAGTTTAAAACGTTTATGTTATTGGCAATCTTATTTAAAATCAACTTTGCAGTGCACCATTAACACAGTTAAGAATGCAGAATATGTGTTTTGTCAGCAAAATTACAAATTTGCCTCTTTTGATTTAGAGTGCTCTTACTCGCACCCTGCTTTACATATTTAGGCCACGCCCACAAAATGGTGAAAATAACAGGCGTTATAATGTAAGAATGTTTCAGCTTGTGTCCAAGTGTATTTCAAAGCATATAAAGAAGAAGGGAGATGGGTGTACAAGTCTGGGTTTTTTTTTTGTAAGTTTTAAAGTTTTTATTACAGTATCTGTGCACCAGCACAGTATTTTATATTGTGTAATATAGGTTTTCTCTGCTAATTTAAAAGATTTTTCATTCATTAAAATTCACCAACTCTAACATTCAATTTCGTCCACAAAAAATTTCACACGCTTTTACCAAAACCAATTTAGTCATTTACCATTCAATTTTAAAGTTTGGTCACCCTTTTTAGTCACTGGGTCGAGAATATTCGTCAGTACAGATCAAATCGTCCAAGCTGTTGCCGAATGGCAGCATTCAGCGATCAAATTAGTCTTATATAAATCAATAAGACGAATTGATTTCTGAATAACAAGGTCTAGCTAGATCGACGAGACGAAATCGAATACTCCGGCGGGGACGAAAACATGTGCTCATTGTTTATATTTGCTTGAACTGAATTTGAAATTGTCGGACAAAGACGAAATTAAACATTGGAAGTGCACTTAATCGATGTTGATGGACGAATTTGAATATTAGAAACGGTGAATTCGAATGATAAACGTTTTAAAATAGCCGGGGAAACCTATATATATAATGTACTGTGCACATCGAACATGGTCAATATAGCCTACTTGTTTCGGGAAATGGACGTTTGATTGGAACAGTGTGTGTTCTTTTTTTTTAAATGGGTAGAAAATTAGCCAAAAGGCATTGGCAACCATGCCAGGAAAATTTGACAGGATTGAAAGAGTTCATTGCGATGATATAAGCGAAAATGTGCTTGGCCCCGCCCCCTCCATGCTATTCCCACCGCTCTTAAGTTAATTAGTCTGATCTTAAATTACTCGTAAGCTACATTTTTATTTTCTACAAGCGTCAAGGCACTTATAGAAAATGTCTGGCAGTGGCCATTCATGATACACGGGACTACTATACCCAACATTTTCCAGTAGGTTTCATTGGGTTAATTCACCAGCTGATCTAGCTCATTTTGGGGGCCCTTTCTCATGGCCCTCATGACACCAAAATGTGCCCGGCAGACTTGTTATACGTGGAAATTGGTTAAAGGTATAGTCCATCATTTGTAATGTGTGCATTTTGTTTGTTTAAAGCAACAAAAGTGCTCAAAATGTAAAGAAGGGTGCTGAACAACTAACCTGTTGAGGTTTCAGCTCAGCTTCAGGGGTATATTTCGAGAAAAACAACATTCTAGGATCTTGATTTCATATCAAAAGTTGCTGAATCATGTTTTGAATTGGGCCTGAATCATAGAGCTATTTTAAATTACTAGAGCGCTAAATCCTCATTCTTGCGCGCGGAGACGCTTTGAAGCCGTCCTGGGCGCAGACATTTTGAATTCATGTGCGTGTTTGTAGAACATAATGAAATTAGATGGATTGAATTTTGAAAGTGTACTCTACATGCAACGGGCAAGTAGAACATACGCAAACAACTTAAGCGCGTTATTGACGGTTCAAAAAAACGTTTCTGCAGCGAATACGCGCACGCGTTGCGCTGTTTACGTAGAACAAAATGACACGCTCATTTGCTGATCGTGCGTTTCGGTTTTGGGCGTTTTGGCTTCGATAACGCACCGGTTTGCAATACAAACGAAGATATGCAAATAGCCGTACAAAAGCCGTACAACATTTCTAGGTCTCCATAGATAGGTTCAGTTGTGCACAAACATGGATGCGCCCGGCAGGCATTACTTTGTACACGAAGTCAGCGCTTTAGTAATTTAATATAGGTCTATGGCCTGAATTCAGCGTCCGAGCTAGACACGTTCTCACTGAGCCATAGATATAGAATAAAAAGACTAGATCGGCAGCGCATGCATACGCGCCATAGAGTGTGCACAAATGTTCCCGTTCCCGCATGAACGCCCTACGCGCAGTATAGTGCGTGGGGCAAAACCTGCGTTACGCGCACCTACATTCCCATAGGTTTGTGCACTAACTTGCATTTTTATGTCCGTAAAAGTAACATTTTTAACCAGTAATTATTATGCATCTACCAAATTCAATATGCATTTTCAAGCTGGGTAGTCACCTCGAAGTTTGCTCCATTTTCCCCTCGTACTTATCTTTCGTTTTAAAATGGTGGTGCGCGTTGCTAAAAAAATCTCCAAATAAATGTCAGCTTATCAGTTAAAATGTGTATAAAGACAATGAAAAGGAAAACGTAGAATGTAAAAACTGCTTTAAATTACCGTTGAATTATTTAATAAGGAAATTGTGAAATGTTTCAATTGATGATTTTAGAGATTTGTGTTACAATTATTATCCTTTTTGGGATTAAAACAATTTACTTGGATTGCATTTTATATGTATGACTTTTAATGACAATAATATTGCCCATGAAAACCGTTTTAAGAATGAAATTATATTATATACACTCCTATAATGTTCCGGCCTTCTGAATGCATTGGCAAATTCGAACCTTTTGGGAGGATGGCTTGAGGAGTACGGATGATGGTTGTGTGTTTGTTGTGCATATTTCAAAAAAGCATCGGTGATATATTTGACCTCAATGTGACGCTAGAGTGGTGGCGTGACCAGGCTGAAAGGAGGGGGCGTTTGTAGATGGCAACATCATGGTGATCTTAAAAGCGAAATCGGAAAAGCTGATACAAGCGAAATCAGGACGGTGAAAGTTATATTCTCCAACGAGCAATAAACAAAACCACCAGTGCTACTCATAGGGAAACGAGATGGGTAAACCTTACGAACGGTTACAAGAAACCTAATTAACTCCTCAAGTTTATTTACATTGTGCTCTACCCATTTTGTTTAACATTGTGAGATTCTTGCGCCTTCTTGAAGATTTTCAGATGCTCGATACGCCAGTAGAGGAGAGCAAAATAACACAAAATGATCATCATTCTCTTTGATGATGAAGAAAATAGCACTCAAACAACTGGATGCAAGGGTTTTTAACCAACGCGCACCAGCATGTTAAAACGGGAAATAAATACGAGATATAATATGGACCAAACTTCGAAATGAACATGCAGCTTGATAACCCATTTTGAATTGTGTTGGAGAAATAACTACTACAGGTCAAAAATATTACTTTTAGGGACATAAAAATATATCTTTCCATAGAAACCTACGGGAAAAAAGGTGCCCCACGCGCTAAAAAATGGCGCCGCCCTTTTTATTCTATATCTATGCACTGAGCCGATTGCAGCTACGCGATGTCGCGCACCGATCCGACGAACAACCACGCGCGCGTCGTGTCAACGCTTGCGCGCACTTCGCCGAATAAAAAAAACCGAACTACTAACGGAAATTTCCAACGGTGCTTCTTTTAAGAAGCACCGTTGGAAAGGCCTTCTTCCGTAGATTTCTTCATAATGACAGCTTGCCAGAAAGAATAATTTCACAGGGAGTTTAGTCCCCTTATTATTTTTCAACCAAGTATGTTTTTCAACAATAATTACACCAGTTACTTTTTGGATAGCTGAAAATGATGGACACGGGCTTTAACTTTCCAGCTAGGCTGACCCCCCCCCCCCCGGGCTCCCGTACAGTGGCACTAGCTGTACTAGCTACTACATAAACTGGGTGTTCCACATGCACCAACCTAATGACGGATCCAGAACACACAAAAGAATGGGGGGGGGGGCCAAAAATGTTCGTTCCCCTAAAAAGTGGGTCCAAAAAATTACGGCGTATGATATGATGGGGTAATTCGGGGCCCGCTCAAGAGCCCCGAAAAATTGTTGGATTCGGAATGGTCTGTGGTGCGATCTGAGGCAATTTCTGACCACTTTAACCAGTATTTTGGAGGAAACGATGGTGGTGTACGCAGTGCCTGCCTTTATTGCGACGTCACGTTAAAAAAAAAAAAATTGGGTTCGCTTTTTTGGTGGAGAGGGGCGGGGGGATGCCCCCCCCCCCGCACCAACCATAGAGCTATAAAAAGCTCCATGCACCAACTGACGTTCAACAAAGGGGTATTTATTTCAATTGACAGACACGACCATAAAAAAAAGACTTTTACATTATGTACATATTACTTATTGTAGGCTACATCAGCAGGGCCGCAGTCGAGTCAGGCCGAGACCATTCATAATTTTATATAGACTTCAAAAGGGGGCGCTATTTAAAAATAACAGTGAGTCTGGTGCCTAGCCAGCCACATGAGCAATCCAGTAGTGCCCTGGTAAGTATCAACGTCGTCGCCAATTCATTCAATTGCGCACGGAGCATTGGTTGTCGTCATTTTTAACCTTTTGTCATTGGAACTCGGACTCGGAGAGTATTTTCATCAAACTATGATCGAACAGACATAAAGTAATGTGTATGGTGATCATACTGACGAAAATGACAATCTAATACACGTAAGTAATGAAAATGGAGTAGATAATTGCGTCATATTCGTTTGTCATTCCTGTTCCATGTTGTTAGCTTGAGTAACTCTAGCCCTGGTGGACTCCCTTTCCTCCCTACGTTACGGAGGGAGTCCTGAGTAAAAAGTTTTCAAAACCGAACGAAAACATTTCTGACCAATAATTTCAATATTTTTACCTTGTTGGAGAAGCTAATTTTTACGTTGTAGTATTCTATGTGTCCATATCTGTTGGGCTGATGGGTTCAGGAATTCCATATGCGATGCTGACCGACCTTAATCTGGAAAATAAACTCGAAAGCAACGTAAAACTTGTACGTGTTTTTAGACTCTTTTCATCAGTTTCTCACCGCCGAGTCTATTCTAGTCGTACATGATGTACGTCTGTGCAGCGTGTAGTCTGGTTCCCTAGACTGGACAATTATTCTCGACGCTCATATCACGCCTGGTCCGGGGGCCAGACTATGCAGCATGAATATGCAGTGCGCACGCGCGATTTGCTTAGTAACCACCCTCATACGCACGCGCACTTACTTGAAGGCGCGGACGCTAATCCAATGACCGAGCGTGTTTTCGCGCCAGTTACCAGAAACACGTTTCGGCTTTGGTCATTGGTTGAGCGTTTTCGCGACATCGGTTGACTGGAGTGACGTCACGGTTCCAACCAAAACTAAACAAATGAGGGCGCTAGCGTGCGTACGCGCTTTCGTACGCACGTACATTGTACATGACGTACAACTCTGGAATAAACTGATGAAAAGAGACTACAAACACGTACAAGTTTAACGCTGCTTTAGACTTTATTTTCCTGATTAACGTCAGTCAGCATTGCATATGGAATTCCTGAACCCATCAGCCCAACAGATAAGGACACATAGAGTATGTAGGCGTGAAATAAGCTTCTATAACGAGGTAAAACATAACAAAACTCTGGTAAAAATGTTGGGTGGTTTCATGTAGAGAATATTCTCGTCCTGGACATTAGTCGTATTGCAATGAAGACTTCGTCCAACCAGGGCTAGAGTAACTCATACATGTCATAACTCCAGCTAGCCCCACTAGTGTGGCCGCGGTATGCTGCGCTGAACCTCTGGCCACACACCGTGGTCCGCGCACTACTGAGGACGTTTTCATAAAAATTGCAGGGAATTTCTTACATATGGTTGTATTCTACGATGTCCCATCTATCACTTCTGGGATGCTTAGGTGTAATGATGTTCAATTTTCCGAGATATTCTTGAATCTTTCTGGAGCCCATATGCACTCGTGAAACGTCTGGTGATGGCAGCCATTTTGAATGTGACGAGAGATGACCTCAAGCCGTGACGTCGCGTTTATGCAAATTGCTTGTCGAGCGAGGGCGCGAGTTGCATATGCGACGGCTGTTTCCTGTGCCGTAGATCCTGAATAGAGATCAGTGCACGTGGCCCCCACTGCCCCAGACGATAAATGCATGGTACGGTGTCACCAAAGTATGGCAAATCGGTGGAGCGTTTGTATGGAGGGGTACCCGTAATTCAACGCTCCACTCAGTAGAGCTAAACTCCAGCTGACATGATAATATTCATTCACATGTAGCGCTGTACTCCTAGAACTATGACTATGCTCATCGATGAAGAACCCCGCAAAATTGTTTTCAGCACAAAACACTAATTAAGTACAATTTAATTTCAATTGTACTTAATTAGTGTTTTGTGCTGAAAACAATTTTAATTAGTGTTTTGTGCTGAAAACAATTTTGCGGGGTTAAAACGTCCATCAAAATGCAGACATTTCCCACAGAACTGCTGCACAGTTTGCCCCCAAACTCCGTACTACACCTCATGACATACTCACGTAATATGCGCAGAATAAACATCGCTGAATTTTGTCGTTTTTTTTGCTAAAATGATGAAAAATATGGGTAATCCTTATCTTTAGGACACCTCTATTTTTACGAGTTCTGTTCAAAAACTGACTTTTGCAGGTGACTTTCCAGTACCAAAGTGACTTTTACAGGCTAAAGCAGTCTTATTTCTTCAGATAAACTCATGTTAGTTGTAATTTTGAAAGCACTTTCAAAGAAAATGTGACTTTTCTACCTTTTTTTGCAGTTCACCATCTTGCTTTTTAAATATATTTTCTGTTTGTCATCGTCATCTTTAACCCCTCATAAATCAAAGCCCTAACCTCTTCTTACAAAATTGAACATGCTGATATTCAAGAAGATGTCATTTGCATTGGTTCAAATGTGTCAAAAATATCAGAATGTCAGTCACTTTTGAGTGTCATTTAGACAGCTGTTTTGGTGAGTCTTTTAACCTTATATAGGAACGGGGTCCTAAAGGTAAGGATTACCAAAATATGCCCTTTCCGCACTGAGCCAACCTGACACTAGACTTGACTCAAGTCGGAATTGCTTTAAGTGGGTATCTTAAAAAAGAAAGTAGTGAAAATCACTTAGTTTACGCCTTTCCAGACGCCCGACAAGGTACACTTCAGCGCGCGTTCCACTTCAGTGCCGTATAACAATGCGCACACACTGTATGTACATTGTATAACACGTGTATTACACGTACATGTACATGTGAGTGCATGTATTGCAGAGCATGTGCATACATGTGGTGCAAAAGTTAGCAATTCCGACTTGATCATTCTGCCATCAGCACCCCCCCCCCCTCGCGTACACGCGCCTGTATTCATCGATGCATATGCAACACCATCTGACCATCTCTATGCATATGCAGCAACATCGCTTGACCAATCAAAGTAATCGTTTTTCGAAGACTCGTTTATTATTTTCAGTAGGTATGGAAGGCTGGATAACAATCTGCAAAAGTTTAAAAATGTAATCTTAATTTGTAGATTTCAAACACATTATATTTGGATGATAATGCTAAGATCAGCTGCTCTTGGATGGAATTAATAAAGAATACGACATTCAAATGTTATTCAAAACAAAGGGGAATTTTTATTGGGGTTAACCTGTAAAAGATGTTGAGAACCATTGATACCGCTTTGTGTTGTGCATACCCAGAGCCGTTTCAAAGCATTCGAACGTACGCGTGCGTGTATCTGTTTACTCCTCACCATGGGATGCGTGTGCGTTCTCCGCAAAACTTTGGATGTGCGAATATGCAGACAACGCTGAGTGCGTGTTAGGAATATTATCAAAACAATCTGCGCGCGTTTTTAAGAATAAAAACGCTCATTACCTGAAATACTGTGATATGATTGGCTTCTACCGAAATCGGCAGAAGCCAATCACATCGAAAATTAATTTCCATAGACTGTGTACAAACGTGGAACAAACCAGCGCGTACGCTTGGCAGATTGACCAAGTCTGGGTTGCTGCATCACTTGAAAAAACATGTACATGTACATTTTTAACATGATGGTCCGGATTCGACGCATGAGGGTGCGCATTATGTACTGTAAGGACATATGTGATATGCGCTGTGAGTGGATTTAGGCACAGACCGAGCGCAACTTAGACTTGGCCAAGTCTAACCTGACACTTGAAATGTGCACGCATATGATCCAGCGATGATTTTTCGGTTTGCTCGGAGCGCGCCGCGGGGGCTACCGTACTTGCACTTGTACGCATGCACATACTATCATTTCGCTTGTACCGCACCCCCCACGGCGCGCTCCGAGCGAACCGTAAATCATCACTGGATCATATGCGTGCACGTTTCAAGTGCCAGGTTGGCTCAGTGCGGAAAGGGCATATTTTTCATCATTTTGGCAAAAAAAACTGACAAAATCCAGCGATGTTTGTTCTGCGCATATTACGTGAGTATGTCATGAGGTGTAGTACGGAGTTTGGGGGCAAACTGTGCAGCAGTTCTGTGGGAAATGTCTGCATTTTGAAGGACGTTTTTGTACTTAATTAGTGTTTTCCGCTGAAAACAATTTTGCGGGGTTCTTCATCTATGAGGCTCCACTACCATAGTTCTAGGAGTAGTAGCGCTGGAGACATAACCTAGTCGTGAGAGTGTGGTAGCAAGAGACCCTCAAATAATGGCCTCTCAAAAATTGTCCATTTTCAACTCTAATATCCCACCCCAGATTTCATTTACATACATGTACCTCATACATTCAGCAGTCATTCACGAAGCTAATGATCGACTTGAAACAGACCACAAAAAAAAAAAAAATGTGAAAAATCTTGACGATTTCGGTGGCTTCACTGACACACGATATGCATTTTTGTGCATACCCTTGGGGAGAAAAGGCCCCAAAAACTGGTAAAGAGAGTACAAATGAGAAAAACAGTTACCCCAGACAGACCCACACATTCATGACATGCCATAAGACCCTTAAATTGTTCCCAACAAACGGTAATTTTGAAAAAAAAAAAAATATTCCGATAAACTTACCGCTCATGGAAAGTGTGTCTACCGAGTTGTGCCATCCATTTCTTGGCTAGATCGTCGAGCGCGTGTGTGACGTCATTATCGAAGAAAAACAAGTTGCGCTGAATGACTGTTGCGCGTAGTGTATGTGCCCTGCGCCGTATGACAGTATGGGCTTTTGGCGCGGAGCGCATATATATGTCAGTGTGATTTTTGAGCAATAAAAAACATTTTTGACTCTAATTTGATCAAAACAAAACAGGGGCCCTACACTTCACGATCGCCCTGATATTTCTTGACACATCGGAACAGTTGGTAATGACACCTTCTTTATTATCAACAGATTTAATTTTGTGGAAAGAGGGCAGGGCTTTGATTTATGAGGGAAATTAAGGGGTAAAAGACAACGACGACAACTGGTAAATAGACTCAAAAACCAAGATGGCAAATGGGAAAGCTAGATGCAATGAAAGCTTGATGCTGATTGGCTAAAAAAAAAATGTTTTATTACTTTTTTTATCAGCAAATCAGCAACGGGCTTTCATTGTGTCGGGCTTTCACTCGTGTTGTGAGAACTACAACGTGCACGTCTCACGTCTGACTGCAAAAAAGCGGTAGGAAAGTCACGTTTTCTTTGAAAGTGCTTTCAAAATTGCAACAAACATGAGTTTATTGGAGGGACAGAGACTGCTTTAGTCTGCAAAAGTCACTTTGGTACTGGACAGTCCTCTGCAACAGAACTCGTAAAATATAGAGGTGTCCTAAAGATAAGGATTACCCCAAATTTATTTTCGCATTTAGACTACGTATGCAGTTCATTTATGCTTTAAAAAATACTCACCTTGTTAGTAACATTACAAAGAAAAAATAATAGGCAAGTGTACAACTCTCCAGTTTTCGTGTTATTTCCCGGTCTATTTTGGCATCCGTTTGTGTGTAACTCAAATGCGCCATGTTCCAACTGAACAATGCTCTCCTGCAATATATATACAGGGATCGTTCACCTGACAGTCACGCGGCGCACTGCATGCCCCGTATACCCCTAGAACTATGGGTATTACGTGTAAAAGTTAGATCTTAAGAGACCCTTAAAAAAAAAGGCCTCCACAAAATTGTCCTTTTTACCCCTCAGCCGAGAGGCTCGAGGGGTATTGTCATCGCGCGTCCATCTGTCCGTCCGGGCAGCTTAGTTTCCGGATGATAACTTGAGTTGGAAATGTTGTTTGGGATTGTAACTTCGGTAGGGGGTTGCCCTTGGGAGTAGGCAAGTTGGGATTGGTTTTGAGGTCAAAGGTCAAGGTCATCGTGGTGAGTTAAAGGTAAATGGTTTCCGGATGATAACTTGAGTTAAAAACGAGATTTTGGTGTCTAACTTTGGTTGGCGGTTGCCCTTGAGAGTAGGCAAGTTGTGATTGGTTTTGGGGTCAAAGGTCAAGGTCATCGTGCTAGGTTAAATGTAAATGGTTTCCGGATGATAACTTGAGTTGGAAATGTTGTTTGGGATTGTAACTTCGGTAGGGGGTTGCCCTTGGGAGTAGGCAAGTTGGGATTGGTTTTGGGGTCAAAAGGTCAAAGGTCAAGGTCACCGTGGTGAGTTAAAGGTAAATGGTTTCCGGATGATAACTTGAGTTAGAAATCACATTTTGCAGTCTAACTTCGGTAGGGGGTTACCCTTGGGAGTAGGCAAAGTGGGATTTGTTTTGGGGTCAGAAGGTCAAAGGTCAAGGTCACCGTGGTGAGTTAAAGGTAAATGGTTTCCGGATGATACCTTGAGTTAGAAATGAGATTTTGGTGTCTAACTTTGGTAGGGGGTTGCCCTTGGGAGTAGGCAAGTTGGGATTGGTTTGGGGGGTCAAAAGGTCAAAGGTCAAGGTCACCATGGTGAGTTAAAGGTAAATAGTTTCTGGATGATAACTTGGGTTGGAAATGAGATTTTGGTGTCTAAAATTTTGGTTGCCCTTGGGTACAGGCAAGTTGGGATTGGTTTGGGGGTCAAAAGGTCAAAGGTCAAGGTCACTGTGGTGAGTTAATGGTTTCTGCATGATAATTTCAGTTAGACATGATATTTGAGTTTGGAATGTCAGTTTGCCCCTTTCCACAAACTTCGGCTGAGGGGTTTCAACAGCAACGCTGTTATTTTTCCTTCTATTATCCCAACCCAGGTCCATTTACATACCTCATAACCACGCAGCAGTCCTTCACGAAGCTGATGATCGACTTGACACAGAACAAAAAAATAATAAACTAGAGGTTCGCGTTTGTTGAGTTACAAACGCAGAGTGGTCGGCGGACAGCCTTTTCATTATACACTGCCCAGTTAAGTTAAGAACATAAGTTTATGTAGAAAAAAGGATCAGGAAATTAAATCCCTTCAAGTACAATCAATGTTTTAAAAAGATATCTTTAACGGTATAATAAATTTCAGTAAACGTTCTATGTGCACAAAAAGTTATTTCTGGTTTAATGATGTCATCAGTCAAAAATGGTGAGTGAATACTGATAAAGTCCGGAGGATAATTTCTCATTGTATAGTTAAAATAACGTATGAAAATATGGGAAATATAATTGTTTGTATTAATAACACCTAACTTCCGGTTTCATGACATATTGATAACACCTAACTTCCGGTTTGATGACGTCACAGCATTAGAGATCCAAAGGTGAACATTGTAATGGATATCATTATTTGGTTTTCGAAGATAAGACAGGGATCAAATGAAAGAATTAAATTTAAACTATGATCTTTTTCAAATTCTCCTTAAAGTAACTTCCAGTCTGATGACGTCATGAATTTGAAACCTTGCCAAGTTATCTCTGGTTAATCAGAAAATGTCAAGGGGCGATTTGGTAAAATTTGGACTGATGGTTTTACAATTAAAGAAGGGAAACTCTATTTTATGTGCCGATAGAGGGCGGCGCCCTTTCAGATGATGACGTCATCACACTGTTTTTTGCGTCTTGCATTCCTCACTAAACACTTTCATAATATATATGTCTGTAGTAAAATGCTTCCGCTTTTGAGTTATATTCAGTTTTTATTGCACTTCCGGTAACACCGGAAGTGAAGGTCAAGCGGTTGTGCGTCCGGGAACACGAAATGTTTCTCACGGCATAGTCTACAACCTCACGAAAAAATGAACACGATACTCTATTTAGTTCAAAAGATATAAAGCAAACTATTTTGTCAAAATTTGCTCTTAAATCGCTTGTAATTTGATACCTGATGACGTCATGATGACGTAACAAAATTTATAACATCTTCGTAACACGGTACAAGTTCACACAAGGTTTTGTGATCATACCGTGAACCATTCGGAAGAAATGCTGCTTTGTTTTGATGTCAGGCTAACGTCTTCATTTTGAATTCACCTAACTTTGACCTTCCGGTAGACCCGGAAGTAAAGGTCAAGCGAGTTCACGTACACGACAAAAACTGTTTAATTTAAAGCGATTAATGGTCTGTCTGATTTACAGAATACAAACATCATTGAATGTTTAGTTCAAAAGTTATAGGTGAAAGTAATTGGTCACTTTTTAAGAACAAATCACTTGTAATTTGACACCTGATGACGTAATCATGACGTCAGAGTAATATGCACCACTTCGGATGAGGGTCGATATATATTGAAAGTTACAAGTTCATACCATATACCGTTTAGGAGAAAAGCCGCGGAGAAGTATTGTCCGGAAAAAAAAAAAAAAGATTTACCAGAACAATAACAGAGAGTGGTCGGGTTGTGCCCGACCACTCAAATATGAAAAATGTTGATGATTTCGGTGGCTTGTCCATAAAAAACATCCAGTTCCAACGGCTGTCGTCCATGTTGTGTGGTTAATTATGCAAATGCAATGCATCACGTGATGACAATCGAAAAATCTCTGCGTGCGATGTATGTGGGTACAATGCCGCTTTTACCCGCCGCTAGTGGGTTCCATTTTCGTCTGGTGCCCTGTCGTGGAAAACAAGACAATGTTTCATGTGTTACGCATTTCATGCACAAGGCACTCACAGTCACTTTCCACGACAATGTACCAGACAAAAATTAAACCCACTAGCGGCGCGTGAAAGTGGTATGGTAATTGGTGTTGGAATTTAGATACGCAAATCACCAATCACCAAAATGATACATGTACATCACCACGTGATTCGATTTGGCTTTGCCATCTAACATTACGTACTCATTTACAAGCCAAAATTGATCACTTCTTTTAAGTGGGCCCAAAACGTGGCCTGATTTATCAGAAACAAAATAGAGTTCGTATTCCAATGGAAACTACATTTTTGTTGAAAAACAGAAAGAGATAATCTGGCATAAAATCCCCTAAATAACATCGTAAACACGCCATGGCGACGTATCATTCTGTGATCACGTGCAAAACACATGCACCCCGCGTGCGTGGTCTGTCCCCTAGACTTGCAGACAAGTCACTACACTATCCGGGAATAGCCATACCGCATGAACATACATGTACGTCGTACTGTGGGACAGCGCAGTATGCTGTTGCTGTCCACGCTGGCGCGTTGCGGTGCGCGACAGGCGAACAAAACTGGGCCAATTACTGACTTTATTTCAAGTCTACCTGTCCCGCCGCGCCGTAACTATCGCATGTAGAGCATTTTTTTAAAGTAAAATTCTGTCGCGTCGCGTTGAGCCGAAAATTTCGCTTGCAGGGGGAGTTTGGGGCAATTTTGGTTCTAAATTTGACTGTTTTTACTAAATAATATATCGCTTTTTCCATGTTTTGATTTGATAGAAAAGGCAAAAGCCCCTTATATGTGAAAAACCAGTCTGAAGTTGAAACCTATTTTGAGATGGACTTTTTCGGCTTAAACATTTGCATTTTTTCCCCAGTATTTTGGACGCATTATTGTAGACGTATGAAAATTATGATGACGGTCAATAACATGTGAAAATTGCCCCGTAATACCCTCTGATCAGCATAAACCCAAAGAGCTATCGCGCGGCAACTTAGAAAAAAATGTTGTTCACTGTCGCGTGTCAGCTGCGCAGATCAATGTCTGCCGGTTTGTGTACCTACTGGATAGATCCACACATTCTAGACATTCCATAAGACCCCTTAAATTGTTCCAAACAACCGGTAATTTTGAAAAAAGAACAAAATAGTCTGATAGTGATAAACTTACCGCATGTGTCTGCCGAGTCCTGCCGTCCATTTCATTGCTGATCGATCGAGCGCATGTGTGACGTCACTATCGAAGAAAAAAAAGTCCCGCTGAATTAACGACTGTTTCGTGTAGTGATATGTGCCCCCGCCATATGACAGTATGGGCTTTTGGCGCAGGGCACATATCAGTACACGAAACTGTCGTTGATTCAGCGCAACTTGTTTTTCTTTGATAGTGACGTCACACACGCGCTTGATCGATCAGCAATGAAATGGATGGAACAACTCGGCAGACACATTAAATTGTGAGCGGTAAGTTTATCAGAATATTTTATACTTTTTTTTAAATTACCTGTTGTTTGGAACAATTTAAGGGGTCTTATGGAATGTCATGAATGTGTGGATCTATCCGGGGTAACTGTCTTTCTCATTTGTATTCTCTTTACCAGTTTTTTGGGGCCTTTTGTCCTCGAGGGTATGCAAAAAAAAGCACTCCGTGTGTCAGTGATATAAATGTGTAGTCAAAGTATGCCTATTCGGTGGAGCGCTAGTACGGAGGGTACCGTACCAGTTCCAGCGCTTCACAAAGTAGAGCTACATGTTACCTTGAGTAACTCCAGCTCCAATGCTCATCAGGAATTCGACATACATGTATAGAGCTGGAGCGACAACTACGTTATAAAAACTAGATCGTAAGAATCCCGAATGACGCGACCATATATCCCCAGTGCATTTCAAAAATGGCTCCACCCACTGGACGTGACGTGGGCATGTACCTTCATGCAGTGTGCGCGATGAATGTGCGTACCGTACCGCTTTCAGGCGCGCTAGCGGTTTCAATTTTCATCTGGTGTGATGTCGTGGAAAGCAAGACATTGTTATCTTGCTTTCCACGACATCGCACCAGATGAAAATTGAAACCACTTCATGAATGTCTGCTGCATGGTATGAGGTAGGCCCATAAATGTGGCCTATTTACTGTATTACCTCCGTAAATATAGGCCACACTGTAAAGATTTCCTCAAAACGTTAGCACTTGTTACCAAATTAATTTTCACATTCAGACTGCGGCATAGTTGATTTATGCTTTAAAAAAACACTAACCTTGTTAATAAGGGAATAACAGTGTGAGGAGCCGGTCTTCACTGCGTGATAATGACCGGGTGTGGGGGTGACAGCTGTTAATGGACCGAGACGAAGTCGAGGTCCATTAACAGCGGTCACCCCCACACCCGGTCATTATCACGCAGTGAAGACCGGATCCTCACACTGTTATTCCCATTAATAAATACCTTTATAACGAAATAAACAGTTAAAATGCTCCAATTTTGTGACTTTTTTTCCGGTGATATTTCCAGACTTTTTTGTGTTCATGTTCATGGGCCATATTTTAGCTTAATAGCTATAACGACGTAAACTCAACAGAAACTGCTGCTGTAGCGAAACAAATTACAACAATGTTTTCATATCTTTACCTGATGGAGGAAGCTGAAATCTCGTTTACACATTCCTTGTGTCCGGAATTACAAAGATGCTTGGTTTAGGAAAGGTAAATATGTCGGTGGGTGAAGTGTTTCAAAGAAAATATATCGTAGATCTACGTTTTCGTCGTAAACATCCTCAGTATATACTGCACTGCTGTACGATGTCGTTTCAAAACTTCCTTACGCGCGCGCACGCACGCATCCCTAGCAACTGTGTTGCGTACGCGCGCGTCAGTCTCACGCAATGGGGGTTGAGCGCATGTGCAGTGCTCAATTGTTAAAAGCTACCGCAGGACTGTTACTATATTTTGACCAATCATTGGCTTGCATGGGGCTGAACGGGGCTTGATCAATGCTGGTTCAGGGGCCATTTATTCGCTTGATCTTTGAAGCCGGTCCATTATCACCGTTAATGACCGGCCACGTGATCGAGTCTCGACCAATCAGAAAACATCAACTCTCCAAGGTATTTATTAATAACAAATAAAATAATGCACAAGTGTTCAACTCTCCAGCTTTCGTGTCATTTCCAGCTCCTTTTGGAGGCTTCTTGGCATCCATTTGTTTGTAACTCAATGGCAACCATGTTCCAAATGAACAATGCTCTCGCGCAATACCTGATGGGATACATGGATCGTTCACCTGTCAGTCACACGGCATGCCAAATGCCCGGTAGTCTTGGCACAAGACCGGCTTTGTATTATTTTCGTCTACGTGCAGTTGGTATAGCGCCCTCTACCATTGATGTCGTTTGGCTGTGCTTGCCACAGCCAGCGTGCGCTATATACCAACTGCACGTAGATGAAAATAATCCAAAGCCAGTCTTGGGCCAAGACTACCGGGCATGTGGCATGTCGTGTGACTGACAGGTGAACGATCCATGTATCCCATCAGGTATTGCGCGAGAGCATTGTTCAGTTGGAACATGGTTGCAATTGAGTTACACACAAATGGATGCCAAGAAGCCTCCAAAAGGAGCTGGAAATGACACGAAAGCTGGAGAGTTGAACACTTGTGCATTAATTTTTATTTGTTATTAACAAGGTGACTGTTTTTTTTAAAAGCATAAATCAACTATGCATGCAGTCTGAATGTGAAAATTAATTTGGTAACAAGTGCTAACGTTTTGAGTAAATCTGATAGTGTGGCCTTTATTCACGGAGGTAGTCCAGTAAATAGGCCACATTTATGGGGCTAGGTATGAGGTACGTATTATGGAATCTGGGTTGGGATAATAGAGGGAAAAGGGACCATTTTTGTAATTCACTGGGGAAATACGGTCGCATCATTCGGTATTCTTACGATCTAGTTTTTATTACATACATGTAGTTGTTGCTCCAGCTCTACATGTGTGTACATGTACATGTATATGTCGAATTCCTGATGAGCATTGGGCCGGAGCTGGAGTTACTCAAGCTAGTTCCATGTGAACATGGCAAAGATATCTGGCCATCACTAATTATTCCCTTCAGTGACCTATATCAGCCATCATATGTGAAAGAATTCCACTCATATTTCTTAATACGACCTGAAAAGTTTTAAAAGTTGTAAATCTGATGAAGAAACACTATTTTAGGAGTGCAAAAATTCTTTGATAATACTTTAACTTTTTCTGTCATGGCCCATAGACTTTGTGTAGGAGGTCTGACTCTGAGTGGAGGCCATGTATGGAATTCTTTCCATAATAGTTATGTCCTAAAAAGTCAAATTTAGTAGGGAAAAATATTGAAGTATTTACTGAGAAAACACTTAGAAATTTTCAGACCAGTCTCATACGGTTTGTACAATGATAAAATATAGGGCTGAGGTAACTCCAGCTAGTCTACCTGTAAATACCTCAGCCCTATAATTTATCATTGAGTTGTCCTATTGGGCTGGAGGAAATTGTCAACAAGGATTAGCAACTCTTAAAATTGAATTCCAAAATGTACCATGTTATGCCCGTGACACACTAATTCCCCTTGGGACTCACCCAAACCTTGTCAGGCATAACCACTACCCAGGTCCCTGAAGAAAATAATGATCCATGATGAAGATTCAGCCTACATTTGCAGTGATGAAGATTCAGCCTACAATTGCAGTGAAAAAGGAGGCATTAGGCCAAAAAAAAGTCTCCGGTTTCTGGTATGGAGCTTGCCCAAAAAGTAGTGCGGTGATGCGGCTTTTTTTTTTCGCTGGCCAGAGGTCTCGTAGGGGTTTTGTTAGCTGGAGTTACCTCAGCCCTATATTTTATCTTTGGTTTGTTGTAATAGGGCAGGAGGAAACTTTCAACACGGACTAGCATCAGTGAAAATTGAATTCCAAAAATGAGTCCCAAGGGAATTAGTGTGTCACGGGCACAACATGGCACATTTTGGAATTCAATTTTAAGAGTTACTAATCCTTGTTGACAATTTCTTCCAGCCCTTGAGGACAACCCAATGATATAATATAGGGCTGAGGTAACTCCAGCTAAATCATGTCCATGATTGAAAGGGTTTACATTCAACTTGGAAAGAATTGCGTACACGGACTCCACTTTTTTTCAGTGAAATTTTAAGCGCCAAAAAATTGCATCCTAGGCCTAACAAAAAAAACTGTATACGGTAATTTCTCGACTCTCACCCTCCTCGACTCTCGCCCTCTCCTTTCCTTCATTCCACTTTATTAATCACTTACTTCAGTACTTACTTCATGTGGGAAAACAAAACATATTTCACATTTATGACGGTGGCGAAAGCTGCAGTTTACGCCGTAAAGCTATTAAGCTCACTGTACACACTTGTATCTTGCTGCGGTACCCGGCTCCTGTACTACCCGTAAATGCACACCCCTAGCAGTGTTGTGGTCGAGGCCATTATAAGTCCTCATAAGTCATCCAGTCCCAAGTCAAGTCACAAGCTATTCAAATGAACGGTGACAACTGTCCTTCTTTTGATCCTCTGTTTCTTGCGACCACGGCAGCTTGTGATGTACTTATGATCAGACTTCTAATGGACTTGACTACCAACACTGCCATCTACATGTAGAGTGCCTCATAATTTGAAAGCAATATCTCTATCATATACAGACATGTACATGCACACGTATGTATTCCGCTAGTCCATACACGTACTGTACATGCATTCCCACCTCCCAGCAGCCAAGATACATACATAAAGCATGTTAATGTGAAAATATTGTGAAACCCAATATTTCATTTGCTTACAAAATGTACACGTGATTAGTTTCAATAATGTTTCTAGGCAACATTTTAAGTTGTTATTCTTCTTTTTCAGGCAAACACAAAAGAAAAATGGGATTTGAAGTAGGACGTTTCCGTGGTGAAGTGGATGAGGAACTAATCTGTCCAATTTGCAGTGCTGTTTTGGAAGATCCTGTACAGGCCCCAGAATGTGAGCATGCCTTTTGCTCAGTATGTATCCATGAATGGTTGAACAGACAACGTACGTGCCCAGTGGATCGCAATCCCATCACTTCTCAGCAACTCAAGTCAGTTCCACGCATATTACGGAACTTACTTTCTCGTTTGTATATTGCATGTGACAATGCTAGCTTTGGTTGTACAGTAGTTGTCAAGCTTGACTCTCTTCAGCAACATCTGGAAGAGTGTGATCACAACCCCAAGCGTCCAGTTCAATGTGAACAGGGCTGTGGTATGGTCATTCCAAAAGATGAGCTCAAAACGCATAATTGTGTACGTGAACTAAGGGCTGTTGTTGAGGAACAAGCATCAAAAATAGGAGATTATCGGGCTGAAGTTGAAGATGTCAAGCGTGCTCTGGCAGAACACCGCCATGAAATGCAGATGCTGAAGGATTACATACGAGCGATCAGAGTCTCAACACCAAATGCTAATCCCTCCGTCCAGGCAATCGAAGATGAATTAGAAAACAATGAGATAGTACGATGGGTGAATACCATTCCCTTAGCAAAAGTCACGCGTTGGGGAGGCATGATCTCTACTCCAGATGCTGTATTGCAAGCTGTCATCAAACGCTCTCTCCAAGAAATTGGCTGTCCACCACATCTTGCCACTGAGTTGATGGAGAATGCTCATGAACGCAATTGGCCGCATGGGTTATCAACCCTGGAGACACGACAGATGAATAGACACCTATACGAGCGATATGTTACTAGGCGTGTACCTGGCAAACAAGCAGTACTGGTTATGGCATGTGATAATGTACACATGGGGGAAGAAATGTCTCTGGAACCAGGATTAGTCATGATATTTGCTCATGGAATAGAGTAATTAAAAAAACCCACATGATTCCATTCATGCAAGACAAACATTTCAGGGTTTGGGCCCTTTTATTACGTTGTATATTTAAAGCGTCAAATGTAAAACCTATAGGCCTATTTATAACTGAGACTGACTGAGAAACACTACAAAATGCAATTGGTACATGTAGAGATTATTACATTTATTTTACAACAAACAAGTTTGTTCATATAATTTGTTTCCCCCTGTGAAATAGTGAACTGTATGCAGTGCATGTGCCGACAGTTTGGTTTGAAGTAGATGTATACATGCACCGGTACCTACATGGTTTGAATAGGAAACAATTACATGTACTTGAATCCCAGCAGTTGATTTGACAAAACTTTACAAATGGCATATCTTTATTGTGCAACGTTTTAATGCGTTTGTTGCACACATTTAGGACACTCTTCTAAAAGATATGTTGCGCATACATGTACCGGTAAGTCTATGGTGTATGTACCTTACAGAGTCATTTTAGGTGATCATGTACATAATACAGCGTACATCCGTACAAATTTAAATGACCAATATTGGTACAAGAAATTCACAGCTTTTTATTGTGATGAAATGCCCATGAAAAAATTTGGAGGGTTGCTGTCTAATTCAGAAGAAATTGATACGAACCATTTTCTTAATTGGTGGGCAGAGCTACAACTGTTTTGTGACCAATGTGAAATTGTACACCAAGAGTCATTTGATGTAAAAGCTGTGATAGTGATCATAAAATATTGAAACACTTGATATCTGCAGTTACAACAGGTTTTTGAAATCAATTGTTAATACAGTGGGCAGCTGGACAACAAATTTGTTGCATAAATCATAAACATTCAATAAGTAATGCACTAACTTGTGAAATCAGCTGTAAATATAAACATGCTCGTTTGATGCTAAATCTTTTGTTGATGGATTAAATGTCTGTATAATCTATTGTAAAATTAACAGCAGCTATGCAATGTGTATATCAGTGGAGCAAAACATGTGTCTGCTTTGACCAGATACTAATATTATAGGCATTTGCATAAATTATTCTTTAATATAAACTTGAGGAGAATAAAGTTGATTGGCTGTCATTGAAATCCAAAGAAACCATCAGAATTAACCACTCTGTTCCTTTTAAGTTATTTCCTGTCTTCAAGGCAGATTGACTATGACTGGGGAAATTATACCTGCATACATGTACTACTGTTTAATGATCTGGAATGCAGTTTCCAATGAGTTTAGCAGGTTTTGAGATAAGAGCGATAGATGAGTAATTATTTTCCAACATTATCCGGTATGCAGGCTGTACCGAGCAAGTACCAGTGGTCAGTTGTCATCTTCTGGAACATATGCAAAATGCTTCTTTTCACAGATTTTTTTCAGCAATTCCGTACCAATGTAAACTGTTTGCAGATTTAGGTCAAAAGTCACATGGTTGTTAGCAGTGGTCAGATTTCAGGGAAAATGCAAAATGCTACTACCTCATCTTTCAATTGAACTTTGTTGTGTTCAGCCATGACTTGGAACAGAATTTTCTTCTTCTTTTTTCTAGTACTGCGCATGCCCAGTATAGACACTGCATGTGCCCATTTACTAAAAAGTTGCTGTACATGGCTGGGTTCTATTTTAACTTACACATTCTCACCAGATGAATATATACAGAACATTGCTCTCATTGAAGGGTCCTTCTTGATCTCCAGTGATTCCTAAGTGTGATGTGACGATAATGCATTTGAACCAGTGAGAGCAAATTTAATCGGAACTATATTGAAAGCATGATAATACACAATGTACATGTACCATAGTTGAATTAGTCATAGGATTAGTTATGATAGTTTAGTTGACAATTGTTGGTTCAACTAGAGACATTCATGCTTTGATATTAGCATGCAGGTGTAAGTTAAATCACAAATCAACCACTACCGGTACATTATGGTTAACCATTGGTTCTTGATCAAACTTGCTCTACATTGTACATGTGCCCATTTCTAAACTGGTTCCCACATACCGTATGAAGTTTAGAACATGACAATGGGACCAGGAAGCAGCATATCCTACATCTCACTCACTGTCTCAGTTAACCAACTTAATGCACACAACAAGCAATGACATGTTTTAATGCTTTTAAACGTTTTACTTACCTTTGCAGACAAATTGCAGTGAGTCTACATGGTAGATCCCCCATTATTCCCTCATTAGAAAGGATATCCATACTAAAACAAAATTAAAAGCTAGCTTAGGCAAAGTTGAAATTAATGTTTGTTTTTTGAGTGCTTGAAGTTATATTCTTCAAATAGAGTGGTTTATTCTGTAAAAAGGTACATTTGTTTTGGTTAAATGTATGTTTTCACTGTACATAGATTCTGATCTTCCAAAGCTTGTAAAGTATATATAAATTCTGTTACACATTGTACATAAACAAGTACATGTACATACAGTAACTAATATTTATGTATTTACTTCATGGCATGTGCTTAAATGTTAAAATAGTAACTATAGCATTTGGTTGTCTACTAATTTTCTTTAGCCAAAGCATGTATGTGGAGCATGTGAGTTAGTGCTAGTGTCATACTCATAGTTATTTATGTAATACATGTAATATGAGAGTCGCGGGTAAAGAGTATTAATTAGTTCAGCATGCATAGCTATGAACACTTCTTTATAAGCATTTTCAGAGTGGAGAGTTCCAAATCTAGAGATAAGTGTTCATATATTGTGATGAGGCCTCATCATGAGAATGTTGGGCTACTAAGGGAAGGAGATTTGTACAATGCTGGTTCACGCTTGCTGTCCATCATATTATTATGCTGTTATCTACATGTACACATCCAGTGGGGAAGGGTAGACTGGTTTCTTTTCCCTCCATCATGTTTGACTTCTTTTTGACCAGTCTTGATAGTTAGGTGTTTATGCTGAATATTAAACTGGTAGCCAGGGTTGCGGCTGCACATGTACACTAACATATTACATTGTATATATTGAGTAGCTTGTCTAATGTCTATCTACCTACCTACCTAAACATTACCTAACAAATTGGTATCACTTTTATTTTAATTGGGGTAAGTGTACTGTGTGTTCTCATTGGAAAACCACTGGCTAATTGATCCAGTTGTGAAGCACTCTTAAATGCTGTCAGATGTGTGCTAATATCTCTTACTCTCTTCTAAATCTTTAAGATTGTGGACCTTTATGGCAAAAATATTTTTATTGTGCACTTAGCTTTAGTTTCTTAATTTATTCCCATATATCGGCTCAAGTTTGTATTGTAACACTAAAAGTCTTGCAAGAACAAAATTACATGTATGCTTTATATATTTTATTGCCTCAGTAACATGCATATATCCTGTAGAAGTGGAGGAAAATGTTAGGAATTGTAGGGAGGGACTCCCCTGCTGGAGTAACCATAGCATGTGTGCTCAATCCAAACTACCTTTATGTAAATTTGTGTGCCAAAGAATGCATTTTAGAGTACAGTCTAGCTTATATCCCAGGCGCGGATCCAGATGGGAAAGGGGAGGGGGGTGTTAAAGAAATTCCCCTGCTCTGACACCAAAAATATACACATTTGACAATTATAGTAATAATACTTACCTATATGTCCGCCTGTCTGCAACAATAGGACATAAAAGAAATTTGAAGGGCCAGAACCCGCCCCCCCCCCTTGCACTAAGTCTTGTATCGGCCTCTGAATCCCATTAGTAAATTGAAATCTGTTGACAGGTTGAATCGGTTCTGCATCAGTGGCGTCGCCAAGGGGGGCCAGGGGGGGCACGTGCCCCCCCTGGAAAACCTAGTGCCCCCCCGAGTGCCCCCCCATCTGAGATTTGGGTTGGTAAAAATATATATATATATATTTTGTTATATTCAACTCCCATCATCTGAGTTGGTTAAATAGCAATTTCTGGAGATATCTTCAGATCGAATTTAGCATCAAATGTGGCACCATTTTGCATCTAGCCCATCCTCCGTACGCGAAAATTTTCCAAAGGGGAGGGGGGCACCCCCTCCCCTTAGACCCCTCCCCCAGGACGGCGATCCGTATCCACCTAAGTGCCCCCCATCAAATGCTGGTGCCCCCCCTGTGCCCCCCAGACTGAAAAGTCTGGTGACGCCACTGTTCTGCATGCGCATGTTATGTGCTGAACTGGCTTAAGGTGTTTAATGTACAATTTAAGGATGTGACTTTGCGTTTAATTTTGTAAATGTTTAGCTAATATTTTAAGAACCGTTTAAACGTTTAGCCATTCACAAATGCTTGAGACATGCTCATTATGTCTGCAGACCCGGCGTCATTGACATGATAAATCAGCAGTGCAGTCATTGAAGAAGTAAAAACTAACTACATGTGCCCCGAATGTGATCAATAAAGTATTGAAGTGCTTCGAAGGTTTTGTAAATGAATACGTTTGAAAACATTGTTAATTATTTGTGCTATGTAGGTGAACTCAAAGGAAGACTGCGTGAACGTAGGTCCCTTTTTTGTAATTTTTGAAAAATTTGTAAACGAATTGGTGCACAAAAATGAAATAATTTGGGTTGTTTTTTTTCATGTCCATCCAATGACCTACCAACATCAGCTGTCCTTCCCACTCTCCCATTGGTGGTGGAGAGGCGGCAATGACTGGTTGAATAGTTTGATGGCTTCCCTCATAACCCCCAAAACCCTCATAACGTCTGGTCTATTAGTTGAATGACTATTCAAATTTTAAACTTAACAAGTAGAATTAACTCTCTTTTTTTCAAAAAGTGATACTGGTGTGCTCAGTGTGGACAGCAGTGAATGTTAACAGTGTCGGACTAATTGCTTCCATTCTCTTTACCACTGTAATCAGTTTACAACCCTCAAAATGTAATGTACATTTGTTTGTGCTATTTTTTTTCATTCTGAAAATTTTCAACTAGCAATACAAAAGGCATAAGGTTTTGAATGAGACATCAACTGAAAAAAAACACCCTCATTCGGTTACGGAAAACTATTTTACAAATATTGAATTATTTGTAGGAACCATAATTTTTTTGGGCAGGGTAGACTGATTTATGCCCCTCATCAGAATCAATATTATAGAGTGTGCAATTCAACCTCGAAAACGTGATATTTTAACGGCATTCGAGCACCACATAAAGGATCTACAACATGTGTAAATATGTCTTGACTGTGCCATCCAATCAAGGGCAATACATGTAGTTGGGTTCGTTAAAGACAAAAAGCGTTACAATTTACACCACATCGAACATATTGGGTTAATTTTAACATGGGAGTTTGTGACTAGACTAGTCTGTGTTTGATACAAAGACATTCACATGAAAGTGAACTTGAACTGGCAAGACTTGCACGCTCCAGGAAATAGGAACTTGTCTTTTTGCAGGGTGGATATGTCTGTGTGCAAAACCATCCCAAACGCCATTTTGGGGGGCAAAGGTTACAGGTGCCAAGAATAGAAAATAAGTACTTTGTTCCTTAATTAAAATGTACAAGTAATTTGTTAAAGAGCATTGACATTACATCTTAATGGAGTTTTTTTATTTAAATGATATAAGAATGCATCAAATGAAAATGTTCAGTGCTTCTTTTATCATTCTTTTCAATGACGTGATTTTTTTGCTTTAAAACTCTGCCCTTAAAAGTCTTAAACCCAAACTCAAACAAGCCACTGCTTGTGATGTTAGTAATTGTATTTACACATGCTTTAGTTATACTGCCAGTGTTCTGCAGGTTGTTATACATTGTATTTAACATTAATGAATTTTGAGTTACTTGTTTATTGCACCATTATTGTGAACCAGTTCATGCTTAGCAGTGTACTTGTTATTTCAAGAAATTTAATTTCCGATTTGGACATATAGTTCAGTAATAACTTATGATATGAATCTTAGAAATAAAATTAGAAAGGAAAAAAAAATTCCAAAATACTTTCTTCATTTGGTGTTAACTAAAATAAAATTGCTTACAAATTAAAAAGAGTGTTTGGTTGTTATTTGTATCAATCCAAGTGTTCATACCCATTAAGACCTGAACAAACTAAATTCTTGACATCCACTGTTCACACTATTTCTTGGTGGTGTTTCAACCTAACAAATTATATGAGTCACAAGTCGGCAGTGCTACTTTTCATTGGCATAGTAACGGATGTCCCCCCCCCCCCCCATTTAACGACTTTAATTGAATAAAAATGAGTTTCCTATTTTTTTGTGCCCCCCAAATTTCCTGAGATTTGTAAGCCACATTTAGGAACACTTCGCTGATTTTTTGCCCATTATTGAAGCAATATTTTCCTGAATAAATTTGAAGCTTGTCTACAAATTTCGCAACCTTGCATGAGTATAGTCATAGTTAACCCTACAAATTGGTCTGTAGATGGGTCTTAAAAATGAGTTATTGTCACCACTGTAGAAAAACTAGCACATGCCCCCCCCCCCCCCCCCCCCCCCCCCCCCCCCCCCCCCCCCCCCCCTAGCCTTCCCCTTGAGCCAAAGGTACGGTATAATAGGTCCGTCCATAATGTCTAGCATTTTTGAAGGCATGAATTGATGTGGTGAATTTAAACAAAATTAGTATGAAGGACCTTGTTTTTTTTTTTGTTTTAACAATTATTGGACTTGTCTTACGCAGTTTAAGGAGTGTACTCTGCACCATGCACACTCCTAGACCCGAAAATACATAGCCTATCTTTGCCTATAGCCACGCTCCATTTGTCGGTCATTAATATCTGGACCACTACGAAGTGCAAAGTGCGTCCATTACGCGTTTTAGGGGGACTTCCCCTGCAGGATCGATGACTTCATTGTACATATATGTGTTTCGACACTCGATTCACTGGTACAACGTATGTGTGCCTTGTGTGCTCCACGTCACAGAACGTGTACTGTCAACCAGCGAATACTCGAATTTTCTAGTTCTTTCGGCAGTGCAGTTCGGGATATCCATGTAGAGCAAGGAAACGCTTTGTACGTAGATGACGAAAACATGTTGAAGTCTGGTCATAGTCTATTGTCACAACTCCATGCATATTGAGTAGTCCCACATCAGTAGTCACATCATAGTTCAGTAGGTTGAGTGGTTCCGCAAACGGAAATCAACTGGTGCAACCTCAATAGCAGGAAAGGTATAGGCCTAGGCCTACAGTACTTGTACAACAAGGTAACATGTACCACATTTCTCCATGGTACCACTGACTGAAAAGGTGGAGAGATTCCCATATCTGGCCATCACTTGTCACCCTGTGCACAAACCCTAAAATTGTCTAAGTGTTTTCTCAGTAAAAATGCAAAATTTGTCCCTGCTAATTTCAAGTTTTTAGGACATATTAGGCCTATTACTTTCTGGTGGCTGATATTAACATGTACCACTGTCACTGACTGTAAAGGCGGAGAGATTCCCATATCCGGCCATCACTTGTCACCCTGTGCACAAACCCTAAAAATTTCTAAGTGTTTTCTCAGTAAAAATGCAAAATTTGTCCCTGCTAATTTAACTTTTTAGGACATATTAGGCCTATTACTTTTGGTGGTTGATAATCCATTTAAGGGAAAAATTACTGAAGTGATGGCCAGATATGGGAATCTTTCTAGGCTAGTTTGAGTAACTCCACTCTCCAGCTAATGAGTTGAAGCTTTGCATGGCGGATGAGATAAAAAAGAGGAAATTTTCGGGAAATTTTCCAGCAAACATGCTCATCAGGAATTCAATTCTTGATGAGCATGTTAGCTGGAGTTACTCAAGCTACACTGCTTATAGCCCCATAAATGTGGCCAATTTACTGGACTACCGGGGCCGTATCACAAGTCCGACGCCTCATAGGTTCGACGCCTCTTAAGTCCGAAATGTCAGACTTATGAATTTTCGGACTTATGAGGCATAAATTCCGCCTCATAGGTCCGACGCCTCAAGTCCGACGCCTCATAAGTCCAACAATGGACAAACGTTGTTTCGGACTTATGAGGCGTCGGAGCTATGAGGTGTTGGACTTATGCAGCGTCGGACCTATGAGGCGGAATAAATAAAAATTATGCCTCATAAGTCCGAAGCCTCATAAGTCCGATGCTTCATAACTCTGAAATTTCTGACTTCTGAGGCGTCGGACCTATGAGGCGTCGGACCTATGAGCGGCCCCAGAACTACCTCCGTAAATAAAGGCCACACTGCTTGGAACATGTACCCGAAAATGTAGAACTTTGTCAAGCTTATATTTTCACTTTCAGACTTTGTTTGTAGTTCATTTATGCTTTAGAAGCACGCTCGCCCTCTTTAAAGCAATAGAAAATTAGTCCCCCCTTTTTCAGACGTCTATATTTCGTGTAGTTTCGAGGTTCATTTTGCACATGTAGCGTACCTAAATTCCAATACGAAATTATTACACGGAAAATAGACGTCTGAAAAATGGGGGATTAATTTTCTATCGCTTTATAGAGGGTGAGTGTGCTTCTGAAGCATAAATCTACGAAGTACCATTACCAACAAAGTCTAAATGGGAATATAAAAACTTGACAAAGTGGTACATGTTCCAAGTGTGGCCTTTATTTACGGAGGTAGTCCAGTAAATTGGCCACATTTATGGGGCTACACTGACTATGTACATGTATGTAGACCCACTAACTGGGTAGTCCGAGTAACAAGGACTCTACGAATTGCCTTTTTTAACATTTGGACATGGTTGGGCGATAGTAGTCATGGTAGTGTCCTAGGAGCATACCTCTATCGCAAACACCAACTACCAGATTGGAATTTGATTAATAATCATTTTCATCATACCCCCAATCAAAATTGTCAGATTTCAACCCCAAAACAGTCCTCAAACTGTCCAAATGTTAAAAAAGGCGATTCGTAGAGTCCTATAGTTACTCGGACTACTAACTGGGGCCAGACAGGGCTCTGGAGTGCTCTAAACATGCAAAACTAAATCAGGCCCATTTTACTCACAGTTTAGCCAAATTTTCTCCAAAAATTCCACTGGAGCAAAGAAAATGTCCTCAGTAATTGCACCAACCAAGTTTGCAGACTGAATTCAATTTTAAAAGGAGACTTTTCTTCAATATTTTGCACATGAGAGGGAAGTCAAGTGATTTCAAAATGGGGCTAAATACTAGACTGGTACATGTCCAACCATGGTCCAACTATTTGAAAAGACTGACCTCTTCATTCAGTGTCAATAGTCTGGTGGCTTGACTATGGAGAAATGTGTAGTAAATTGAGACTAGTTCCCGCTTCATGCCACTTGTTTCTTAAATTCTTTTGGCATATTGATTGATGCAGTACTGAAGCTATGTTGGACTGGTTGTTTTAGGTGCCAGTCTATTTTCTTGTCTTGCATGTTTTCAATACCTTTAGTTTTGGGACTCTCTTACACAGTATTGAGAGTCCCAAATTTTCGGACTAAATTGGGGCGCTAGAACTCCTTTTCTGTGGTCCCAAATGTCAGAAAAGGAGTTTTAGCGCCCCAGTTAGTGGGTCTACACTGACTAGTGATCATGAGTACCGGTGTCACATGAAAATCCGACTCCTATGAAAATCGGACCCCTTTTTCCCTAATATTGGTTGATCCCTCGCAAGTGACAGGTCACTCTCCCGAAACGATCCTAAAAATAGCATAGTATCTTACTCATGCGTGCGCAGTACTACCAATGAGTCTACATTTCATGGAGTCGGATATTCTCGCTACACCGGTACTGGACTTCCTCCGTATATTGACAGCCACTTTGGTTGTGCACAAAGTCTATGGAGAGTTGAGTGCATTTTTAAAGTATTTTCTAACAAATTTGGGGCGATCGTTTAGTGTAGGGCCCCTAGTTTGTTTCGATCAAATTAGAATCAAGATTTTTTTTATTGCTAAAAAAATGACATTGTCAAGTTAAAGTAGACTTCTCTCAATGTAATGGCAGCTTTTTGGTCGTTTTTGAACAGTTTATTGGGGTAGAAATTATGATTTTCCTACGCAGTTTACGGGCCGGTTGGTGCCTTGCAGCACAACTTGCGTGTTCACGGTACCGTACATTGCGCGATGATTGTCATCTTTATTTTCATGTTGTGTTCTGTCATTGTCATCGTCATTTTACCCCGAAATTACCTCAATAATTCAAAACCCTGCCCTTTATCTATGACATACCTGTATGTTCTTAATGTCGCCAACTAGTTTGGTAGGTCAAATAATTTAAAGTGGATTTTGTGCCCTTATGGGAACCGGGCCCGTAGACACATGTGCACGATCACCAAATTTGGAAATGTTTCTCAATCCCAGATTCATGTCTTTTCAACAAGCAATGACTAACCTTCATTGAGATAATGGAAAAAGTGGCGTCAGGATGCAACATTCTTTCCAAGAACATATCAGTTTGTTCCAAGACCAAAAGATCTGTAAATTGCATTTTGTTACAGTGCAACCGAGAAACCTTGATATTTTAACGCGTTCTGTGTGTTTATTGTGCCGTGCGAGTTGTATGTTTTTTTTATATGAGATACCAAATGAATGGAAAAAGTGGCGTCAGGATGCAACATTCTTTCCAAGAACGTATATATTATCTGTTTGTTGCAAGACCAAAAGATCTAAATAAATTGCATTTTGTACAGTACAAGAAAACTTTGATTATTTTAACGCGTTCTGTGTGTTTATTGTGCCGTGTGAGTTGTATGTTTTTGTATATGAGATACCAAATGTATACGTTACACTCCACATCGAATGGATCCGCCTTAATAGTTTTTAACCAATAACGTGTTATTTAATTCAATAGTGATAATGTTGAATCAGTGAGTGACATACATGTACATGTAGCCTATTACTTTGTAAACTCAAGAATGTTGTACAGTTGTGAGGGACTTTGTACTGGAAGGAGGGAATGGGTACCTGAGGGCTCCTACCGTGTTGCACGTAAAGGATTCAGGGGACCCGTTTCCTCCATCCAGCGCATGCACATACATGTATGATTCAACGGGCTCATTGGAGGGCTCCTACCATTATGCACGCAAAAGATTCAGGAGACAGTGCGTGACATTGCAAAAATTCTGATAAACCAAAATTTCTACACATTTGTATTGGGTTCCATTTTTTCCCTCAGATTTCTTGGGAATGACAGATCCAGGTCCATGGTTATGTTTGCAGGTCTAGGCAGCTGTAACATGATTTTAACTGCTGTAGTTACGGCGGCAATGTGAATCTATATTCTCTGTCAGGCCCGTAGCCAGGGGTGGGGGGGGGGGACTTTTTCCTTGCAGTAGATATTTTAGTTTTACTCAAATTGTGTTTATGTGTGTGCTATCTTTGGAAAAGAATTCTTTGGTTTTGCGGGAAACAGGAAATACTTAACAGAAGCTCCATCATGCACTATGTATTAGTCGTCACGTCGTCACATCGTTATTCTCATCATCCGTCATCATGTACCGGTGAGTACAGGCCTCTAAGAAGCTAAATGCTCCTGAGGATTATCGTACTGTGGGTGCAAAGGTGCTGGTACGGGAACACGTAATCACAAAAAGGTGCAGGAACTGGTGGTGCTGTAGTTGAAATGCGAGTAATAATGGTCGCAGTCAATTTAGCGGAGGGACATTGGCTTCAGCCGGTTCCTGAAGATTTCCAGGGATTGCACCGATACCACTGTGGCAGGGAGGGGGTTCCATAGGCAGATGACATTCAGGAAGAAGCTCTGTTGATTCTGCCTGGATTCTGCAATGCTGATGACGGAACTGGAGATGGTGACCTCTGGTTGACTGACTAGATGGAACAAGATAAGGCGGTCCGGTGATGGGGACCAGTCCATAAACAATGCTGTAAAGCATGATGACTTTGCTATACATGCGCGTCGCTCATGAAGAGTTTGCCAACGCAGGTCACTGAGCATCTGTGTCACACTATGCCGGGGGTGGTAATCGGCCTTCACAAATCTCGCTGTCTCTGCACCATATCAATCTTAGACACAAGATCTTTAGAATGGGGGTCCCAGACTGAGGAGGCGTATTCAAGAGTGAGGCATACAAACTGTCCTGTAGGATTGTTCCTTGATGGAGGGTGGTCACTTCCTCAGGTTACGGCGAAGAAAATCAAGTGTGCTGTTTCCCTTTTTGCAGATGTTGTTTATGTGCGGTTTCCGCTTGAGATTTCTTTGGATTGTGACGCCAGGATATTTAGCTTCGTCAACTGTGCGGAGAGTTTCGCCATGGATGGAATACTCGGCTTGATTGATGTTTATAAGATGGAATTTTGCGTCGGGGTGATGTAAATCAAATTAGGTTTTGCCCTCTGTTTCAAATCTGACGTGGATTCATTGTGTAGCTTGATTGGTTGAATGTTGGACTACCGTGCCATGAATGTTGGACTAAGGTACCAGGATCAAATCCGTCAAAGCCGCAATGGAGACATTTTTTTTTCTTCTTTCTTCTTTTGATTGTTTTCTTTACTTTTATGTTTTTAAGCCAATCCTACTTTTTATTCTAGTAGATACCATTTTAGTGATCCATGGCTTTGGACTTCGGTAAAAAGCAGGCGATTGTGAGTTCAAAGCCGACCTCATGGCTGGTTCTGACTGGCATTTCAGAGTAGCGCCAAACCAAATTAAAGTCAATTAAAGTTTGAATTAAGTGCATGAAAAGTCCAACATCTGAAACAATTGGGAGCGAATCGATGTACTAGCTTGTGAAAGATCGACTGTCGGAGTCATTCAGAATGACTCGGGAGCGACTTGATTTCAGATGTCACTCTAGTCATGGAACACAGACAATGTAGTGCGTCTGTGTCCCACATACCACTCGGCCTTTGGCCTTGTGGTATGTGGGACACAGTCGCACTACATTATTCCGTGTTCCACTCGCGCTCGCGGGATTACTTATAATGTACATTGTATGTACATGTAAATATACTGTATGTAAATGTTAGTAGTGAACATACGACTCCACAATCCACCCATACAAACAAAACATTTGAGGTTTTTTTAGCATTATACATGTAGCTATTTGTAATATGGTGTGAAAGCAGCAGGAGAGTGGCCAAGAAGCAGAGCTTCAGTATTTCTTTTCCTCCTTGCAAAAACATAGTTGACAATGTTCTGTAGTGTCCTTTTCTTTCTTACAGCCCTTATTCAGATTATACCGGTAATTATTCTTACTATTTCTTTTTTTTTTGTGAGGGGGGGTCTTTTTATGTTGACCTTCATGGTCTCTTGTCACTCTCCTGCTACGTCAATGCGGTCAGAAATTGCTCAGGAAAAACAATGTCAGGTGCGGTGGAACTGTTCAAAAGCAAATAACAAAAGTGTTGCGCAATAGCAGCTTGTTGCTGAGATCATTTGTTGGTTTGTTTGTACACAATTCCCCAGTGTATTATGTTTGCCTGTCTGAAGCCTAGCCAATCACTCGAGTTGCTCCTAATCTATTTGGTTCAGCATGACTCTGGAACACCAGTCTGAACCGGGGATCAGCAAACTTAAATGTGCCCTAACCCAATTTTCCCTTGTCCTTTTTCCACGAATTTCAGTATTTTTTTACTAATTAGACCACGAGTAACAAATATAACCTAATTGCGAAGGTAAAAATTTTGCTGATTTCTGTTATAAGAATTATTATTATTATTATTATTATTGAATAAACACAAGGTAAAATGGTACAATGAAGCCCAGTTTACACTGCTTGCAAAAGATAAACAAAAGTACTATACATTGTACACTGCTTGCAACCTCAGACAGGTGACAGTTTTATGGTATGGAATTTGATCCTTGTGTAATATTTTTTGTTTTGGACAGATCAGCATGGCATCTTTGGCAACTGATGCAATACCCGCTGATCCTATGGCCTTCCGTCACCTGCTGAAGAAGCTGGATGATGGCCTAGGGTCAGAGGATTGTCACAAGCTTAACTTCATCTCGGCAGATCTTGGCATCCCAAAAGCTAAACTGGAACGTGTGCGACAGGCCACAGACATTTTTGATGAGCTGGAGAAGCAGTCGTTGATTGCAGCTGATGATGTCAGTCTATTGTGGGAGCTAATGGAGTTGATCCATAGGAAAGACCTGCTGAGCATCATCCATGTGTATTGCAATAAGCACTTTGTCAAGGAGTTACATACAGGTCAAATCGGCAAGTACAGGTAGGCAGATCATGTCAGTAGGTATATGGAATGTAGGGTTCCAATATTCCTTCATATAAAATACTCATTTCCACCCATTTTGCTTCACAGGATTGTTGAAGGATGGAATTGTAAAGGCAGGTTTACACAGTCATGTTATCCTATACTTACAAGTATGAGTACCTCCTATTGTTCTCTTCTTTTGTTCCTAATGTTTTTCTTTCTGGTGTTATCAGAAAGAAAACATCGTGGTCCAACCTCAGTTTACGTTGTACCAAGACCGCTTGGGTCCTTCGCAAAAAGTCTGGTCCGTGTGTCTCATGTTCCTTTGTACGTACACGTGTGTGGGAGCAGCACGTCATTGTGTGCCAGGGGAAATACACACGGCAATGTCTGTGCCCAACAAGCAATTCTATTGGTTGACCGAGAGTTACACAGCCGCACAGACTTTCGAGCCTAGGGACGACTTGCATCTTAAAAACTGATTTTGGATGAAACTTTAGTTTGAAGTTGTGGGAGAAATCATGGAAGCAAAGTGCCCTAATGATCTTTTTTTAAACTAAATGCTTAAGGTTGCTGAAAGCAAGTCTTTGTTGACAACCTGACGAACCACGGAGAAGCGTAGAGAACGTTGACACGACAGTGGTTGAATCATGGTCCTTGCTCTATGGTTGAACTTACGAACTTCTTACGATAAAAAATGTCTCAAAAATCATCCCGAAAACACTTTGATTGGGGACCACTTAAACATGTATCATTCCTCCAGAAAAAATAAATAAAATAAAATAAAATGTCATGCCGACCGACCGACCCAATTTTTTTCTAACCATGTGACCCGAACCAAAGGTATTTTTTTGTTTTGCCAAAGTAGGTATGCCAGTGTGGACAAGGCCAGATGGCACCCAGTGTTCATTCATTCAGTACCCTTGCTCTTTCTGATTTCTGCTGCAACACATATTCCAAATTAAATCACACTTTGGTTCAGTTTGGGATTTTGTTACAATGTCTTATTTGCAATTTTGTATACTTGTACATGGTTCAATTTGCAGGCTTTTACTCCTTGAGATTGCTGATAATACATCAAATGCAGACATGAATTGCTTCAAGCAAGCATGCAAAGATCTTCTTGGAAGGCAGGCAGTAAGCAAACTTCAGAATATCTACCAGCTGTTCCCCCTGCTTGAGGAGCGTGGGACGCTTGCACCTTCCAATTTAGATATCCTGTGTCAACTGTTAAATCTTGCTGGAAACATTCAGATGGTGCAAAATGTCCACCAATTTGGTGAGTCCTTACATTTTAGGGGTCTATCTATATAATATTTCTGCTGGGAGGAAACATCCATCAATGTACATAGATTTCACACCAGACTCTTGACCTTTAGGATCGATGGGTCTTCACCTCACCCATTTTGTGGGGTAGGCGGCTTTGCCTGTTACCTGCTTCATGCGGACAACTTGTGAACTCATGAATACACACACACATACGCACGTATACTGAAATTTGTATCCTTGTGGAGACATTTCTTTGTTCTCGTGTAGTAAAGTTTTCCAGTTTTAAAGTGTAGTTTCAAAATACTCTATTTTAACCAGAATTAATTTCCTTGGCTGAAATTCGGACTTATCCCTTTTCTAAAACTCTACCATTTGCGACAGATCAACATGCCTTGGAAATTCCTAGTTTTTGAGTAAAATCCATCTATTTTGTGAAAACCTTGTGGAGACGTATTCACCTATAGAAATTGCCCTGTGGAGACGTATACAATCTTTTGTTCCCTATTGTGTGCATGTCTGCAGAGCTAGGCACGGTGTATCAGATCACACGCAAACATGTGTTCACCGTCGATCGTGGACCTCCTATTGTCCCTCGTTTGTTTGTACTCCCCCTTTTTAGGAAGACTCCCATAGGTTTTGTACACGACCCCAATCGCGGACGTATGCTGGGAAGTGGGAATCGTTGACAATATTGTTCTCTTTTGTTCTCGGGTATTTTTTGTCCACGGTTTGAAAAGATGAACACGTACATCTTTCTTTATCACTTTATACATGTAGTATAGCAGTGATGGAGAGCATTTTTTGAAAATAGCAGATACATTACTTACTGCAGTCCAATAGAATCATTTGCTTTACATTTCTCCCCAATTCCAAGAATCTATATCACAATCAGGATGTTTATAAGCTTGTAGTATCATATTGGATACTATCATGCTTTGAGAAATTATTGTAAACAATGCATGATTTCTTTATAAAAAAAAACCTTGTGAAATTGTGTTAATGGCAAGTTCAAGCGCATGTCATTCCAACGCATATCAGTGCAACTACATGTAGCTCCAGATGTAGTCCCACCTTGTCATGTCAAGGGAGCTCATATGAACAAAATAACAAATACATCTGTGCTGGTGTAATTTCAGAAAACCAGTTAGTTCATTCTCTTTCAGAATTATCCACAAATGTCACCTATCTCACCATTACATGTATAATCGGTCCAATCTCTGTCCTCACCTCACCCTCATATGATTGTAAATCATACAATGTAGTTGGATCAATCTCTTATTCCTTTTTTCATTGTATTGTTGCAGAGAGTCAAGGCAACCTTCCTGACATTGAGCTTGTTCAACTCAGTTCTCGTTTGGTATCAGAATGGCGAAAGCTCGGGACGTATCTTGGGTTAGGTCATCATGTACTAGAGGCCATAGACCATGATAATCGTGGCACTGAAGACAAAGCAAGGGAAATGCTGTTCACATGGAGGCACAATCTGTCGCACAGAGAGGATGCATATGGGATTCTCTCTAAGGCACTCAAGCTTTGTTACCGCATGGATCTTGCAGAAGCAGTGAATGGTACTAATAGCAGTTACTGTTGTGTGTTTCACTTTTCAGTATGGACATCGTCCATGAATAGACAGTTGTTTGCTGTGATGCAGTCCGGTTTATATGTCATGGATCAATGACGTTGTGGAGCCAAGGGTGGCATTTGCATTCAATACCCATGGACTATATCACAACAGACAACAACTATTGTGTTATACAATGGTGTTAATTTTTATTTTGTCTTTCAGAAGCAACAATATGATAATTAGCACATCAGGTTCGTAACTATAAGTATTTCTGATTGAAGTTTAAAATGAAAAGTTCATACTTTGGCCTTTGATTATAATGCACGTGTGAGTTAACACATGAAGATCTGCATTGACATGCCTATGCCCTGGGTAACTATAGCTAGTGAATTGCACAAAGCAGTGGGGATGAAAATCCTCAAAGTATCTGAGAACAATCAAGTCAGGAATAAGTGAGGAAATCACTTAAGCATGGGGGTGGGATGGGGATGACTAAACAAATACATTTCCTCTTTGAGTGGCCACAAAGGATTGTTGTTCAGACTAAAAGTCGGGGGGAAGGGGGGGTGAATGACAGCGGCGGCGGAACAGATTTGAAACTGGGGGGGCATTACCAAAAAGGGGCACTTGCTCAGCATTTTTTTGTGTGCACATCCGTGCTGAAAGGTGGCTTTCCTTTGGCTCTTTCATTTTGTTTTTCACCGGACACTTGACCTCTGTAAAATCAAATAGTAGGGGGGGGGGGGGGTACCATCTTCCAACATAGTGGGCGCTCTTCAAAACTGATGATTATATGCTAACTATGCATTATGTGCCCCTGTGCCCCTTTTTCAGGGCGTATTGTATGGGTTTTTGGGGCTTTGTTTTCATATTCCTCGTTTATATCAAAACTATCTATACCATTATTGGGAAATGGTTACTTCTAAGAAATAGAAAGATACTTTAAGGGCATTTTTTTTATCTCGAAGGGGCACTTTTATGCTCGAGGCGAGGGGGCACATTTATGGCCGCAAAAGGGGCACTTGGGAAAATCTGGGGGGGGGGGGCAAATGCCCCCCCAGCCCCCCCGGTTCCGCCGCCCCTGGTGAATGATCAAATATGGTCCTTCCCCCACGTCAGAATGTGCCCCCCCCTATGCTGCCTTAGGTTATAATGTAGAAATGGAAGATCCACTCTAGGTCATGTTTAAGTAAACCATCTCTTTTCGTCTTATTCTATAGATATGGCAAGGAAGCATAAACAATCTGCACTTGCACACCCACACCAAGACCAGATGGTCTCTCAACCTGTCCAATATCAACCTGTCCAATATCAACCTGCTGTATGGTCTAGTCAGCCACACCTCATGAAGCCAAGTGATTTCTGTACCACCAATGCACCATCCATACCTACCCATACTGCTCTGCCAGTGTCTGGTAATGGAAACTACTTTCTATGCCCTCCCTGTAGTTATGCTAGTGCTTTCTCAAAACATGCATACACATATGCCTATGAAACTACTTTATAAAAGTAACGTTTATCTGAACAAAAGACTCACTGGCAGATGCCTGAACTGTAGTGTGAAAGCTACATGTACATGTTTGTTCATTACTAACAATTGCCAAGGATCCATTTTTAAACACTACCTCCACACTAATGGAGTACAATTGACTTCGAATTTGGGATATGAGAGTGAGACATTGGATGGCACAACAAAGCAAGATGTTTTGTTTAATTGTTCCCTGTACATTACAGAGGCCTTAATGATCATGCGTACACAAAAATAAGGATGAATTTTTGTGTACTTGCAAAATTACAGATGCCAGACGTAACATGGACATAATTTTTTGCTATAAATTGACTGCACATCACTCATCATGTATGTACATGTAATACTCTGAGCAGGGATATCTTGTAAAATCTGCCTGGAATGTCTTAAATTCTTGGTCAGTAAAATCCTCCACAATGCGTTGGGAATTACACTAAGGGAAGAGGACAAACAAATATCCATCAAGTGACGCATCATTGGAAATTTCTGTTAGTAGTTGGTTTCTAAATTTGGCGCATCTGTAAATGGGTGCCCATAATGCTATAATTGCTATAGTTCGTCAGTTCAGGGTGTGACATTACAAGGCTGCAATCAGCTGAATGAGAACATGTCCCGTACGCTGATTGAAGGTGCAATTTCAAAACATGACTAGGTAAATTTTGAATTGGAAAGGAGATCCTAGAATATTATTTTTCTCGGAATATTTAGCATTCACAAACTTCATCAGATATAGTTGTTAATCACCCTTCTATAGATTTTAAGCACTTTCGTTGCTTCAAACAAAAATTGCACAACTGATCTAGTACCTATTAAAAAAGGTCTGGACTCGGACAAGTTTAAAAAAAAAAGTTTCAGTGACGGTTATGAAGCTTAAATATTGTGAATATAAGTGTGGTAGCCACTGAGCCAAAACTTGAATAGATTGCTATGTTATCATACCTTTAACTAGCAATTTCCATCCATTCTCAGGCTGATATACATATATCAGCAGGTTTTGACTGACTCTCTCTTTCTGGCAGATCATGGCATACCAGACCAGGTATTGAGGGAATTGGCCGAAAAGATTACAGTAGAGTGGCAAAAAATGGGTACATTCTTGAATATGGAGCACACCGTGTTACGTAGAATAAATCAAGACTGTCATCGTTCAGAAGAAAAAGCTTACAACATGCTGATGGTGTGGCGTTCCCAATTGAAGCCAGGCACAGATGCTGTCCATGTACTTGCTTCGGTGCTTAAAATTGTTGGGCGAGTGGACTTGTCAGAAGTGCTGAAAGGTAAGCTTTCATTTTGGAATGACATCTACACTGTATCTGTCATCTATCACCATTATAAAACAAGAATTTACACAAGGGAAAACATGAAGCAGTAACCTACATATGAGGCCTTACACAACAATAGACTCATGTGCAGGTCATTAAGGCTAGGCCAACAGCGGACTTAAATTATGTGAGTGACTTGAGGCTGACCACATGTTCAGGGATATAGTGTGTGTCTTCTGCAAACAGATCTATTCCATTGGAGATATTATCAGTCATGTCATTAATGAACATGAGGAACAGGGTTGGCCCCATACACTACCTTTGGAGACTCCTGCATTCATGCACCTGAAGTTTGCAGACTGACCATTTTTTACTACCTTCTATCTGTCAAAAAAATTTCCAAGTCACCTGTGTATTTTTCCTTGGATTCCATTTGCTGAAAGTTTATGTAGTAGGCCCTAGTGCCAAACTCCCTTGAAAGCACGGCTGATGTCAAGTGTGACAACCCTGACCTTCCCGGATCTATATCCACTGTATCTGCCCATCACTGGGTGGTATTAACTTAAGGAGAAGATCATGATTGATTGATTTGGCTGAGAGCCAAACTGGTTTTGTGACAGGAGACTATGATATGATAGGTGGGCCTGGATTCGTTTGTTGAGAATGATCTCAAAGTTCTTGCAATTAGTAATAGTAATTAGATGATAGATGTTTGGATCAGAACGGTATCCTGGTTTATTGATGGGGATTACATTTGCCTCTTCCAATTGTGGGGGCATACTTATAATAATAATAACAATGGAACCATGCTCAGAGTGTTTAGCGTGTGTTCTTTGCTAGCTCTTTTCTTCAAAATAGTACAATGTATACATGAAACTGTCACCAAACAAGTCCAAAAATACCAACTTATAAAATATCCTTTGCACTTGGTTTGATGATTGCTACATATTTTTTAATATTTTCTTTAACTTGGGTCCAGATCATTTCGATTCATACTTTGCATGGCATCAATCGATAATGATTTTCAACACATCACTTTTGTTCTAAATAGTAGTCTGAATTTAGATGTGCTTATAGTTTAGGTTTCTTTTAATTTAAATGTTTCCATGACTGTAATTTCTGAATGTGTCTCCATTGTAAGGGATAGCATGTCCATCAGGACCCATGGCTAGGCAGCTGCAATCCTTGGATCAACGGTTGACATCACAGCCAATGAATGTAGATCCTCCAGCACACCCCACTACACAAGCACAGCAGCCAATGTCACAGGCTGATGCAGTACCTGAAAACACCCCATCCAGTAAGTTGATAACACATTAATGTTAGTAACTGACATTGTCTTCATGGAGTGATGCCTTTTTTCAATATTCTGAATTAATTTGTGTTTCCTAATTTTGATCGTAAAGTTTTATATGGCCTTTATGTTTATAAGCTGCCAATAAGTATTGGCAGGATATGAATAGCAGAATGCTTATTAAAATGTGACATACTGATGTTAACGTACATAATTAAACTGGCTTTTTGAATGGAAAAATGACCAAATTTGGCATTTACCCCATTGCATTGTATTATATGTGAAGTTTCATATTTCTATTTGGCCTTGTGGTCTAGTGAATTAAATTTGATCTTGTGGATAATTCTAGTTTGGACATTCATGTCCAGTTCATGGAATTGTAGTGTGTGTGGAGGCAGGGCATTGTGTCCCATATAGATCATTCTCAAATGACGTCATTTCCTACAGACCAGCCACGTGCATCGGCATTTTGAGCGTCAACTTGCATAACGCGCATTGGCTGCATCGTATTTCGAACACATTTCGAGCAACAAGTGCGAGTGTTTTAGAACATTTTCAACACTGCACAATTGCAGTTCTCCTACAGAGATGGCCGTCATTGAGAGAGACCTATTACTCCTCTCTAGCCTGGTGTATATGCACTGTAGTGCTTGTGGTGGAACTGTTGGTTTACATCTAAAGTTTAGCATGCCAGTTGTTTACTGCCTTAGGGAGCTGAAAAAGATACATCATTATTTCCCATTGAGAAGTAGTATTGGTGATGTAGCTCTAAGACCCACTTCTGTCAGCCAGTATACATTTATACACCAATAACAGATGAAAATGTGCATAGTAAGCAAAAGAAAGATACACTGTTAAATCGTAAATACAACATAATGCGTTAATGTTTGTTTAGCTATTGTAAGTTGCTGAATTGAGCAAACACCCACCCCTCCCATTTTGTTGTTGAAATGATTCATACAGGTTGCAGTAATGTAACTGAGAAAATGGAAGAAATGAGTATCAATCAGTCACAAGGAGGCCAAGAAACATCACCCATACAGCAGACATGTAAGTTGCTGGTCACTTAGTTTTATACTTGACATGATTTCATACTAGTCAAGTCACAGGGTATCTCCGTCTTAAAATAACTGTGAAGCTGTAGTGTATTCAACAAGATTCTGTACTCTCACAAAGAATGGTGTAAGAATGCAGCTGTATTTTTTAAAGCAAATCTGTGTTTTATAGGAATGTCACAAATTAGGTGAATGACAAAGCAGACATCCGCTAATCTTGCTAAGGTTCATCATTTATCATGTACTGGACAAATGTATGATTAAAAAATAAAATCCATGATACACAGGGTCTTGCAGATCCAACACATGAAACTTGTGTTATCTTTATTTGTCATACTGCAGATCCAGAGACGATAGTCGGCAATGTCGGGCAAGGTCATGTGATTGCACAACCCTCTTTACCAGAATACAGGATGAACCGGAACCCAAGGGGGCTGTGTATGATCATCAACAACGTCCAATTTGAGGGATCATCATTAACGTCCCGCCCAGGAAGTGAAAAAGACACAGGTATGAGATTGCTAATCTGTAGTTTCATAAAGGTGTGCCAATGAAATGTTTCTGCCTCATGAGCATAATTTCATATTGGGCCAAAAACTTGGGAGAAATGTTGGATTTATCTTCCATCAAATAAATGGTTGATTGCAAATAGAGCATGGAATGAAGATAATTACTGATCTCTTGGTTTTTGTGACCATGTCTTTTGCACAAACATACAGTACATGTACACAGTTCACATTTTGCTTCAATAACTGAATTCAAATTCAAAAGGGGAAACCGAGGCAGAAAAACTCCAAAAGTACTACTACAAATGGGGAGCCAGTAGAGGGAGGAGATACTTGGACTCCTTGATGCACTGGGATATTGACCAATAGCTGCATTAATGGAGCACACGTAGGCCTATTCACAGGGGTGGTACTGGGGCAATGCTGGAGTGAGTGCACACCACATTCTTCACCACACTAGACTTGACTCAAATCTGACTTTAGTCTGAATCCCAAACCCACGTGCCCCCCGCAGCAGATGTCGATGCCCCCCCCCCCCCCTTTAAAATCTTGAAATGAACAAAAAATTGTACACCGCGCTGTCGAAATGAGCGCTTGGACTGGTGTTCATATCTAAAGGCAATTAATGTATCAACCTGTATTATTTACGTACGTGTACGCCAATGTATTTTCACTTCCGTCAGGCCAAAACTGTTGGCCAACCTACGTCCGCAAGATTACGTATGGTTGTATAATGTCGAGTGCATGCACTCATGCACTGTGAATTTCAAAAACACAAAAACACATCGATTTCGCCATTAGTATAGTGGTTGATGTGTTGTAAGTTTTGAACATGAACCCATTTCCCCCCCCCCCTTTTTTTTTTTAGTGACGTCTCAATAAACGCAGGCACTGCACATACCACCATCTATTAAAGTGGTCAGAAATTGCCTCAGATCGCACCACAGAGCATCTACAATCGGGGCCCGTTAGCGGGCCTCGAACCCCACACCGTAATTTTTTTTTATCCACATTCGGGGGACCAATTGTTTTTGGGGGGCCCCCCCCCAAAAAAAAGTGGGTTCTGGATCCGTCCTGGATATACATGTACATGCAGGTATGCCTTTATCATGCATCAGTCCAAAAACACCTCCAGGTACCCCCTAGATGTTTCACCCCAGTTACGCCCCTGATGGTGTTGCACGTGTGTGTCCTCGATTTACACAATAAACATGCATTACATTCACTGTGTGGCATTACATTCACTGTGTGGACTTCCGAACAAAGAGGTCCACATAAACCAGGTAGAGGTGACATTGTGTGGACTTGGGCAAGTCCACACAGTGTTTCCCCATGCGTGTGGTTCAGAGCCCGCTTAAGGACCCGGAAAAAAATTGATTCTAGATGCTCTGATTTCTGACCACTTTAACCAATATGTTCTTAGCAAAAGATAATAATGTTGTCCACTTCGTGTCCTACTTACCTGTTGGACCTATAAATGCATAGACTGGCACCGAAATTGGTGGTGGGAGTGGGCTGCAATTGAGTCAAAGAAGGACACACAAATAAGGAATCACCTCATGGACTACACAAAGGCACATTACAAACTACCATGAGCCTTACTCACCCTACTGTTGAGTTGTTGGTACAACAGCCTGGGTTGAGACCTCTTTGGAGGGTCGTCTTGGGGCAGCTGATGGCATGGTGGCTGACATCGTCACCTGCCCAGTCCGCCCCTCTGTTAAGAGGACATCTCTCAGGTAACATGACGAAAAGGTCGTTGCTGTTTTCCAGCATGCTGCCTGCATTATATCTTCCACAGGAACACCCCGCAATAGTGCCCATGATGTTGTGACCGCCCTTGTATCATGAGCATGAATCGTCCGACGGGATTCGTTCTGAGGACTGTCTGGCATTTGGGATCGGATAGCTGTAACTATCCATCGAGAAATTGTGTCACGGGATGCTGGGCCGTGGGGAGGAGTCGAAGTTAAAAACAGTTGAGACTCCCCACCGCGGATGGGTTTTGTGCGAGCTATGTACCATTTTAGAGCTCTAACTGGGCACCATTTCTTATCTTCGGGGACCGAAGATAATGATTTCAACTCAGGAACAAAGATGTCCGGAGGCTGGAAGTTAGGAGACTGGTTTTTAGTAAGGAAAGTACTTCGAGGGATGAGACGTACTCCGTGCGGCTCCCATCTTATGTGTCCCTTGTCCAGGGTCAATGCATGGAGTTTGCTCCGTCTTCAGCTGTTGCAGCAGCGAGGAGGAAAGCTACCTTGACTGACAGATCCAACAAGGGTACCGTCGCAAGAGGTTCATAGGGCTGGTTTGCCAGAGTACGTAGGACCTCTCCTAAATCCCATGCTGGGATAAGTTTACGTTGAGGAGGACGCTTCGTAAACATGCCTTTGAGCAGTTGACCTAGTGCCAGGTTGTTTGATACAGAGGAGCCATCTTGAAAACCTTGATGCACTGCAGCAATGGCCGACTTGTAATTTTTTACTGTGGCCAATGTTAGCCCTGTATTAAACAGGTGGAGGAGGAAGTCCCCAACCATGGTTACAGATGCAGAGAGGGGATCCACATCCCTCCCGTCGCACCACCTAAAAAAATGTCGGAGTCGGCTATCATATGTCTTCCTTGTAGACGATCTCCAGCCACAGGCTGCCAAGGCGGCAGCTTCCTCAGAAAGGCCTGCTGTTCGCATGGAATGCTGGACAATAGCCAACAAGTCAGGCGTAGTGACTCCGGATCCGGGTGGTTCAACTTGGGCCGGGTCTGTTTCAGTATATCTGGTCTCTGCGGGAGGATGATGGGCTGATGAACCAGCAACCTGAACATCGTTTGGAACCAGGTTTGGCGAGGCCAAAATGGAGCTATGAGCATCACCTTGCAGGGTTCCTTCCGTATCTTGTGCAGTACCCTCGAGAGAATTGAGATCGGTGGGTATGCATATGCGTACATGCCTGTCCAGTCGATTGTTAAGGCATTGACTGCCCAGGCTTTTGGATCCACGACTCGAGTGCAGTATACCGGCAATTGGTTGTTCAGTGGTGACGCGAATAGATCTATGTTGGGACGATCCATTAGATTGAACAGTGTTTGGACAACTTTTGGGTGTAGTTGCCATTCTGTTGGAAGGATCTTTCCTCTGGACAGTGCGTCTGCAGTGACATTCAACTCGCCTGGTATGTGACATGCCACAAGAGTTACGTTGTGATCTATGCACCAAAGGAGTAGCTTCCAAGTCTGGAAGCACAACTGGGGGGAACATGTTCCTCCTTGGCGATTTATGTAGGCCACTACAGTTGAGTTGTCGGATTGCACCATTACAACCTTCTGTTTGACTAGGCTGATGAGCTGGGATAAGGCTCTGCGAACTGCAAGGAGTTCCAGAACATTGATGTGGAAAATCAGTTTGTCTGGTGTCCAAAGACCTGACACTTGCTGTGACTGCAGATGCGCACCCCATCCCATGTTGGACGCATCTGTCGTAAGAGTCACCGTGGGAAGTGGAGGAGGAAAAGGCAAACCTTGACTCAGGTTGCTCCAAATTGTCCACCAATGAATGTGGGGGATGATTGGCTTCAGTATTGGTATGCTCCTTGACAAAGGATGTTGACTGGGTCGAAAATGGGCCAAAAGATGCATTTGAATTGGCCGCATCCTCAGGCGACACCATGGGACTAGATCGACCAGACTGGCCATTAGGCCCAGCAGTCGTAGCCAGGCCACCGCTGGTGCTGATCGAGCCGTCAGGAACAGTGTGGCGCACTCCTGGACATTGTGTACTCGTTCGCTCGAAGGGTAAGCGATCCCTGTTACCAGGTCGATTTCTGCCCCTAGAAAAGACGGTGTCTGGGTGGGGACCAGATGAGACTTTTCCAAGTTTATCAGAAACCCTAACCTTGTCGTCAAGTCGACAGTTACCTCTAAGGACTGTTGAACTTCCTCTTTGGACCTGCCTACGATTAACCAATCGTCCAGGTAGAGGAATATTATTATATTCGCTCTTCGAAGTATTGTTGCCAGGGTCTTTGTTACTCTGGTGAAGACCCTTGGTGATGTTGACAGACCGAACGGAAGAGTGAGGAACTCGAAAATTGTATTTTTGTATTGAAAACGAAGGTATTTTCTGTGTTCCTCGCAAATGGGTACGTGAAGATAAGCATCCTGCAGATCTATTGATGCGGCCCAGGATGGTGTTGGGAGATAATTTAAGACGGTGCGCAGGGTCTCCATTCGGAACTGCCGTGGACGAATAAACCTGTTCAACGGCTTTAGGTTCAGAATAGGACGCCACTCGCCTTGCTTCTTCTTGGGTGTAAGGAAGAATGTCGACATGAAACCTGATGTTTCTACTGGGCTTTGTACCGGTTGAATTGCTTGCTTTGATAGCAGGGTTTCTATTTCTTTCTCCAATGCCTTCCGCTGTTCTCTGTCTGATGGAACAGGGGTGGGACGTGAGAACATTACCGATGGAGGAGTGCTCGTAAACTCGAGGCTGTACCCCTGTGTGACTGTCTGAAGCACCCACCCATCGGTGCAAAAGTGGGCCCAAGTCTCCCCGAATTGCCTTAAGCGGCCCCCCACGGGCCCAATCTGGGGGGCCACGGATGGAGAACCAGCGTCACCGACGCCACCCCCGACCCGCTCGAGAAGAATTCTGGCGGGAGGGAAACCGCGTGCCACGACCTCTTGAGGTTGGCCAGCCAAAACTTCGTCCGGAAGTTGTCTGTGATGTTGTTGCGGCTGCTGCTGGTGTTGATCGAGCCACAGTGGTTGATTGGGTAGACTTGGGTGTCCGAAAGGAGGGCAAAGGTTTTCTAAACCCTTTGGACCTATTCGAAGTAGTCGGGACCTTAGCTGTTGGTTGTGACTTCTTCCGAGGGGCCTGTAAATTAATACGGTCTGTTGCTTCTAGACGTTTGGCCTCGGCCTCCATCATCGTCTGGAACTGATCCGCAAACAAATCCTTGCTCCATAAAGGAAGGGCCTCCATGCGTTTTCTTGCCCCTTCTGAAGGGAAGAAGATCATTTCTAGAACATTGGAACGTCTGGAGACCGTGGCAAGTACAGAGACCCTAGCAAATTGGTCTAGGATGATGCGTAATCCATCCTCCAGACATTGAAAGGCATTGACAGCCATTGTAGGAGAAACATTGGAACCGGAATCACATGCAGTAACCAAGTATTCTGACAAAAGAAGCATAAATGAAGTCGTTTGCAGACCCATGCGGGATGCTGCATCAACCTTATGTAATGCCTCTTCAAGCTTACTCCGGACAGGATCGGCAAAGGGAACTTTAAGTGATTGTTTCCCTGTATCTGCCGCCATCTTGTCCTTTGCATTGTCTGGGATAACCGGAACTGTTAAAAATTCTTCGGTATCCTGCTTTGGAACCCGAAAGGGATGACATGCTGCCTTGGCAAAGGGTTGCCATTTTTTCTGACCAGCTATTGTTTTAAGACGGTTAGAAAAAACCCTGTCCACCGGGAATTCCGGAAAGGTTGACTTCGGGGAATCCCGCTCTGGTACACCTGTGCGTTTCTTAAAACTAGGCCGTGTACCTTGTGAAGATTCTGACTGTTCAGGAATGGGAACCTTTAATATACGAACCATATCCCACATCACTTCACGAAATCTATTATCGGTAGTCTAATAAGGATGACTCCCGGTAGAATCCACGTCAGATGGCCGATCCATCGAAGATGGACCCGGCTGGGACGCGAGGTTACCCTTAGGTGTTGCCTCGTGTGTATCTACAGCTGTAGAATGAGTAGGTGAAGGTCTCTTGGCGTCTCTGCGCGTAGCGCGGTTGACGTCCGAGTCCGACTCTTGCAATGAATCAGACGGGTGAATAGAAATAGCGCCGCCTGATTCCCGGTCAAATTCCCGATCTTCAGCCTCAGCTTGAGGGGAAATTGGGAGTTGTTGTGGCGCCAACGCCGCCAACTGAGCCGACAAAGCCTGAAAACCTTTCAGCAATAAATCCGATGTATTGTCTCTCCGCCCGCGTTTGCGATGACGTGGGTGGTCCGATGACTGGCCAGAAGTCGGCGACGTACTGGCACTGTCGCTCGTTGAAGAGCTAGAATAACGGCGGCGGTGGGATTTATGGGCCCGGCGCCGTTTATTCTTGGGCCGTGATCGATGTTCCGATCCACGGCGGCGAGCCATTAAATCAGAAATTCCCGAAGGAACGTCCAAAAGAACCCTGGGTGCCACCGGCACGCTCCGGGCTTGACTGGGCGCCACTGGTGCACGATTATCAGGACCAGGTGCCGGGTTAAACGCGGCGGCCGTGGTCAAACCGATAGGGCCCGATTCCGCTCGGTTCCCCAGACCAACGGTCGGGGCCGAACGTAAACGCGATGGGCCGATCGGTTTTTGTTTCTTCGGTTTTGCGCCCTCAACCGGTGGCTGAGGACAATCCGGGGAATCCCCTTCGGAGCAATCTGCTCCCGGGAAAATCCCGGTGTCGGTCGCCGGGATTGCCGACGTAGACCGATGTTTTTCTCAGTTTGCCGACTCATCGGCCCGGGAGCTCGCAGACTTCCGTCTGGCCCCGTTTTGTACCGAGTCAGGGCCGGTGGTTTTCAGCGCATCGCGCCCACCACCGGTCCTTTTCCTTCCCTTATGGGGACTGGCCTGCGACACTTCCGTGCCCGAAACCTGTCCCCGGGAAAGACTTGCGGCACTGGAACCCTCGGCTATCGGCCCGGCTCCAGTCTGCGAAAGCCCCATCGCGCGTCCGGTAGGATCGGTAAAACCAATACCAGGAACGGACCGCGGTGGCTCCGTACTTACCCGCTTCGATGACTTCTTTTTCTTTCCAGAAGTGGTCGAAGCTTCACTTCTTGCCGAGTCTGTAGATTTCGCTAGCCAGGTGTCAATCTTCGTCCACATTTCGGAGCCCCATGGCTCGCAAATGGAACACCTAAGAGCTCTAGAACATGGCCTACACTTAGGACATAATTCGTGGGAGTCGTCTAGGCTATTCGGCAAAATCTTGTGACATTTATCACAAGTCACGAAATTTTTGGGAGGCATTTTATCAAAGACCCCAAAAACCAGAACAGTCTCAGAACTATAGTAGGATTTTCTTCAAACTGTGAGGATAAAAAAATACAAACACATACGTATCCTTTAATGTACAATGTATACACGCAAAAACACGAGGTCATAAAACGAAATAAAAACGTTTATAAAACTCGTCTAAAAACAAACAAATGTAACCAGAAACACACCTAGTGCTTCCGAGAAACAAATGTACTGCAAATCTTGAGAAAATTAATAATAAATAGCGATTAAATCCAGTAAAAACGTGCATGCTACTGTGAGCATTGAAAAACACGTCCTACCGACACGAGCGCTAAAGAAAAGAGGGCGATAATGGCGGGGGCTCTGACTATTGTGGGCGCTGGCGCAGGAGGGCGCTGTGGCACGCTATAGCAAATCTTTACTTTAGCGGTTAATTTACATAGTTAAGGAAATATGCATTTATAGGTCCAACAGGTAAGTAGGACACGAAGTGGACCAAGTTGTTTCTTAATCCACCTACTTAAATATTCACAACAACTTTAGAGTCCAGGCAAGAACACTAAAACTTCTAGTCAGTGCTGCACTCAATAACAATTTACCACAAAAACTAATACATACTAATGAGCTAGGGAGTAGCAATACTAGCAACCTTTGTGGTTTCCCTGTGCAGGCTGATGGTGCACTGATCACATAGCAATTACCAGCCACTGTACACAACCCTACTCACACAGCACAGTGTCGATATTATACCCACACATGTAGCTATGCCTATTATCGATATGCAACTTAAACCACAGATTCTACACTCAGCTATAAACGTGGAGTGGAGGTTCCTAATGACTCTACCAGCTGGTGTACTCCAATACTCCTTCCAAGATAAACCACAAGATGCAGTGCTGGCAATCTTAGGGTGTGGTCTAGATAGTCCATACATGTACATTCATTTTAGCTGCATTTTTCTAATAAGGAGCAGTCCCCAAAGTTTGATAAAATATTAAGCGAATAACTGAATAATAGAATTGTGAATTACAGAATTAAATATATCTCAACCACTCTGAATAAGTGTACAAATAAGAATAAACCCAAGATAAAAAGTAACTATAAACTTTAGCTTAAACTAGCAAAGAAATTTGCAAGAAGTAAAAGTAAATGAAATAGTAAGAAATCTGATAAGGATAAGAGAATATCAAAATACAATGAACTTGAACTCCTCAAATGAAATTGATAAATCCCTAGTGGACTTGCCTAACAGTTTCAGGGAGTCTTACGGTACAAAAAGTGATAAACTAATCCGAACAATTAAAATGCACTAAATCATCACCCTAAATAATGATAACTTGTGAACACAAATGTGAATTGTAAACTAGTAATAACGAGAAATAAAGAATGATTTGTAACTAAACAGAACAAGGATGGGAAAATGAGCACAGTTCTTGACTAGGACAACTGGAGCATAGGAATAGATACTTCCACGATGATGGCTAAGAATGAAAATGCTGAAAGATCAGACTGTTCACACTGACCACACTGACCACATCTCAGGGTCTATGAACTCTAGTGGGTGGCTGTTACTAGGGCAACCAGTGGGCCTTCCTTGTACCATTGAGCTAGACTAGTCTTAAAGGGGCAATGCACTGAAAGTGCCTGGTCACATTCAACTAAAAGTCAAAGTTAAATTTCCAAGAATTTGAGAAGCTGTTATCCATACAATGACGTTTGTAGCATGAGGCGCTGCCTTTGTGATAGATTCTCAACCTTTGGGTTAATCAGGGGCAGCATATTACACTAAACATGCATGTAGGAGTTTGACATGGCAAGTTTTTAGCTCTGCTATCAATGCTATGCTATAAAGTGTAAAGGATGTACATGTACAGGTGTGCCAACCTGCCATCTTTGTGTGGACCTTAAAACAAAACAGGTCCACACAATGCAGGTTGTGTGAACCTTCTGTGGACTAAGCCAGGTCCACACAAGGTTTCCCCTCTCTGGAAAACATATTCAGAGGCATTTTTGGGTCAGGTTCATCCGTCGCAAAATGAAGAGGAACGCTTGTGGAAATCATGATAAAAAAAATTGGGATGAAAAAGTATTCACAGTGCAAGTGAAATATGATTTTTCTCTAGTTTTCTCTGTCAACTACATGAAGACAAAGGAATGTCCACACTAGGTATGTAAGAGACTGCTTACCCATGAAGCAGGTATCTTGCCCGCCAAGCTGCCTCCTCCACCTCATGTACCCATACATGTATGTTATTACTAGCTTGAGTACATGTTGGAGTTTGCGGTGTGTACTATTTGTGCTTAACCCCTGTGCAAAAGCACACTGGGGCAGGCGAGTTACTTTAATTTTAAAAATGTGAAAGAATGTGGGGTATGACTCGACATGGAACAATCATAAGTGTATAGTCACTCCAGGGTGGCCCAGGGGCGAGTTTGCAATTAGGATTGATACTTGGTGTGACATCGCCTGATGAAATGAACATGTAATAACATTTGTAAAAAAAATTAAAATGACACCTGTCAATATCATCTTTCATGTATGTGCAGGTAAACTGGACAATCTGTTCAACAAACTCCATTTTGAGGTGGCAGTCAAGGAGGATCTTACAGCCCATGCCATGCTTGATTGGTTCAAGAGAGTCAGTCAGCTTAATCACAGTGACTATGACTGTTTTGCATGTTGCATCTTGACACATGGGGCACTGGGTCAAGTCTTTGGCACGGATGGCGAGCCTGTGGAGATACAACAGATCCTGGGACTTTTCACAGGAGTTTCATGTCGGAGTCTTGTTGGCAAGCCAAAAATGTTTTTCATACAGGTATGTTGACTATCAGTTGTTATTTCGGCAGCTCAAATTTATGCAATGCTTAGTTAAAAATCAATGACAGTAAATAGGAAAAAATGTCACGAAGGTTTCATTAGGATACCTCAATGTCTGAGGTATATGCAACCATACATGTGATGCTTAGTAAACTGGTTCTGATAGAATATTTATCAAACCAACCAGGCAGAAATTTGTTTTCTATCAATTCTATCTCTGTTAGGGGCCGTTCACAATTATCAACATTTTCACAAGTGTACAAAGAGTACGCTTTTTCAAGACCCCCCCTCCCCCTAAAAGTGTACGAAAAAAAATGTTGATTTTTTTTCACACAAGTCTATATATAGACACTTGCATGTGATTTAAAGGGTTTTTGTAACTTTTGTAGATCAAGTTTTTGGCCATGACATGAACCCCTATTCAGTGTGAATGAAGATGTAAAATTATTGTGAACGGCCCCTTACAAACTCCATGTATTCGTTGGTCGGATTCTTGTGGACAATACATCCTTTGTCGAATGAGGAATTTCAACAATTGATCCAAGTCAACAGCGCGGATAGAATATTTATTGTCCGCCATTGCTAGTGCCGGTGTTGTTCGTCAGGTGTAGCGTGAATATCCGACTCCATGAAATGTGGACTCATTGGTAGTAGTGCGCACGCGTGAGTACGATACTACTCTATTTTTAGGATCGTTTGGGGAGAGTGACCTGTCACGTGCGAGGGATGAACCAATAAAAGGGAAAAAGGGTCAGATTTTCATAGGAGTCGGATTTTCATGTGACACCGACCGTTAAAAACACGCAGTGGATACGGACTATACGGGACCTGGCGCGGGGCGTGACCGGCTCGGCAAGTGCTCGATCGGCATCGGTTGCGGCTGTGGCGACGGGCGAGAAAACAGATCGACATTAAAAAAAAAAAAAGCGTTAGGCGGGCATTAACGGGCGAGAAAACATATCGACATTTAAAAAAAAAAAAAAGCGTACGGCGGCCATTAACCCCCTCGCCCCCAGCGTACGGTTTGTACGCTCGTGAAAATGTTGATAATTGTGAACGGCCCCTTATACTATGTATGAAAACCATACCAGTGTCTGTGGCCTGCGTGTACATCAATAACACATACAAATGCAATGAAAGACTTCAATTTCAGCCAAACGCGATCAATGCCATGTCGTTACTCTTTTCATGTTGCGCACACTCAATTTCGACTTGTTGGATACAAAAAGCTCCCAAAATATAAGAATTTTTAGTTGCATAATTTCAGACTTTTTGTTCCAAATGGCTATCGATCGCGGGCTTCGGAAATAAATTCTAGACTTCAACACATTACATGAAACAAAACAACAACAAAAACGGTTGTCCTGCCCCCAGATCTCAAAAAGGACAGTGATCCAACTTTCAGACCTGAGTTCAAGAAGGGGGTACTAAAATTTACAAGTACTTAACTTTAGCCTTGACCAAGGCTATCAGCTTGTTCCCATACGAGCTTGTTCCCGCTACCGCATTGCACACCGCGCGCGCCGCGGCACACTGGTTGTACCACGCTGTTAGCCCAAACGACCCTTGCGTGTGCTTTGTGTGCATGTACGTGCACCACACACACACTTCCGCAAACAGCCGCACAGTAAGTCGAGGCGGAGGATAGCCTTGACGCAACCGTGGCAAATTCCTCATGTGTTTCTTTATATTTTCGGCCGAACTCGGCCGAGAATTTCTGATGCGCATATATTACACAATATCCAATCAAAGCCCGTAAACTTTGACCCGCTACATACATATTCATGAAGCCCGCAAATTACCGTAAAAACCAGTATGTTCACTCAAAAATAAATGTCCAAGTATTCCAATCCCATTTTAAACCATTTCTCCAGTTTTATATTAAACAAATGAAATATGCCGCTATATATGAATGATCACTTGTTCAAAATGATGATACTATTTCCAATGTATTGCGAATTGGACAGTTCGAGACAGTTATATCCGCCAACGTTTATTGTCGGTGCAACAGCGTATATTATCACGCCACTACCCGTACCTGCCAGTGACATTCTGACAGCAAATGTAGGGAACAGGTCAACTCGGACCCAGGTCAAATCGTACATATTTTATCGAATGCAGGTTAACTCGTATCTGTATAAAGTCATGTCACAGCCGTATGAATTAACTGCAAGAAACGAGCTATTGACTTTGGGATGGAAATATACGAAACTGTCATATAGGGACTTGGTGAATAAAATCTCTCCCTGAATTCGTACCATGTGCAACATATATCTCATACATACGACACATGTATTTTAACGCATACGTACGAATTGTCATACCTTCGACATACGTACGACATGTCAGTCGTAGGTTTAACATATAAATCGTACCTATATGTCGTATGACATACAAGTCACAATACATATGTCGTACGTACGAGATACAAGTCGTACTCACAAGATTTGTCGTATGTACGACATAATCGACAAATAAGTCAAACCTAAGAGTAAAAATTCATATGTTGTACACACGAGATATTAAGTCGTACTCATACGACAGAGTCGTATGCGACATATATCGTACACTGTTGACTCGACACCATATAAGATCGTATGCACGACATATATGTTATATCACTGAACCAGTTTTAATAGCTATTCAAATGAATTAGTGATTTTTATTCATTACATTTCCTTACCCAGGGTGGGACCAAACAGTTTTAAACCGGTTTCCATTGGGGCCCTGCATATACTACTAATGTTTATACACACGTGTACAAATACAATACAACACAATGAAATAAGTAAAAGCATACAAGATTACTGCATGATCGTAAAGCAACTATTATAAGTATTATATAACATAACACAGAAACATATACACTTTGAAACGACATTGCTGAGGTGATTTAAGTTTATATGAGGAATTTGGAAATTTCTTGTGACATCAGTAAACTATACATGTGTATATCGATACATTCGCTGATTACGGGAGGGGTGAAAAAAACGTGAAAAAAAACATTTTGGAGAAAAAAAAGGAACGTTTTCATCAAGCTCCTTATTATCATGGCAACCAAGTTAATTAACTCTGTAAGTCAGCACATGTTTGACTGGCCGAATGTTTTACGTAGTTCAGATTTGAATGAGGTTAAAGGTTAGATATAACATGAGGCATCAGTGCTGTTTTATAAATAAGGGATGTGGTGATAACACAGTAAGTAATGAGTTGTGTTATTATTGATGTGTTTTATTCTAGGCTTGTCAAGGCAAAACTGAGCAAGAAGGAGTACAAGACATAGAAACTGATGAGCCTGAGCGGCATGGATTAGGTGTTGGCATGTCCAAAACAAAACCCAATGAAGCTGACTTTCTGCTGAGCTATGCCACTGTGCCAGGATATGTCTCATACCGTAGTAAGAGTGAAGGCTCTTGGTACGTCAATGCGTTAGTGGATCAGATAAATAAGCATCACAATACTACTGATATGCTGAACATCTTAACTGTAGTGAACAAAACTCTGTGTGATCAAAATGCCCAAAGAAAGGGGAGCATCAGGAAACAGGTGCCAGCACCTAGCTATACATTAGAGAAGGCTCTGTATCTGCGTAGTTTGGTCGGCTAAGTAAACCCAGTCCAGGATCAGTAAGTCAAAGGAAACAAAATGATGAAGATTAAACGATCACTAAAACATGGACAATAAATCAGTAGTTTATCCAGGTTTTGGCTCTGGGGGCAAGATGGGTATTTTTTTTTTTTTTAACCAACCAACCACTTCACCACCGTGCTTACCTGGGACCACTGGCGAGTTCACATTTATTGTAACAGTGGATACAGTGATCAAAGAGTTTTTGGTGGAATTCTGCATTGGGAGATGTACATGGTAATAGGTTTTACCTGAGTTGCAACCATCAATGAGGAGCAACAATAAATAGAACAATTATTAACATGTAAGAAAATCAGTTCCCCATGTTATCGCGCTTGTCATGTATTTGTTGTCAACTGAAATTGACTTCAAAGTTTCTGTTAAACAACTTTCCGGAAGAATTTACATCAAATATTTTTTATAGTAACCTTACTTCTGCATTCCCGATTCCCAAATGAACTTCACTTCAAATGGAGACTGTTTGCAACTGCTAGTTTGCTACTATAGTATACAAATATTGAATGCTTCGAGTGGTGTAGTAAAACTAGCCTCCCGAGGTGATCCATGGATCACTGAGGGAGGCTAGTTTTACTTCACCACGAGATAAAGCATTCAATATTTGTTTTATAACACTTAACCCACAGATTCTGCTTGGTTTTAATATTTTTAATTATTTAAATCTGAACACAGTTTTAAACTTCAATTTCAATACAAAATTGGTGGAAAATGTATTTCTCTCTTCCAAACTACCCCTTCACTAAATGTTTGAACCCAACTTTGCAGCGCGCTCGCTTTGGAACAAAACGCGTTACGCGCAACGCGCACACCAGCATGCATATGCATACAAATACCGCGCCGTGGATATAGTACTTTGGTTGCTAATGGTATAGTACTTTGGTTGCTACGGGTATAGTACTTTTTGCCGTGCACAGAAAGATAGCAAAAATAGAAAGTATCGTGTGACTCGCTCTTGGTCAATCCAGATACAGAATCTGTGGGTGTTATAATGACAGCTATGATGAGAATGGCTAATTTGTATGCTATTTCCTTCCTGCTCCTGTTCCCTTTATCTAGATGTTAAAGTCTGACAAGGTTACATCCAAATTTCTTATCCTTTAGATCAATGTTTCAATAACAAGGGCATGAAGTTGAAAGGTCCAGGGAGATTGTACTGGACCAATGAGCACTCAATTCTGTTCAGTTCAAGAACAAGACGAGGCAAGCCAGTAATGGTGGTTCTACACTACACAATTCCATTCAATTGATTCAGAATGGCTATTGGAAGTCTTCATGCAAGAATATGCTCGGTCACGCTTAGGTCAACCACAAACAATAATCTGGCATGCATTTCTTTCCCAACTTTAATTTCATAAAGTGTATTATAAAATGTTTACATTCCCAAATGTAATCACTCTATTTAATAGGGTATTTGCGTAGAATGTAAAATTTGCTTGAATCATCCATTATCCACAAATTACAATCATAATCAATTTATATCCTGCTAATGCACAATCGTATGCAAAATAGTTGAAATATACAGTGGGTCATCTGCTTGAGTTCTTGTTGGTTGAAATTGTGAAGCCTGGCCTGGTTGTCCTAGACATCAACACTGGCAGGGCATGGCCAGGTTGTATCATTTTGATGGTATGGTATAAACACAATTAGCATGCTCTTCTTAGATCCTCTATTTAATTTGTGATTTTGACCTGGAATAAAAATCTAATACATTCTGAGTGGTTTGATCAGAATATATACAAGGTAAACTAGAGATTTTCTAGAGAACTTGAGACATTTGTTGAGTTACAAATGCAAGAGTGATCGGAAAGACAACTATTTCATGAGACATTGCCCAGTTAATTTGGGAATTAATTTTTTTCAGAGCAGAAAAAGGATCACAAAATTTTCCAGTATGGTACATGTAGAACCGTTTGTTTACGTCTATATACATGTTTTGGTACATGCACACTTATTTCCAGTTTAATGACGTCAGCAGTTAAAATATGCAAATTGAATACCGATCTAGTTCAGAGATGATACATGTTCATCATGAAGTGGAAGGAACCTTCGACAATTAGGACATTTTATTTTAAATTCTCACTACCATAACTTCCGGTCTGATGACGTCATGATTCTGAAACTGTGCAAATTCATATTGAATATCTGGGGGCAATTTTGACGATTGGTTTTTAAATTCTGAAAAGGCACTCTCTATTTGATGTGCCTCTAGAGGCGCCCTTTCGGATGATGTCATCATATCTGTATTTGCGTTTAGAATTCCTGACTAAACACGTTCGTAGTTTATTTGTCTGTAGTAAAATGCTTCCATTTTCGAGTTGTATTAAATTTTCATTGCACTTCCGGGGACACCAGAAGTGAAAGTCAAGCGGTTTTGTGCCCGCCTGCCCGGGAATATGAAATGTTGCTCATGGCACCATCTACCACCTCACGAAAAATGAACACGATACTCTATAAAATTTAATTAATTCTAATTCTGCCCTTAAATCACTGGTAATTTGATACCAATACATGATAATGTCATGATGATGTCACAAAATCTATAACATTCTCGGACTGGCGTCCATGTTCATACCAGGTTTTAGTATCAACACGTCAACCATTTGAAAGAAATCTGGGTTTGGTTCGACTTCATTTCTATATTTTGAATTAACCTAAACTTGACCGTAGAGTAAAAGTCCGACGACTTTAACTTAGGTAATCTTAAACGTTTATCCAGGTACGGTTCATCAGATCACAAAGTATGAACATGATCGCACATTTTGTTCAAGAGTTGTAAATGACAGAAAATTGTCATATTAAAAAAAAAAAAAGTAATGTGCCCCGCTTGGGATCTGAGGGTCATACCATAAACTGTTTGGGAGAAAACGAGTGGAGAAGTATTGCCCGGAAAAAAAGGAAGAACGAAATAAAGCAGATTAAATCTTACTATTTCAACAGATGATTGGGTTGTACCTGATTACTCAATTAAAATATCCATTAAATTGATATGATGTGATATGTGATTTCTAAGCACTGGGCATGCAATGCTATGTACAGTACCCGGACATAAAATGCCACCAAATTTCTAATCAACCTTTTTTTTTGGGGGGGGGGAATCACTTGCTGATCTCAGACTAATATAATGTGGACAATAAGTACAGCCCCATATAATCCATTCAGTTCCTGCCAATTGCGTACAATTCATGATACATGTGCATCCATAATATGTGTGTTAAGGTGTTGCATCAACTGACAAAGCTACGTAAGAACTACACGTACAGCCTTTTGCTTAACGAGCCATTTATTCACACCTGCCTGTACTACTGTCATCAATTTACCTTTGATGTACAAATGTATAAGGATGTGTAAATAGACTATTATAATTAGACTTTATTCATTGAAATAAAAGCCCCACTTGGTAGGACTATTTTATACAATCCCCTGAACAAAGGCTATTTGTATATGTACAGATAATGAAATACTACTTAAATAAACATTCATTTATGAAACATAAAATAGCACTGTAAAGGAAAATGAGACAATATATACAGTCAATATACTCAATGAAGCCACTGCACACAGATCATGCCACTTGGACCATTTTAGCTTGTACCAATTACATGTCAATCAAAATACCAGTTAGTTTATAAAGTTGATTAATCTTACCTTTATCATGCTCAATTGCTCAAATTTAAAAATAGTTGGAAGATTTTGGTAACGTGACCTCAATTGACCAATACCACTGATTGATTGATTAAATCCAGGCATGTCTTTTACACAGCGGAGATATGTTAGGTGTTCTTGCTAATGGAATGAAATCTAATCACACACACCTGCAAAATGCCCCAGTACAAACCGTCTGGGCATTACCCCCATGCATGGGACATAGTAGTATTTTATCTTCAAGTAGACAATTATTTCTAAAGACATTTATAAGTGTCTGAAGAGGTAATTGCTTACTTGAAGATTAAACTACAACTACAGGCCACGTAATACATGAAGAACAAACAAATACATGTGTACTAGTTTCAGCAAAAATAATGTGTATTCCAAAATCATCAGAACATATCTTTAGACTGTTGGGTATGGTAATAATGTCAATATAAAATTTGAAGGTACAATTTGATTGGTAAAAGGTATTGCAGAGTTAGTTTTTATCATACCATTGGTAGTAAAAAAAATGACTGCATAGTTTTACTTTGTGTTAAATACTTTGATTTTTCAAACCAAATAAAGCTTTTGCTACTTCTGTCAGTTTGTTTTCAGGTAATAATTAATATTCTGGAGGCCTTTCAATAAATAAAAATTTAAATTGCTGGTGTAAATTTAACAGGTTTACTTTTGTTGCTTTATTTTCAGATCATTATAAATAATCTACAGGTCTTTTAACAGTTAAAAATTAAAATTGGTGTAAATTTAACATACTTCTGTTGCTTTGTTTTTAGCTAATTGTAAATGTTCTAAAGGCCTATCAACAGTTTTCGAACGTTTCTTATAACATGACATGACTTCATTCTCTGAAATGCATTTGACTGTCCATGATGTACACTATAGACACATATTTGTGTCTATGTATTCATCAATTGCTCAATTGTTTCTTCTCTGCAGCCTTTCTTCTAGCGGTAAATTCGATTCACTTGGAAAAGCGTGTGTATGACTGACACCACCAAGTATCCAAATATTGCTACAAGCAATAGACCGAATTCACCAGGAATTCACCAATTTACCATTTTTCATCGTGTTCCCTGAATTTTATTTACACATACGTGATAAAGTCACGTGTGTTTATACATGTGTAAATGTTTAAGCACAAATCAATGAGCACGTTTACATTTACGCAACAAAGCTGTGGGCTTATCGTGTGTGCTAATTTCAAAAAGTCGTTGCGACAAATCCCGTATGTGTGCCAGACTATTTCTTCGTTCCAAGCCTCACTTTTTTTCTTTTTTTTTAATGTTGCTAAAAGCATTAGCGTATAATTAATCACAAATTTAAAATTATTCAGCGCAGACTGGTATTAATTTGTAATTAACTTTATTTCCATTGCTTTCATTTCTATTCGCAAGTTCCAAAAATGAAAATTTTACCTTGCTTTTAATTTAATATGGCCGACTTGTGAATAAATTTCCTATTTAAGGAAACTTTGTGACCAAATTCTGTTATCACCGGTATTAATGCTAAAGTGCACTGTGTGGCTGTGTGTTAACCAGTTGCTCAAGCAAATTATTAGGCTGCTGGGGTTAATTTGGCCACAACAATTTAAAATAAGCCAAATCAACTATTATGTTCAATTATAATATATAATCATACCTCCAGATA